TTGAATTTGCTGTATACTGTCATTGTATTGCTGTATATGTCATTGAATTTGCTGTATACTGTCATTGTATTGCTGTATATGTCATTGAATTTGCTGTATACTGTCATTGTATTGCTGTATATGTCATTGTATTTGCTGTATGCTGATACCGTATAGACATAAGACTTTCATTAAGAAGGAATTTTTAAGAAGGCTGTTGAATACTTTGCCGCCATTTTCAAAAATGATTATTTTATCTGTATATATCACAGTGTATATGAGAACACAAATACCAGTTCTTGGATTTTGTCCAAATTTTAAAGGCTAATGCTTTCTTCTCATACGACCTACAACTAATATCACGGCTTTACGTCACATCATGGGTGTAGATTTTGCCAAAATGGGACAATATATACTACTGTATCTACTGTTGGTCTGTAGATAAGAAAATAAGCAGTTGTCCAGATCAAGCTAAAACAGTAGCAAAGTTCTGATTTTACCTGTAAAATATGTGCATATTATTTAATTTATTATACATTTGAAAGGAGTTTTAACACGTTTCTGATATCTAAAGGTTAGTTGAGGCTCCGAGTATAATTCATGAAAATGATTTGATAATAGAATGTGTTCATGAGGAGAAAATTAGATTCAAACTGCGCATTCATAGTGGACGCAGTCCAGTAAACAAAGCTATTTCAACAACGCAACACAGCCTCCATTGATATTCTAAGCAACGCAGTCCAGCCGCGAACACAAAATAAATAAGATAGTGTAAACTATATTCCTACGCTATTATTGTTTCAGGAAAAGAAAGTCAGCATCCAGATTATCATTCAAAGTTACGTTGATTAACATATATCTATTACCTGAATCAATGTCCCAAATTGCTATATTGTATCGTTTAAGACCTAGAAATATGGCAATTCAATAGCGTATTTGGCAGAACAGTCGAGCGTAAGATGACAACGTAATATGTTTATTACAAACCAATTTGTGGATAGGGTGAAAGATATAGATTATTGGATAGTGGTGAGACTTTTTATAATAAGTAGAAATGCGAAACAATTAACTTTTTGATGATGCAATAAAAGCTGTTGGGGAAGGGTACATTAACTAGTATTTAAGATATCAGAAAAATATCAAATAATTGGAGAGTTGGTGAGTTAATGTAATTTTGGATGATCTTTCCAACAGTCCATCAATATTGCTAGCTACCATAAATTCATGATTTCAGCTGTATTTGACAGCTTGTATATATTTGCAGAATGGATTGAGACACGATGTAGGTCTATTAAAATAGCCCTTTATATTCAATTTTGTCCAAAGTTGCTCCATTTCGGCCACACCTGTACACACATTGTGCTATCTACCTTTGGCTGTGATTGCGTTCAGCTTCAGATATAAAGCAACACTGAGTCGCGGACTGCGTTGGGCAGATGGATGGACTGCGACTATTATAAATTCCAATTTTCTATGTAATTGTACGTTTTCCGCTTACCAAATATCACACGAAGATGTAATTGTAACAACAGAACATGAATAATTATATTAATTCGATGTCATTTCTGATTCCTTTGTTTAAATCGGTATATTAGGGACAAATATTGACAAAATTACATTTTTTGTGGCAGATTTCGAATTCATTTGTGTTCATGCTAAACTATTGGACAGCCGAGCACCAAGAATGCCATTGCAGGTGGAGTATGAATATGTTGATCACCGACTGGAACATACTAGCTATTCTGTAGAATATCCAAACCAATAATCTACCCCAAATCCTAACATGCCTTCCAAATTAAGTTTGGACTTACCGCCATTGTTCAGCTATAATGCGTTGTAACCTCGTTTTGAATTACGCGAGTCGCAGTCCGTGGCTTCGCCCTCGTTTTGCTTATCCCCCGTGGTACTACTGCCTGTTTATCTCGATCATGCAATCAAAATGACGGGACGAGTGATTTTATAATATATTTCAGTTTTGTTCAGTGGGATTTTTTCCTCCAGGGTGTTGCTGTTTTAGTTATACCCTTTTTCCACATTTACAAACCTGAATCTCAATCTCAAATGAGAAAAACATTGATAGCTGGGATGAAAGATCTCAAAAATCCTCAATTTTGGGCTCTCCTAGATCGCCAAATCAAGCTCATTATATCATGGCATCTCAGGGCTGAGAAGATTTGAGATGTCATGGTTTATCATGATGGTTTACCTCCTTTAATATCTAACCATTAGAATAATTGCAGTTCTACAACTCTGATAACACACGTACCTATCATGATAAACCATGACATCTCAAATCTTCTCAGCCCCTTCGAGGTGAAACAGAAAGATGCTATGAGTATCAGAATGACACGTACCTGACTGGACTGATACTGTCTTGTTTGGAATTCAGTGTATCCTGGTGGTGAGTCTTGGTGTAGCTGGCCACCTGTCTCACTGGCATCATTTAGTAAAGCTCCCTTATCCGTGGACATTTTCAACAGACTACTGAGTAATATCAGAGAATTGAATATCTATTTACTTTGTTTATGGTTGCAGTTTATGATTTTATGATTGTGACATAGTATATGGGGTCGTGTCAACAATTCAACATCCAGTAAAGTAATTATTTTAAGACATTTCAAATATTTGATTGCGCTTGATGCGACAACCTATATCAGGCACTTTAGTATTTTGTATTTATTTATAATATAGTGGACCAATACATACTCTGTTCACAATAACATCTTGGCGTAAATAAATGTTTTGACCCGATCCCCAATCTACTGATACGACATCATTCTGAAGTTAGTTTGAAGAGAGGCAAGGACTCTGGTCACCAACGCAATAAAATGAGAAATGGTGAACAATGACATAAACCATACATGGTAATATCGACTATTCCTATAACTTTTTAATAACTCAAATGACTCATGAATTGTGGATGATTTGATCAACCCATTTTGTATTCTAGTCTTTAAATTCGGGGTGTCGGGCTTTGTATAAAAAACCTCCTACCTCATACCCACCTACCCACGTACGTGGGACATGATACACTCTTTGAAGGGTTCAATTTTAAAGATCTTAGTTTATTAAATCTTAGTTTATGATGAATTATAGATGCATTTGTAACGACCCTTGATAGCAAGTTGCTACTACATCCCAGCTGGGTTCGATTCCCATTCGGGGCATCGAATTTAGCACACTTTCTTTCAATTTCTTTATCTGACTTGTTGGACCTATGCTCGCGGTCATTAGTTATTTATTTCCCTGGGGTTCGTTTTTCGTACGATCGTAACTTACGATTCCGAGAAAACCATTTGTCTCTGTTTTGATGAACAATGACTTGCGACCAAATCGTAAGTTACGATGGTTTCAAAAACGGACCCCTGGGGCGCCCTCGGATCATTACACATTAAAATGCATCCATGTGCCTTTATTTATGGATCTGTCATCTGTCTAGTCATAAAATAAAGCCGGAATTGTAGAAATGTTAATAATTTGAGCTATTTTGAGATTTAATAATCTTTAAAATTGAACCATTCAATGACTGTATCATGTTCCACGAAGGTGGGTAGGTGGGTATGAGGTAGGAGGTTTTTATACAAAGCCGGGGTGTCGCCCTCATTGAGTCTTTGGCCTATATTCTTTAAAAAATCCTACATAGGCTAAATACAATTTTCTAGAAAAGCTTTGACTATCAAGATGATTAATGTGTGAGGCAGTACAATGCAATAAGTGGATTGGTTTATGAATTACCAATTTGGTAAAATATTTGGATTTACCGGTCCTTTTAATGATGAAAGCTGTAATATCGAATGATTTCATGTGAGATAAAAAATCATTGGACATCTTTCAAGAATTGAATTTTAATGGCAAAGCAAATGCATAAATTTTATTTACATCAATGTGCGAAGTAAACACAAAGTAGTCTTATACATCTCGAGGTGATCCTCGTTTCGAGTTTGTCATTTTTGTTGTATACTATCAGATATATCATGAACCAATGATAAAGAAAAGACTTTTCTTCATCCTCGGTATCAACTCACCAGATATACATATGTAACATATATACCAGATGCACGCATAATGAAAAGGAGCTCATATGTCATTCATAAACTTGGTTTATCTGTTTATCTATCTGTCCCCTAATAGTGAATTCATGTTATGACATTAACATTAGTGATGCTAGATACATTAGTAATGCTGCATAGTTGTAGTTGTAACGGTTGTTATGACTTTCTCCCTCTGAATAATGTCATATTCTCGTTTCAGCTGACACAGAGTGCATGGGCCACAGAAGCAAGCCACACAACAGTCATCCATGATACTGCCCTGAAATAAAAAACACATGCAAATATAGACAGTGAATGGTCAATGGCCTCAATTAATGACAATTTAACAAAAAACAATTGTTTATCAATGTATTTTTAAAACAATGGTATCGACTTAGAAAATGTTAAGATAATTAAATAACTTACCATTATATTGTGCTGGGTTCTCAACTTTGTCCTTAGTGCGATTGTAGCTCCGGGGACGCATATTGGAGTGCAACATGACTCGTTATTCTTAGAGTGGAACCAGCACTGGTAGCACAGGCCACACCACGCGACCAAACAACCTGGTCGATATAGGAGATATGCAAATGATATTTTTACAAATGAAATGAAAATATAAGGACATCAATTTGTTTTCTTATACTACTGTATAAGGGGAAATGATAACATGAATATCATAATTATAAAATATTCAACGGCGTAGACGTGGCGATGCCTGTCAATACATTTTCAATTGAAACAATAAAAAGTCTTATTAAAGTATTATATCTACTTTAACTCAAATTTTGTCGCACCTTTTCAATTTTTCGAATAACAGAATAACGTTTATATGCAATGATATTTGGAATATAGGGTGTTTGGGATGTAACTTTGCCCAGTCAGGTAGCTAGAAATGTCACCCTCATTGAATAGGTGTTATATCAGTATATATACTAGTACTTACACGATTCCATATCGCTCGTACAGCTGCATAGAGTAGTGGACCATGTTTTACCCCCGCTCTGCTGAATAATCACAGTTTGGTTGACACCACCCATAGGTGGCACTGCCTGGGGCTGATTCACTACAACACCAAGGGGAACTGTTCCAACCTAGGAGAACAATAAAAGAAAATAACCTACAATCATTCCCACAAATTCTTCAATTGATTCTCTATCAACAAATTTTAAAGTTTTTGAGACTAGAATTGACATTGTAAGCTCATTGAGATCTTAAAGGCCCTATGCAAAGTTTAAACTACTTTTATCTTGCAATTTCCCGGGAGTTTACTAGTTGTATGAAATTGTAAGTTGAACCTCATACAATATTTTTATATGGATACTGATACTACCACTATAATAAGACTAGACTCCATGTGCAGGAAAGGAAGAACTTTATTACTCGTTAGAATATTACAGGGGTAGTGTACGCAGACCGTACACACAAGTACCGTTAACGTTAACCTTAGATTGACATGAACTGATCATTACAACCACAAAACGATATGCTCATTCTTCGTCGCCACAGAGGCCAATATAATACCTGATTTTCTTATAATGTTACAGTTTTTTATTTTAAAGAGTAGAAATTGTGGATTTGTTGAAATAAATTTTTATTGCACATATCCTGATCTATTTTTAGTTGAAGAAAAATAATTAAAAAATTAGAGAGAATTTACAAGATGTTTCATTAAAATGCTACCACACCAGAATGAAACAACACGGCTTTACGTGATGTGTCTCATACTCTGTCACTTAAATACTGTCATTTGTTGGCGAAAAATATGTTTGTGCCTCTCCAGCGGCGCTAATGGAACAAATGGTCAGAGCCACCTTTTGGGAAATCCAACAGAGCCAACTGATATTAGCGCGGCAAATATACCTTATTCTCAGGTTGGACTCATTTTTATTATCCCAACGAACGAAGTTCGTTAGGGATATAGTGAAGCCCCGTCCGTCCGTCTGTCCGTCCGTCCGTCAGTCAGTCAGTCAGTCAGTCCGTCCGTCTGTCCGGAAGATAACTCAAATACTGGTTTACAGATTTTCTTCATATTTAGTGGAAAGATGTATATTGGTGAATAGTTTTACGCAAAAAAAATTTTTTTCAAGATGGCCCCCGCTTTAAAAGTGACGGGACTTTTTCGCAAAAATCATAAATTTTTCATTCTAAACCAAAGTAATTAATATTATTGTTTGAAATTTTGGTAGTGTATTCACAACATTTATCTATTTCACATATATTCCGTGTTTTTCATCCTGACCCCCAGGGGCCATGTATGGGGGGACAGGAAAACAGATATTTTCGCTAATTTTTAGATCTTTCTGAAGTATAGCTTTATTATACTCAAATGAAAGGCAATTAAGAGTAGATTGCAAATATTGTATCTTTTTTCTGATTCGAGCCTCGTAAAATTCAAAATGGCCGTCTAATGTACGATTTCACAATAATTTTTCGATCCCTTCAAAGTGTGGCTATATTATACTCAAATTGAAGGAATTTTGGAGTAGATCACAATTATGGTATTATTTTTCAGATTTGTACCTCAGAAAATTCAAAATGGCTGCTTTGCAGGAATTCGCAATTCTAAAATCTAATTTTTTCATTTTCAACCAAAGTAATGAGGATAATTGATTGGAATTCGGTAATTGATATTTTGTTCGTTGGGATTTGCTACTCCGCGGAGTTGCCGTTATCTAGTTTAGCCTAATCATTTTACCTTGCTGGACACTAGTAGCCAACTAAAACTCAGACGATTTAATATTATTTTCAAACATTGGATGGGACGTTTAAATAAATCCCTAAGTTTAAGAACTTACCAGGGTAATTTTAGATTTTTCCAAAATGCGAACGAAGAAAGTATTTTTCGTTTCATGCTTATGGCATTCAGAAAGTCACCATCGATATGTCTCTCAATCTGATTTAGTATTACATTAAACACTATTTGATTTGAATTTTGAAATATTTTTATTATTGTTAACCATACTTTCACATCATAAACCCAGGGTCTCCATCTAAAATAGTTATATCGTTGTTACTGTTATGAGAGTGACTTTATCATCTAAGAATAAGAGCAATTCCCTAACAATACATACATAAAGTTCACAGAACACATTCATCAGAATATATTGAAAAATAAAAAATTAGAGAGATATTATGAGAACTTTATGATATACCCTCGTACATTTACCTGATTGGCCTTATAGTGTGCTGTATTTGGAGGGTACCCTCCTGCCTCACTGGCATCATCTAGTATAGCTCCCTTATTCGACGACATCTTCGACAAACTGATGAAATTATTGTACGTTTATAAAAAGATCTTGATTGTGATTTTAAAAGTGATAAGAAGGCGTATAAGTGGTCGTGTTAGTAATTCAACATCAAGCTAAAACAATTATTTCATTTTGACTAACCCCGGCCTCCCTTTAAGGCAGTTGTTTACTGACAATGCGTGGCCCTATGCTATAGCATAGGACCAATGATTTAACGAGTGTTTAGCTTTAGGACATGTACATTTCGAGATATCACACTTTTGAAAAAAAAATCGAAAAATGAATTTCTACTTTATATTGACATAATTTTGATGAATTTAATGAATTGTGTACAGTTGTGTACAGGCTTTTTAATGTATTATTGTTACTCTTTGGAATATAATTAGAAAAACGTTAGACAAAAACACATGGAATTTTTTTCGAAGAGCATTTGTTTATTTTTGTTCTTCGAAAAAATCCATATGTTTTTGTCTAACGTTTTTAGGTATTGACATACAAAATGTCACCACCTGCCATTTATAACAAACGCCGAACTCCCGACTGCCGGACATAGAACACAGTCCAAAAAATTGGAGACAATATGTCACCACTTGTGGTGGTGACTCAAAAACATTACAGTGTCCAAAAATCAAATAAATCCTGTCGTTCAATATTGGAGATAAAACCAGTTCCCTACTTTCCTATTCACTAATATGGTGGATCAAAATGTTTTCTACCTGTAATAAAAAACAAAGTCGGTGACAGCAACTCTTTTTGTTTGATATAGTGCTCGAGACCTCAGAGTAATCAACTACCTTAAAACGAATTTCACGGTTGTTCTGAGAGCCTCATGACCCTCTTCACTATGTCTATCCATAAATCAATGTTAAGGCCATGCCTTATCTAACAACACTGCAAATGGTAAAGTTTGTTGTAGCAACTGATGTAATCACGTGTTGAAACTGACAAAATAAAATACGGTATTGTTTTAACTTTTCAATTACTGCCGTTCGGCACTTGATAACATGTCAAATTCCAAATTGAATTCAACTTCTCGGAGCCTTTTCAATTTTTAAAGGCAGTAAATACGTATTCAACTTGAGTAGTTTTTGTGAACTGACTATTAAATACAGAAAAAAGGTTTATAGTAAAATCTATATTATCATTAATATTAGGTCATAGTGTTTCTTTTATCTACATGTCGTGTGCGATTCATTGTTTTCTTTATCTCCGAGATGTACCTCAAATTTTAAAACAACTTAACTTACATTGTCAAAACACCTTACAAGGGGAGATATCTGAATGATCTTACAAGGCCATCATGTTATCACTTAAGATATGACATCAAAATAAAGGTTTGTCTTACACCCAATACAAAACCAGGTGTGAGGGGTTTTAAAATCTTAATCATGAGAATTGGCATTTCCTTCTATCTTGGTATCATTTTGAATATGCCAGAATACGTAGCATACAATACTAATAGCTTTAACAGTTATCTTTTCATGAAGTACTGTATAGTAATACTGTATACTATATGTACTGTATATTGCACTAATTTTCTGGTTCATGAGCACTCATATATTTGATGCTGAAAGTTAGAAACAAACACATTCTTTTGGAAGATTCTTCTCATTTTCTATTTCATTCAATCATAATTCATCTTAAGTACATGAGAAATGAGGCTTTCATTTTTGCAACATGATCTATTCTTCTCAAAATAAAACAGCATAATCATTAAAAAAATAGTAATGTCTGTTCTCATTATGATGTCATCACATTAACCTCATATTTCACATTGGATAATGTCAGCCAAGGAGGATTGGCTCCCAGTGTTGCAACTCGATATTCTGCGTATATGGAGATGTGATTACAAAATTCGAATTCAAATAGCCGCCATTTTGTTCACTTCAAAATTTGAATTGCGAGTTTTTGGTCTTTTTTACAAACAAAAAATTCCAAAGCACACAAGAAGTGAACGAGATATTGGTTCGAATATTTTGAACTGTTGATTATGAATTCATAGTCGTTATAATTTCAGAAAATAACAAAATTTTAAATGTTGGAAAATATTGAGTTGCGTTCCTGGAATCCAATCCTCCTTGATGTCAGCTGTTCTATAATGATGGCATCATAAACACTCCATGTCTCTTTCTATACCCACAAACCTCAGCTGCTCAGTGGGGCCATACCTGGAATGAAAATAGTCGACTAGTTGTACATTGTATAAGTCTACAACCCTATTCTAACCCTAAAACGGTTAGGTAACTTAGCTTAGGGGGGTTAAAGCCACAAATTTTTCGCTAAACCATGCCTTACACAATTTCAATTTCAGGTCATAAAACCAACTGTGAAAAAGGTTATCGAAAAAAATCTAAGGAGAGGGGGCAGCTAAAGTCTTGCTTTATAAGATATGTTGCTACTAAAGGCATTCAAAGGATGCTATAACCACTAACCTGTAATCAAAGAAGAGCTCTTCTCCTGCGATAATATTTCTCTTCCCAAAGATTCCAATACGATGATCTCCATTCACCATCATCACTTTGGCATAACAGTTAGGGTTGACGGAGTGATTTGCAAATCTTATCTTATTGCCTTTTCTAGTTGCATCCACCACATAATCTAGGAAAATAATGTGTACACAGTATAGCCTCCAACAGGAAAAGGGAGCATGGTTCTATAATGGCATCTTCAGTGGTCTGTAATCGTATTCATCTTTCAAATTGAGCACTTGTCGAACCAGACCAAGTTATATATTAGATTTTATGTTATACGAAATGGAAAATCTATCAAAATTGTAATATCGGACAATATTTTGAGAAGACGATCTATACTTGTATTTACAATGGAAACAACAGGATCTTGCATTACTATATTAGTAATAGGAGCTGTGATTTAAAAAGAACATATTCACGTTAAAACTAGTGAACATAAAATATTGCTTTCATGGTTTATTTCTGGTTATTACAGCCAACTAGCAAATCTTACTATTATTGAGGTTGAACAAAAAGCTACAAAGATGCCTGTCGTAGACTTTTCCTCTCCTGTCAGCCTCATCTTGGGAAATGATCTGAAATGAAAAATGTCCAATAATAATTTCATGTATGAAACTAACTGAAAACAATGACAATTATGTAATTACAATAAATATTCCCTTTGTCATTCAAGCAATGATATATTGAATCAGCAAAATTAATATTTTGATACAAGTCCCAAAATAACATTTCAGATTGATCTGATAACTCACTCAGCATTATAATGAATGTTAAGTGATTTTACATGCTCTGATTTGGCCTTTGTTCTCTGGGAATGCTCCTTCAATGCAACATTCATATTGGCCCTTGGAGCTTTCCAAATATGGTATATAAATTCCTTATATTTGACATGTGCCAATCAGGCTGTCAATGTGGATGCAACTGTGATGTCATTCTTTTAAGCGAGACTTATAACTGCCAACACTGCAGTAATGTGACATCATTAACAAATAGAGTTCTGTCTGATACATACAGTAACACTATGACATTATAATAGTCTATGTATGCTCTCAAAACGCGTTAGCACACTCCTAAAATCATATATTTGTGAATGTGATATATTAATATGTGATGTATTTATTTATTGAATCTCAATTGAGTCTTACCTCTCCACAGTATTCTGAGATGAAGTCATTCTTCTCACAGTTAGTTTTAATAAATATTCCCCAGCCAGCAACATCAGAGGGCGCTAGTAGCAGATGCTGTAACAAACGTACTTCTCTTCAGAAAGGTTGCTTATTTAAGATTTCAAAAAATGAAAAAGCTAAGAACAATTTATGTCAGTCTGATTTTCAGTATGTTTGGAAATATGCTGCATACCATTTTTCATTTTTGTTTTCAAAAGAAGTCTGATTTATCCAACAAATTGAGCAATTTTGGTTAGAAAGTTACAAGATAGCATCCAATTGTAAAGTATAATTTATTCATTCATTTGGATTAATTTTGAAGGTATTGAATCAGTGCTTTAGGTAAAAAGTGATTGATCCATCAAAATGCATAAGCTTTATTCGTCACATTGGGTTCCTTTTCAATTTTTTTGCTTGGCTAATTTTGTATTCACAAATGGCGATCATTAATTTGGAACTCTGCCAGCATGATTAAAGTGGAATTCAGGCAATGAAACAGAATTGATTTGGACTGAACATAAACTCTGATCTTCAGTTTGAATAGCAATTTTACAAGATATGTAGAACTAGTCACCTGAATGAACAAAATAAATTGAGCAATAAGTGTATTTATTGATATTATGATAAAATAAAATGAATATAAAAGTACATGTAAGTACATACATACCTTTCTCAGACCCCTCTGGACACAGACATTTTTGCAAGATATCTGCTTTGATTTGTCAAACTGGTCGGCCCCACAGGTCAGACAAAGGTCAGGGTCACATTCACGCACAGCCAGGAAACAAGGACACTGCTTTGTATTACACTGAGCCTTACATCGACATCCTGGAAATCTGTTCTGACCTACAAGATGTTTTTACATAGTCTAGTTTTTATTTTCTAAATACATGTCTAATTAAGAGGTAAGTGACACATGTATTGATGTGTAGAGTTATATGGTTTAATTGTACTAATTGTATTTATCTGCTATGGCAAGATAGAGGTTTCATTTAATTTTTTTTAATTGTATAATGGTATACTTTGCAAGAAATACTAGTTTCTAAAAAAATTGAAAAACTCGTTTTCCCAGTGCAGTTTAAGATTCAATTACGTATCATATTTCTTTTCTATTGCATTTATTTATTGTTTTGTCTGATGAAATAAATAGTATATACATTAGTATACTAGAACAGCAGAGATCTTTAAAATCAATATTTTAAGGATCATATTGATATGTATGCTTGGAAGGTAACCGGACAACTCATCCACTAGACAACTCATCCCCTGGACAACTCATCCTTTGACATGTTTGAGTAACATAATGTTATATTACCAATTCATATTTGATATTAAAATGATTTTTAAATGTTTTGGTATTATGAATATGATCAGTTTTAAGTTTCAAGAATATATATTACAAGAACAAAGCCTTTCCACGGGGGATATCTGGAAAATAGTTAAAAACCATAATGATATTGTCAATGGGATAATCAACCAATTAATTTGTAATTTGTTTTGTAAATATTTACTTTTAATTTTACTTTTAATATACAATTTTAGCATTATATTAACATTGATTGAAGAGAAGAAGCTCTTTTGATGTCATAATATCTTTGTTGTTCATAGCTCAAGTATTCTTTAATCCAAATATTATTTTTTCACAGAATTCACAGATGAAGTTACTAAAGTTCATGTTTCCAAATTATGCAAAAAGAAATTTTCATTTTTTGTCATGAAATATTGAGCCATGGAATATAAAGACAAGAGATGAGACCTTTACTGGCACTGTTTGACTAATATCAAATAAGTATTTTCGTAATTTTGTGTCAGTAAAGTGAAAAATAATATTTTGAATAATCCAAGGTGTATTTACTTAATATTTATTTTCCAGAAACATTTTAAAATCTAGCTTCAAGTTATAAAGGATGAGTTATCCAGGGGATGAGTTGTCAAGGGGATGAGATGTCTAGGGGATGAGTTGTCCAGTGGATGAGTTATCCAGGGGGTGAATTGTTTAGGGGATGAGTTGTCAAAGGATGAGTTGTCTAGGGGATGAGTTGTCCGTAAGCCATCTAGAAATTGTAGGATAAAAAGTAACAATTTTTAATTGACTGATTGTCACAGGTAAAAATAGCTTTGATTCAGGTATCCTGGTAACTTGTATGTCACATTTACTAAATAAGAATTTTATCTTTAAGCTAAGCTACTGCAATAAAATGGACCAACAGCCTGGGCTTTATTAAGAGGACCTTCAAATTCAATGAAAAGAAGCTTACAGTCTGAACTGCATTGGCAGAACTTTTCACAGAAGTTTTGAGCCATGGCGCAGGGACATGTATCATCACACTTCTGGCCGGGATGGTCACATGGCTGGTAGTTAAAGACATGGTTAGAAGTGCCATCTTTCTTCAGTTGAATCTTACGACAGTGCATGGACCACAACCTGAAAAAAGATATAAGAAAGAAATGATGATCCCTTGTGAAGTATGGCCTCCATCTATATTGCCCTTACTGGATCTAATTGAGCAAAACTGTACCAGAAGAGTTGTATTTAGGTTAATTTCATAATCAACAGGCAGTGGATCAAAATTTGGCAAGGATTAAAGGGGTATTCATCTAACAAAAATGTATAATATTATATTTTTCTGCAATAAAAACAAGATTCCAAAGGTGATAGTGTTGATTAAAGGACCAGGCATTACATGCAACATATTGATTTGATGATGTGATTAAATTGTGATTTATTTGGGTGATGGTAGTGGTGCATGCATCGAGTATTGCTAAATTGTTAAATTCTGAAGAGAGATACAACACATTAAACAGTTACTTTCTTCACTAAGAACTTTTTTCTATAGAAAATTGAAATATTCCTGGGAATATTGACGATTCTTTCATGCATAATGGACAAGATGAACTCAAGTGTACAAACAAACCTGTGTTTCTTCTTTTTCTTCCGAGGTGGTGTAATGTCACGTTCTTTTTGTTCTTCCAGTAAATGTGCAGCCTCCACCTTGGCAAATAAATAAACCTGGAAACACATGCACATTTTTATTATGTAAACAAATCCAAGTTCAAATGTTGTTTAAATATGTACTCATTTCAATCAAAAATGAGTCCAGCTAAATTTTTAGCTCCATAGATTTTGATATAATTTCAAGTAACACAACTTCAACAAGGAAAGAAATATACTATACTAAAATGAAATATCCTATACAGGGAGGGACATCTTCTTATACACAAATGACAATGATAAAATCATACCTGTTTACATGTTTTTGTGCCTATTAATTTAGCCATTCCACAATAGTTGTTGCGCTGAAGGTCAAACACCACACGAAACATTGATTCTTCTGCTCCAGTCCAAGTAACATTGCTCAATTCTGAAAAGTATTGCCTCACTTTGATATACATATTTTTCTGGTAGGAAATGTTATGGCACCTCCAAAGATTTTCAGCATGGAGATTTATTCAAGCAAACCAATTGGCATTGGTAAATAAGAGGCATTTTTAGAGTGGAACTGTAAAATTACGTCACTCAGTAGTTCAATATCCTATTTGGCTTACATTTGGCCTCATTTGTCTCAATACATTGCCTACATTTTTGTCCTGACCCCCCCCCCTGCCAGCACAAATGTGAGCAGGCAGCCCATCACTTCACCCACACTTAAGTAATTTCACGCTTTGTATTCTTAGACATGACCAATACACAGTTATAATTTGCTTGTATTACCTTCACTACTTGAGCTACTACTGTCAGAACAAGATTTGTCGTCTGATGTGAGATCTTCTTGAGCTTCAGTTCTTTCAGATTCCCTGGCCTTCTGAAAACATGATACAGTAAAACTTATGTAAACTAGCCTATATTTGCGATTTTCTATTATTTAGGGATAAGGGAAGAACAACCCAGTAGTTAACTGCCATCTATACGAGTCCTGGCTCTCATTAAATATAACTTTTGTTAACATAATATGTTGTTGTTGTCTCACCTTATTGTGCATGTAACAACAGTCTCCACATGGTTCAGTAGGTGTCTTTAGCTCACTGGTTTTACGATTGGTCATACTAGGGGTGGCCTTAAATGCTACAAAAAATTGAAAACATATTTTTCAAAGATTTCATGTCATTCACTATTCAGATTTAATTTTTTAGGATTTTAGGTTTTAGTATCTATTTTATATCCCATACATTACTCCTTTTTGAAATAAAATTTAAATAAAAAAAAAAAATAAAAAAAAATTTAAATGTACATTTCATTTTATGACAAATGTAACTTACGATGCAAGAAGCAGTCATATTTATAGCACCTGCGACAGAAAAGAGTGTGGAATGAGTGCATGACTTGTTCACGAGGGAGGGACTGAGCTGAGGGACCATCTAGATTAGGAGCACATTCTGCTGGGGTGTTGTTTGGATCTTGGGCTTCAACCATCTCTTTGTACCTGAATGCAACGATTGAAATTAATCAAATCATTCCTTTTAATTCTTGCTTATAACTCAGGTTACCTGTGTTTGTATTCTGTGTTTATACTGGAATTAGCTCATTATTGAAAATTGAAATTTAAAAACACTTAAAGGGATTTACAAAACAAAATGTCACCAATCAAAATGGTTTCAAAACTGATACAGACACAACCGCTAAATTCTTGTTGGTGGCATAATAAAGCCTAACAAGGCATTATCATACAAAGTGTCAACACCTGCCATTTGTCACAGACAATGATTGCCAAATAATGATATAGACGACAACCGCAAAACACTGTTACAGATGCCGAACACCAGCCGAAAAAAGTTGGAGACTTTAAATATATGTTACCACTTCATAATACTATAATTACATAAATCCTTTCTTGCTTGAAATATTTGAAATAAGGAAAAGATGGATTAACTTACTTGTCCCTAAGGTCATCAATGGAGCCCTTATCTGGGAACATGAGAGATATGGCTTCAAATATAACATAGGCTGGGAAGTCAGGGTTCACATCCGATATACTGCTGCTTGGAGCACCCTCTATAATAAACAAGAATCATCTTTAGTCATCAAAAAATAATAAATGCAGAAGTTTGTCAAAGATTCCCAAAATACTCGGGCACACAGTTTGCCACGCCATAATACAAATATTGAAAAGTTTTATTTTCATTTTTGTTCACATCATACATACTTTACAGCTATATACATGTACAGCATAGGAGAACACAAAAGCTCATTTGGAATGGATTATACATGTAGTATTGTTGTATATTTGAAGTAGTTCATTGCCATAAAATTACACATGAATGACTTACCATTATTGATGTCAAGTTGAGCTTCAGGATAGTTCTTATGTAGATTATTAACAAGCTCAAAAAAGATTTCATCATCAATGAATCCCCCTTCTCTGTCACCATGCACTTTGCCATCATAATTCTTGATCAATTCTTCAATAAATTTTCCATCTTGCTCCAAAATATCATCGCCCATATATGGAATGTTGTGCAGAATTGTTTCATCTTCTACCTGTGTTGGAGAAAAATCAAGAAATACGTAAAAATGTGGAGAGAAAAACATGATACAAAGAAACAGTGTTTTGCATTGCCTTTACCACATTTGAAGAAACACTACATGATCAAAAACCACAAAAAGTCAAGACAATAAATGTTGAAGATAACTTTGAAATTTATAATGAAGTTATTAGACAACAGTCATACAACTATCGAGGAGATAATCCCAATGCTATGAGATAGCAAATCTAATTGAATTTTAATATAGCCAAATATTAAAATATGGAAAAATGATTTTCCAAACCTTCAAATGGAGCCTAAATTCTCATTGGCATTCTCCTTACCATAAAGTTGTTCTGTAGAGGTGCCCATGTGTACATTGTGGGCAGGCTAGGGGTGGCAGGCATAGTTCTCAGGCCGCAGGTCTGGGGAGGGAGGTTATTCAGACCCAATGTCACAACTGACTGAAAGTATAAATAAGGGGAGAACATATATTAACAAGGCATTTACATGCAAAATGTCACCACCTGCAATTGTTACAAACACCGAATGCTGGACCCGACCACCAAACACTATCCATACATAAAAATGTACTACATCTAAAACAGTACTATAAACAAGGCTACATAAAAACATTATTTACAAAAACTTGAGGTCACATATCATCTATCCTATGGGTGATATCTTGAGAAGAATGACACATGTTGAGTGCACACTGTACAAGGCTCTCATGAAGAAATATCAAAGTTGTGGTTAAAACCAGGTATAACGGTTCAGTTGTGGTAGATCACATGTGTTTTAAATTTCTCACAGTTCACATGAAACAATGATTTCATTAAAAAAATTCAAACTTCTTTTTTTTTATTTCCTAATTAAAGATACAAGTATACAAATAACATAATACAATACTAGCAACAGCAACAGGTTGTGTTTCACTTACATTTTTCTAATCAATATTTCAAAGTTAAATAAAAACTCCAAGTTTGGATGGTCTCCCTTTTCATATTTGCTAATAACATTATGTGCCACTGAAATAACTAAATCAATTTTTTGATCATTTGTCCCTATAGAAAATTCAAACTTTGGCAACAATCAAATTAAGTTGATACGTTGTGGTGGGAACTATTAATTAGACAGTAGTGATAAGACAATAATACATGTAACAATAAAAATTACCTGTTTAGTGATAGGGACTCTGCTAAAGACCTCTGCAGCCTGAAGACTCTGATATGGTTGCTGCTTTAACCATTCTGAATCTTCCTGTCTCCTTTCATTGATACGTCTTCTGTTGGCACCAAATACAGCCTGTAATGCACACAATATAATTACAGCCTGTTATGCACACAATATAATTACAGCCTGTAATACACACAAAATAAACACACAGCCTGTGACGTATGCAAGATAATAATAATTTTCAATTTTCATTCATGAACAAAACATTTAAATAATAGCAATCATCAAGCTAATTATATAAGTATAGTTATGGTCTTTATTATTAAAGGGACAAAGTGCGTAAATGAAGTTTCACTTTTGATCTTCATAGTATTTCCAATGGATAAATAAGTACCCGATCTTTCATTTGACACCAAAAACAGCTCAAACAGACCACATCAGAGTTGACACTAGATCATAAAAAATATTTTTGATCAATCAATTTATATGTGTCAAGTTTTTAGCCATGCCATAGATAGATGGCATTGTTGTTTGCATTAATTATCCATTCATTTTGATAGGATTTTCAAGCATACGCCATCTTTTAATCCAAGAGTTATTTAAAACATCCACAAATGTGAAAAGTGGTAATTCACTTTTTTCAGTCTCTGAACTTCAAATGCCGTTTTCTATGCGAGTAATTTTTTTTTCAGTTCAGTATTATACCAAATTAAAGTTTTTATCATATTTGATTGGCTGTGCGAGTGACATGTCTCATATAATACTTTGTCCTTTTTCCTTCCAAAATAGGCACATTGCCTGTTTAATTAATATTCTTGCATGGTCAACTCTAAATAAAGGACATCTACTTTTAAATTGAGTGTAATCGACTAGTAGTCTACACTTCAGAGATCACAAAATGACTGAAATGCCTTTGTTCTTGACCACCCCCCATCTCCCTTATACATGTGGTCCTTGCATATTCGTTGAATCCATTATTTCATAGTTCACTGTTATAATGCATCTCAATTCACTTAGTTACCTTCACATTATCTGCTCTCCTAAATCGTTTATTCTGCCTTAGTCTCATGTACTCCGATTTAACTCTGCGTCTCCATTCCCCAAGTGTTACAAGCTTTGGGTTTATTTCATGTTTCTGTGAAGATATCGAGCTGATGCTTTCATCAGCGCTTGATTCTTCCATTTTCTACAACATGATGATGTAAACATGGGTTACAACTTATGTGTTATACAATGGAATCTATTGAGATAGATGCTATTTTAGTGGAATTTTGAGGTGGCATAGAGAGTTATAGCTCTATTTACCACTACAAATGTAGAGTGCAATATGAAAATGATTTTTTCCTTTAGTTTTTTTTGCTCAGACACATAATCATCATCATCATCATCATCATAGTACACGATTCAATCATTTACTGATTACTACATCGCGGGTTAGTATGCATAGTAAAAGATAAAAACAGTGTTAGAGTAAAAGGTAAAGTTAAAATCGGTTTAAAAACAGTTACACAACAGTAAGAGTTAAGGAATGGGGTTTTGGTAGTAAGAACCCAGCGTGGTTTTAAAGCCTTCTAATGTTCCCGCTGTCACTATTGATTCTGGAAGTGATTTCCATTCCCTGATTGTATTTGGGAAGAAAGACTGCAAAGTGACATCTTTGTTGTATCTGTGGCGGACAAAGGCTTGGCTGTTAGTTACTTGTAATCGTCTGGGTCTATTGTGGGAGGGGGGTTCAAGATATTGGTCCTTGGGAATTCCAACTAGGCTATTGTTGATTTTATAGAGCATGGTGAGCCGTTGTTGTTGTCTTCTCTGCTCCAGAGACTTCCATTGTAGCTTGGACAGCATAGCACCGACAGAGCTAACACGGTTGAAGTCATTCATGACATACCGTGCTGCTCTTCGCTGGGTCATCTCCAGAGCTTGTTTTTGGGTTGATGTGTAAGGGTCCCAGACACAGCCTGCATATTCAAGCCTTGGTCTAATCAGGGTGAAATATGCAGTCTGCTTAGTATGTTGAGGAGCTTTCCATAAATGACGTCTCAGCATGCCAAGGAGCTGGTTACTCTTGGTTATGGATTTAGCAATATGCTGGTTCCACTTAAGGTCTGCCTGCACTGTAACACCAAGATATTCTGCAGACGATACCTGTTTGAGGGCATGTCCCTGCATGTTGTAGATGGAGACAGCAGGTGTTCGTCTTCCAGTTGCCGACAGCACAGTGCACTTGTCTGGGTGGAATTGCATCAGCCATTGATTTTCCCAGGCTACTGCAGCATTAAGGTCTTCTTGTAGTAATGCTGCATCGATAGGTGAATCAACTTGTCTGTAAATGATGCTGTCATCTGCAAAAAGCCTCAAGGTACTATGTTGCAGGACATCAGGTAAGTCGTTAATGTAAATGAGGAAGAGGATCGGACCGAGGACAGTCCCCTGGGGGACTCCTGATGTTACAGCTGCCTCATCCGATGTCACTCCATCTACACTAACTCTTTGGGTTCTTGCTTGCAGGAAGTCTTTGATCCAGTAGTTGGCCTGACCTCTGATACCGTAGTATTGGAGTTTGTAAAGCAGGTGGCGATGTGATACTTTGTCAAATGCCTTTGCAAAGTCCATCACTATGACATCAGTCTGGTGATTAGTGTCATTCGCCAGTACAAGGTCATGGAAAAAGGTGACAAGTTGTGTTTCACATGACCTCTTACTCCTGAAACCATGTTGCACCAAACATTTATTAGGGGAGCAAGCTTTGTTGCTACTTGATAAAGTTTTTATATATTGTGTAGCCTACATGTATAATGATAATTTACATAAACACATGTAAAAGAAATTGTTAGTGTAAGAACCCCCTCCCTACTAAATTTCCCATAAATCGGACTGTGTTCTCATCTCAAAGTAATGAAAAATTGAGGATCTCTTTGTTAGTTTTATGCCTTTCATTCTTGCTATGCCACCTCAAAGATCATAAATTTATGTTAAATCTATAGTCTATAACACAGGGATCAATATTATCATAGAATTGAGGAAATCACCACAGTATTTACAACACAATTTACCTTTTTATCTGGAGATTCAGTGAAAATTTTTCAATTCCCGCTGCACATTTACGACATTAACCGTGAAGGGGTCGTCAACCCGGAAGTAAAATTATTCCTTCCTTATGAGTTCCTTGGAATTTCAATGAATTTGGTGGCGAAATGGCTCCTGTAACCTCCTTTGCAGATGTATTTTGGGTGAGTGACTATATTTCTATCAGTCTAACTTGAAGATGAAATGGGATGATTGTCCAAAGACATTGCCAAACACCAATAGTGGCCAATAGTCAAGATCTATTTTACTTTTTATTTGAAAAACAGGTAACTGAACAGAACAGATTACATTTAGATCGAGCAGAAATAAAACAGACTCAGTAAACATAAGCCCATGGAGTAAATAAATAGCTTCACTGTTCTATGGTTTTAGTGCTCTCCTTTTGAAGAGTGTGTCACTCCCTGAGTCTATAGTGGGGAGGGGGGTATTCATCTTCCTCATGAGCATCCAGCTACATGTAGCATCCATTACTTCTCAATGTTCGCATTTGTTCGCTTATGCGTTGCGTCACTATTAACTTTTGAAATCTTTATACACAGTTGCGGAGGTACAGCTGACATGCATCTGGAAGTTCCGTTGTGCTCACTACCAAACCCTAGACTATATCCTCTAGTCTGAAGAACGAGAATCACAGTTTTGTTTCACTAGCTCACTACTAGTCCTTCCTACATTACCATTATTTTGCCAATGCATGTACAAGCTCATTTTGTTAGCATGGAACATTCTAACAGAAATCAGATAAACATTTATGTTTACATGTACATATCAGTATCGGTACATTTTTGATGATACATGATACAATATTTGACGCACACTTTACATATATACAGTATTTGCTCATAATTTCAGGGTGGAGATTTTTGCAGTACTCAAGGATTTGAAACAATATGTCGTCGAATGAAGGAAGGGCGTTCTTCAACAAAAGATTTTGAAGATTTCCTAAAGCAAAGGTATAGTAAAGAAATCAACATAATCAATATTTATCCCTGACCTGCAAAAGTTGGGAAATTTATAGTTTTCTAAAAATGGATAAAATCACAATTAAATTTTAGAAATTTTGAAAATTATATTAAACTGAAAAATACATGAAATGAGAAAACAACTGAAATCATAATGTACTGTACATACAGCAGACAGAACATGTAATTTGTCATTTTTACTTTAATTTGTCACTGTCTCATATGATTCTATGTCATTGTTTCACTATATTGTTTGCCACGTTCCCATATATTTGTACAGAAGTAGCTATAAGACATATATGTATTTTGTTTTATAGATTAAAAATTGAACAGGAATACAGCAAAGCCTTGGTTAAACTAGGAAAATCATCAAGTGCTAGTAATGAACTTGGGTGAGTGTTATTACTAGATAGATAAAAGTTGAAGCCTGATATAAGTCTTTTTCCTCAACTCCAAATTTCTTGAATATTTCAAACCTCAAATGAATTCAATGTCTTTGTAATTACATGTATGTCAGCTATGTCAAAAGTGGGTTGAGTTGGATAACATTTTTTACATTCATTATCAACAGTGTTCATCCAGCCTACTGAATTTTATGTTATCTGCAATGTAGTTATCCCAGGGTAGTTATCCCGGGGTAGTTATCAGGAAGTACATATAAATGTTTCCTCAAATTGTTGGTTAAGTGATACTTTCCTTATTATTTGAGCTAATAAAGCTCATATCATTCAATTGTTAGAGTTTAGCATAGGCAATTTTTTTGTAATTGTACTCATGTTATTGCCTTGTTCATTTTTGATGTTAATTTTCTTGTTCATTTCTTGCTAAATATTCCATGCTAAATATTGTAGTGAATGTCTTGTTGTACTTCTGCCTCTATATATTAAACATACAGTACTGTAATTTGTAGGTCAATGAGGGAGGCATGGGATTGCTTACGTAGTGAAACAGAAAAAATCGGATTAGCACATGTAGAGCTGGCACTGTGCTTACAAGAACAAACAGAGAGACTAAACAAGTTCTCGGAACAACAAAAAGCTGAGAGAAAAAGGGTAAGACTGGTGTATGCAGTTGGGTGTATGTTACATATAAAAAATGGACAACATTTTAACTATACAGTACATAAATAATAGTTGGATATTAACCTAATTTACTGATCATAGCAAAGTTTGAATCAATTCTTCTCCTGTAGCACTCAGTTGTATGACTAATTCCAAACTGAAAAGCATATAAACCCCATTCAACATGAAACATTTATTTCAAGCTACATAAAGATTACAGCAAAGAATGTTTATGTCCGAATCTTGACTGTGTACTGTAAGTTACCAGTACTTAAACGCCCGCATACCTATCAACTATATGCAAAATAAAAACTGGGGATTTGAAATGAAAGTACTCATTTTATAAAGAAGACATGCATTTTCTGTTTCACTTGAAAGAGATCACTTGTAATGAAAAACCAAATATGTTTGGGTGACTTTTGACTTCCTGGAATTTTGAACCATGTTCTGAATTGAAAATTAACACAAGTACAGTATATTGACATAAAACATCTATTTTTGTATCAAGCTACCTCAATATTGTAACAGTAGCTAAGCAGTAGAACGAGCAAACTCCAAAGTTAAAAATAGTTCTTTTTTTCAAAGGACCGCAAGTTGCTTGTAGAATGAATCGGGTGGTTTTTTTCATGAATTTCGCTTATGTTTGAAGATTGCACCATTTAATCCCCTCAAAAATATTTCTCATTTTCAAGGATTTTCTATGGATTAACACCCTGGTGTTTTTATTTTTCAAACTTCAGAGGGCTGGGAATCATTGATTACAAATGCTTTTGAATAATATAAATGCTGTTTTAAATAGGTTTCATGTTTGCCAATAATTTCTCAAATTGTGTAAATGTTACCCATTCCTTAATCCTTAGAATTTTCTGTTTAAGGAATTTTCCATAGTAATCCAGTGGTACAGTTCCAATCAGATTTTAAGATAACAGAAAGTTAATCATTAATACACACCTTATTGGGTTGTTTTGGTTTATATCACAACTCAATAAGGAGATGATTCCTACAACCGCTACACTAAATGATCAACATTTCTGGAACTTTTACAAATTGCTCAAGATGGGTACTAGTATCATTTTTAGGAAAACTTTAGTTTCATTTTGACCATGTATTTGGTAACAGCTCTTTCTGGACCATATAATAACTAATGATCATCTTTTAAAAACTATTTTAGATTGAGGAGAAAGTCAAACACCACCAGGATTTGAAGAAGAGCCATTACAATAAAGTGTTACATGTAAGTCTTAATCTTAAATATTTAAGAAAGATATGCCATAAATCCAACATCTCAAACTTGTTCATCATTCAAATTCATACAGAATACTTTCAGAATACATTCAGAATACAGTGGTGTAATTGTTTCAATTTAACATTTATATTAATATAAAATTTCTGTCAGAATGCCTTGAACCCATAATTGAATTTACACCTATTAATTAAATAATACTCATACAAAGAAGTATCTTTACAACTATGCCACTGCAGTGATCTCGTTTGTACATTGTTAACTAAGTTGACCTTTGGATATTCTAGTTTTTCTCAGCCAAAATGGCAATTAAGCCAGACAAATAAATACTGTAAACTCTGAACTACTGTATTTGTATAATTTTCATTTCAGAATAAAAAAGACTATGAGTCTAAATGCAGAGATGCAGATAAAGCCAAGGAAACCTATAATGCTATCAAACTTAAAGGTGAAGCTACTCAAAAAGATTTAGAAAAAGTAGGTCAATATATTATTACTAAAGTTAGATTGGTGGTAGAGTACTATTTTATTGAGAGTACTAGTAATCCAGGGATGCCATTATTCTTCGTACTGACAGAAGTATGAACAAACTTAGTGAGGCTTTGCATACTTTTCAGTGTTCATTAGCGAAATAGAAACACTTGAATTGATAAGTACTCAATCAAAAATACCTCAAATGGGCAATATCACAGCTTATAATTAAAAATCAAAAGTTATCCTCTAATGTGTCAGGTTTTTAAATTCTTATCAATATCAACACAAGATGGTGAAAGTGTAGGTCATTCACTTATTTTCCTTTTTTCTTTGTCAGTACACAGTGAGCCTGTTTAAGCGTTACGCCCACATATATTGTTTGTACGCAGTAAGCCTGTTATGCCCATATATTGTTTGTACGCAGTGAGCCTGTTTTAGCGTTATGCCCACATATATTGTTTGTACGCAGTGAGCCTGTTTAAGCGTTACGCCCACATATATTGTTTGTACGCAGTAAGCCTGTTATGCCCATATATTGTTTGTACGCAGTGAGCCTGTTTTAGCGTTATGCCCACATATATTGTTTGTACGCAGTGAGCCTGTTTAAGCGTTATGCCCACATATATTGTTTGTATGCAGTGAGCCTGTTTAAGCGTTATGCCCACATATATTGTTTGTACGCAGTGAGCCTGTTTAAGTGTTATGCCCACATATATTGTTTGTACGCAGTGAGCCTAATTAAGCGTTATGCCCACATATATTGTTTGATCGCAGTGAGCCTGTTTAAGCGTTACGCCCACATATATTGTTTGTACGCAGTGAGCTTGTTATGCCCATATATTGTTTGTACGCAGTGAGCCTGTTTAAGCGTTATGCCCACATATATTGTTTGTACGCAGTGAGCCTGTTTAAGCGTTATGCCCACATATATAGTTTGTACGCAGTGAGCCTGTTTAAGCGTTATGCCCACATATATTGATTGTACGTAGTGAGCCTGTTTAAGCATTATGCCCACATATATTGTTTGTAAGCAGTGAGCCTGTTTAAGCGTTATGCCCACATATATTGTTTGTACGTAGTGAGCCTGTTTAAAGGCCCCATGTAAAGTTTAAACCACTTTGGCTTATATTGTAGTCTTACCCAATGTTATCAAAATGTGATATGTGAAACTTTTTTTTTTAATTTCAAAAAGTGGTTATTGATAGACTTTTTGTTCCAAAATTTGTGAATTTATTTAAAACCAACTTTTAGAGGTCACTCATATATTCTAATTAGCCACAATTCATACCAATGCATAGCATACATCCTCCCATGTTTTTTGCCGAAAAAATTAAGAAAATCGGATGATAAACAAGCGAGAAATGAACTTATCAGTGCATGAAAATGGTTCTGAGAAAAATGCATTTCAAAATTTTAGTTCTCATAGAAACCAATGGTACAATGATATCTAAAACATAATTTATTCTTCCTTTTAATTTGGTTAGACAATCAACATTGGTTTTTATGAAAGTCTAGCATATTTAGAAAAGATTGACATCGAAAAAAAAAATTCAATTTTTTTCAAAAAGTTTTTGTTACCTTAGTGACATCACTAATGTTTCAAAATATTTTTGATAAGCTAAAACATTGAAGTGGCCCATTAAATATGACATTTTATTATTGAAATAGTGTGTCTTTTGTTCAATCTTTGCATTGGTGTTAAAAATATAATCTTTTTTGAAATGCATTAAGAAATATTTGATGATTAAGAAATTTCAACTTTTTTTGAAAAATGGCGGGAAATTTGAATATTTGAGAAATGAAATGCTCACAACTTTTTTTTCAAAAAAAAATTTTTGTTCAAAAATCTCTTAAATCACTTTTTAAGTCCTGACAAATAGTAAATGAATGATAAAAAAATATTTTCAAACTTAAGACGGGGACTTTAAGCGTTATGCCCTCATATATTGTTTGTACGCAGTGAGCCTGTTTAAGCGTTATGCCCACATATATTGTTTGTACGCAGTGAGCCTGTTTAAGCGTTACGCCCACATATATTGTTTGATCGCAGTGAGCCTGTTTAAGCGTTACGCCCACATATATTGTTTGTACGCAGTGAGCCTGTTATGCCCATATATTGTTTGTACGCAGTGAGCCTGTTTAAGCGTTATGCCCACATATATTGTTTGTACGCAGTGAGCCTGTTTAAGCATTATGCCCACATATATTGTTTGTACGCAGTGAGCCTGTTTAAGCGTTATGCCCACATATATTCTTTGTGAATACCAACAAGACATGAATCTTTGAGATTCTACTAAAACATTTTATTTCTAGAAATGCATGAAAGTTGGGGACAATTTGCAACATTTTACAATCTATGCAGTGGGTGTCAGATGCTGTTTATAAACAGGTGCATATAGATGGCACCATAACCCCTAAGAGAAAAATAGAACAAATTCAACATTTTTGAACTAAAAATGTCAATCAAAAAACAAAAAGCTTACCATATATGGTCTTTAACTTTTATTCTTCAATTTCAGTTGGAAACAAGAATGACAAAAAGTCGTCAAGCAGCCACCTCACAAGGTACATTATTGAGACTTTCAGTACATGTACTTTGTTATTTTCATTTTTTATAACTTCTTTAAAGGTATATATATATCAGAATCTTAGCTTTTAATTTAGAGTTCTCTGAATAGTTGTTTTCATCAAATGTAGGAACTGCAACAAATGGCATGTATGTCACACCTTTTACCCAAAGAAATCAAAACATCCTGGGAAAAAATGGAATTTTGAAAGTGGAAAATCTCATGCATCAATTTACATTAACTTTTAATTTTATAGTAACTTTTAGGTTTTTAATAAATTGGTTATCAACATTTTTAAATGATTGCCACGTTTGTTGAAATGCCTTTCATGAGAACCTAGCTACTCATGCTGCTCATGGAACTGTTTTATGATATGGATGTCTGTACTTTTTAGACCAGCAATATAAAATTAGTGTAGAGAGCCTTGAAAAGGTGAGAAAGGATTGGGAAAAAGAAATGGCCAATGGAGCAAAGGTTCGTAGAAAAAATATTATTTTCTTTCATTCATTTCATATTGCTACTTTAAAGACAATTTTAAAGTTATACATCAAAGTAATGTCTTACCTCATTTAGTTGATTCATATGTTAATTTTCAATATATTCTTATATTTTCTTCAAAATTCTCTTATTGAAAAGTAGTAAGAACTTCGAGGGTTACATCCTACATCTTTTATCATTGATCTATATTTTTATTATTATTTTGTATAAAGATCTGAAGTTAATCTGAAGAAAGACCCCTTAGATGATAAATGCTGCTTCCTAGTCAACTCGTACCCAAGACAACTCGTACCAAAGACAACTTGTACCCAAGACAACTCATACCCAAGTCAACTGGTACCCAAGACAACTCGTACCCACGTTTATTTTCTGTATTATGGGTGCATATAAGAAAACAAATTGAGTCTGTGTTAAAATGTTTAATGTTATAATGTGCCTCAATATTTTTTTTGAATTTAGAAGACATTTTTTCTCAATGGATTAAGCAAAGCATTTTGTTTTAACTTGGATTACCTTTGAAGTGCTTTGAAGGGCTTGTTCACAACTTTTTTTGTAATACATATATATAAATGAATATAATTACAACAGTAACTTTTAAACAAATGAATCAAACAATTAATTTAGCTTAGTGCATTCAGAGAAAATTAATAAGGGAACTTTAATCTGTTAATTTCTTTTTCATTTTGAACTTAATTGGATTATATTTGAACACATGCATGCAAAGTGTATTATATCATGTATGAATAAGTATCAAAATAATATTTGATATTCATATTATTTAGAATATTTTTTATTCATAATTTTGTGAAGGTGACTTCTTAGAATTATCATTCTTTAATCTGATAATATGAAATCCTAAATAGATTATCTGTTTAATAAGAAATAGCCTAGGCGCAAGTTCTGAAAATCTATATATTTTTGATAATACCATATTTCAAGATGAATTAGATCTGATATTTGTTCCAAACACTCATTAACATACAAAAATACCACTAATATTGTGAACAATGATTATAAATATGTGGAATAAACATAAATCTCTTCCCTCGAACATCCGAATCTGTGACCAATATATTTGGTCACAAATTTCAATTGATTTCTTCCAAAAACTCTTCTACATACTTCAAACTATTCTGAACTGTATGTAACCATTATAATATGTATATCTATACCCATTCCCAGCCCAACACTTGATTCAAAACAAAACATGTACTTGGGTACAAGTTGTCTTGGGTACGAGTTGTCTTGGGTACGAGTTGTCTTGGGTACGACTTGACTTGGGTACGAGTTGTCTTGGGTACGAGTTGACCAGTTACCTAAATGCTCATACTGTAACTTGAAAAGCGTGGAAGATATGACACATAGATTTTGATATGTCACCATTTTAATGATTATCGTGTAATATTTCATAACTTAATTACTCTAATTGATCAAATTTCATGAGCTCAGCTTTCCACTTTGTCAATTGTACAGAAAATTGTTTGGATCATGTGAGATGGGGCAATGATGGGAGGACATGATTTTTATTTGAAAGACATATAGGTAGTGCCTTTTTAATACATATTATATTTATAGTCATAATTTTAAATGACAGATGAAACCATTTAAAGAAAAGTTTATCTGGATACACTTAATTCTAGTGTGCCTCTGATCTATAAGTATAATTCCAAATAAATGAATACAAAATAAACAAACCGTACACAGTATGATAGAAGAGCCTTCTTTAAAATCTCATCTAGATATGCATGTACACATGTACAGTTATAATTCATGTACTGTTACGCATAGCAGCATATGCCTTCTTGGTGGCTATGGACATTGTAAAAAAAGTAAAAAAATTGAATCCACTTGAACTTTTCCAGGCCTTGCAGCAGATAGAGGAAGAAAGAATGCGTTTTACCAGACAGGAGCTATGGTTTCATACAAATATCATATCACAGGCCTGTGTTGAGGTTGACAGGGTAAGACTTGAAATAGAACTAACTCATTATATCTCACCACAAGAGCTATGGTTTCATACAAATATCATATCACAGGCTTGTGTGGGGGTTGACAGGGTAAGACTTGAAATATAACTAACTCATTATATCTCACCACAAGAGCTATGGTTACATACAAATATCATATCACAGGCCTGTGTGGAGGTTGACAGGGTAAGACTTGAAATATAACTAACGCATTATATCACTACCACAAGTGGTGACATATTGTTATAGTCTTTAACTTTTTTGTGGAAGGTAGTTGTTGTTTGGTGTTCAGTGGTCGGTGTCTGTAACAAGTCATGGCATTTTAATCCCTTGTTTTATCTTGCAACAATGTTTTTTATACTAAATGCAGAAGCTGAAAAACATCAATATGATTAAATAATTTGACATTTTTTTAAATCAGTATGAGAGTTGCATTTGGTAATCCTTGCATTTTCCTTTCCTTGTGTAAATTGGAACACCTCTGTTAGTGGAACACTTTTCAGAGTCCCAAGATCAACTTACTTAATTTTCTTTTACTTCTGTATTTGTAATGTTATTTGTTTTATTATCATAAAAAATGATGAACATATCTTTTTGATGCCAGTTTAAAGCTAGAGTTTGTTAATTTTCTGGTTCTGATTGTTGCCTTTTCTCATTGATGCTGATTTCAAAGAGGCATGTCGTTTTTTTCATTGTGTTGACAAAAAATAAAACAGATGTAAATGCTATCTTTGGGAATTTTCTGATCAATGTGCATAATTTAAAAATACAATGTCTTGTAACATAAAAGTTATACATGTCCAAACTTGCACGGTGCAGGGTACCCGGGGCACATTCTTTTCTCCTAAAAACGTCACAATTAATATTAAGACAATATTTTCAAAGCTGTGACTCACCTTCAAATTTGTTGTCTTGTTACAAGTGATACTGTGAAAATTAGTATTGTGACATCACACAATGATATATCAAGATATCATAAGTTGATTGAAGAGATATGTTGAGGTTTGTATCAGTTGAAAGCATAACTTTTTTGTTACATAATATTATAATTTGAAATTCTATACACTGATCAGAAAATCAAATCCCTAAAGCTAAATACGCTGAAATATCAGCCTTTGATAATAAAAACTCTTAGTTTTTGTAATAATTAGTTCAGGACTTATGGGACAACCCTCGTATATGTACATTTATATCATTGTATTTTTATTTTTGTGAAAATTATAACTTATTGATCACCCCTTGTACTCCCTTCATGTTTTAGGAATGTGAGAATGTCCGTAATTCGCTTGAAAAAACAAGTATACAACAGGATATTGAACTATTTATTAGAGATCGTCAAACTGGCACTGAAAAGCCACGTAAGTTAATCATCTCATTCTGCACATTCTTCTGTGCTCTCATATATAACTACACCATAGATAACTTCAAGAAAATGTGCAGAGAACAATTGAAATCTCCCACTGTTATAGGTTGACCTGAAAATGCAATCCTCTAACTTTGGAATAACTTAATTATGGTATATCATCTTTTCTTGAATAATGTGTCCACTGCATGTATGAAGCAGTGGTATATTATTGTATCAACAAATTTTTGTATCAACAATCTACAGTGCTCAAGTACTGTAATTCAGTTTCAGGACAAAACTTACTGTAGGTTTCTCCAAGATTGACATGTTTATGACCAATGACCACAAGCTTTTAAAGGGTGGAGTTAATACATGAAGTAAATACAATGCAGTATTCTAAAAATATATCGCCATGTAAGCCAAATACTCAGATTGACCTATTGAATTTCTGTTGTGTTATTTATAAAAATAATACTGAAGCTGATCTTTTTATTATTTTATCTTTAGGCCCAATAGTTTATGAAAGCTACTACAGTCATGGCGATGGTAGCAGAACAATTAATACACTTAGCAATAGACCACCTGCTTTAGTTCCTCAAGGAGCGGACAAAGGGAGGACCATGCCCCACAGGCAAAACAGTTCAAGTGGCAATGCAGTCTACCACCTTGCAAGTAAATATCAAAGAACACATAAGATTAAGAATGTACAAAATGAGGTGCTGGTATCATTTATCTTCATACATAATTTACTGTACAAAGATTTTCTTAAATTTTTACGAGATTTTTTATGTTGCACTGAAATTATATAAGGATCACAAGACTCTTCCTCCGCTGTGTCTACCAGGCACGTAACCAGGCATACGGGTACCCTAAATGATGGAGAAGTGCCCGCCATGTCCATTGATCAAGGAAGGCTATTTGTCCTGTTTAATCCATGAATCAATAAAGGATTTCAGCCCAAGACTCAATGAATTGTAGATACTTTAAACTATAAACATGTACGTCATGTATCAAGACTTTGAATGAGGGCGGCAGCATTAAATCATCAACAATTCATTTAGTAATGTGCTTAAAATTATATTATTATGAACAATTTTGTGCAGGGTCACTTAAAAGAATGAATATTTTCACAAGGAAAATTTTTTGCAGGTTTTGCATGCACTAGCCATGCACTCTGTTGTAAAATTAAGAATTCGTGAATTATGGTATTTGAAATACTGCGTTCTTATTGGCTGGAATTTGATGTATCATGCCTAGCTATGTATGCATGTTATATGGAGGATGGGCATGCCATTCATGTATCATATTTTAATCTTGGATTTTTGTTCTATAGGTAACACACCAATAGATGATACATATGCAACAGTGGGCGAGATTCATAATACAGGTACAACAACAAAGTCGGGGATCAATTACAAAATAGTGCATCATTATGCAGCCAAGGTAGGTTTTACATTAGAGTCACAAAAATAATAATCCAGATATTTATGCTATTTTGCTAAGGGGAAAAAATATTCGTATGATTGAAGCAATATTATTTTTAAGTTTGATATGTTCTGTAAATGCTTTCAGGATACCAGTCAGATTAGTGTATTTGTGGATAATATTATCTACGATGTTAAACCAGTAGATGATAAATGGTTAGAAGGACGGACAGAGGGTGGACGTAGAGGATTATTTCCAAAATGGGCGATATCAGACAGTCCTATTTCACTTTTATAAAAGACTTGGGAGGATTGTTAGTTGGCTCATTAAGTCATCCAATCACAGGGCTCCAGATATCATTCACGGTGTTCCCTTTTCTTCCATTACAATCAGCTTTTAGATGCAATATGATATTTTGAATTGTGAATGCACAGTTCACTGTGGCAGAAACAACAAGATGTGACGTCAGAACCTACTCAGAACCAGGTTAGCTGTTCATCCTCTATTGGATAATAACATGGTTGCTGGTCTATAGTTCAAATTTGACTAGGCAAGTCCAAAACTTTCTAGTGCATCCTGAGAGTACACATCAGCTGTTATATGTCAAAATATATTTACATATCAAGACTACATTAGCAGTTTAGAAGAAGGAAAGGGATGGTATTGTACATGTATTACACAAGAGCTTCGTGAAACTCTTACACATGGCTGGCATCCAGGTTTTGTGTAAGGATTGACACTGCAGTTATTAAGGATTTTAATTTTAAAGTGGCCAGGGGAATGAACATGGTTTCTACATGAACCCTTGAATATGATATATATGGCCATGTGGGTTTGGTCCATATTACAGACTAAACTAAGAGAAATATAGATACATGTACTGTGTATATTTTTAATATATGATTAGCCAAATGTTTAAGATTTTCAGTGCCTTAACAAGTCTTTAAAAAGTCATGAGCAATATATAGACACAAGTCACAGGTTATTGAAACAATATTTGATATTATTCTTTGTATTCTCAAAAGAGGCATTTGTCAAAGCAAAGCTTGCACATCGACATGACAGTCAGAAATGACGATTTCTTCTATTTTATAACAGTTTTACAAAATTTATTATTCTACACAATTTTCTCTTATCGAGTTATTTTTGTAAATGATGTTTAACATTTGGTCCGTCACATTTGGTCAGTCACATTTGGTCAGTCACGCTTTGGTGTGCACATCTGTTTATTATCCAGGATATACAGTATATATAACATGTGATTTTTATTCTGTGCTTTACTGTACATTATGCCAAAATTATGTACATCATGCCACAATTATGTACATTATGCCAAAAGTATGTACATTATGCCAAAATTATATACATAATGCCAAAATGATTTTAGTGGCAGATTACTATGAATGCATTGTATAACTACATATGGTGTGTGCGTGAAGGCATTTATCATGAACATTTTGGGTTTAAAACTTGACATTTTATAAAAATGAGGGCAAAATACAGGTCAAACTTCATAGCAATAAATACTAAATTGTGGGCAAAAGATCACTCCCAATCATTGGTGAATTGAAGTTCGGTAGGTTTTTCATGAAAGCCTAATGCTCTTTTCATAAAGGGCTATTCTCGGTTTGGAGAACGAAGTTCATCACTCTAATTGAGCATTACCCCTGCTTCGGACAAATTTGATTTTTTTTTACATAATATAGATCTGAATGTCATCTTTTGATTAGTTATAATTTAATTTGGGCGATATTTCTAGATTTTTCATAAAAAAATATTAGCGCAGTACACTGACGAACTTTTTTCTCCAAATCGAGACTTGTATTCTTTTGTATTGGTCTACTGCACATTACGCCTGCTTCGGACAATTGTGATATTTTTACATCTTGTAGATTTAAATGTCCTCTTTTGAATATTCATAATTTAATTTGGGTGATATTTTTCATGAAAAGAATTATTAGCCCAGGAGACTGTTCTCCAAACCGAGACTTAAAGTGCACTTACATTTAAGCTTACAGTACATGTATATCTAGGTTTATAGTACAGTGAACTGAAATTAAATTATTAAGTTATTCTTAAACATTTGATGTTTGGAACAAAGTATAGTTCAGATCTTTTTGAAAATATCATATTTATATTTTATCAGTTTTAAAAGTCTAGCTTTTAATTATTCTTATACCTCCATAACAAGAAATCACCCCAACAAGTATGATAGAATGTTCGATTCTGTAAATATTATGTTACAAAGGTACAATGTCAATATTCTTAGGCTGTACCAGAACATACAGTTGTAAGAGTACAGTGATGTATTGGCCTTGAACCTAAAGCTCTCTAAACATAAGATATTCATTTTTAAGTATACTGATATATTGGCCTTGTACCTAAAGCTCCCTAAACATAAGATTTTCATTTTTAAATTGTGGCAAAATGCTCAATGTCCGTTTTACTTGTTTTAGTTATTGTACATCATGTTTTAATATACCAGGTGTCCATAAAGTATATTTCCACTTTACATAGACATTGAATTGCAATTATAGAGACTTCATCAGGACAGACTAGATGCGAGTACAAATAATCTTGATTTATTTCATAAACTGATGTCATATTTGGAATCTACATGTAAAATGTGGTTTTGAAGAGTTTATCAACTTTGAAAAGGATTGGTATCGATATGGTGAACTGAATTCAACAATGTTTTTCTCTTTAACCAATTATTGAAAACACTCTGAAAAAAAACACGGTCCTTTATGTAATTTTGACTGATTGACAACAATTTAATGCAAAAATTATTTATATACATGTATATTTTATATAACTGTTTTTGTTAACATTTTTTGTTTTTTAGTGCAATTGTTTTTTTGTTCCTTTTCACTAATTCTTGAGAATGAAATAAAATATCTTTCGGAAGTTTGTTGGAACAAAATAGCATATACAACATTTTCTTAGACCTCTCAATATTATAGTTATACAAAGGAAATTTTGGTTGATTTAACAAAAAGTATTCAAAAAATTTAAACAAAAACCCCCAAAATAGATAAAAATTAAGATAAACATTTTATTTCATTAACAAGATACTTTTTTAAATCAACCAAACTAACCTTTGTACAATTACAATATTGGGAGACCTAAACACTTTGTGTCTATGTCATTTTGTTAAAATGAGGTTCGGATAGATGTTCTATTCCATTCTAAACATATGGTACCAAGAACAAAAGAAGTGTCTGGTGTGTTTTCGAAAACATAATAGAGAAACACATACATATATATTTCAAATTATATTGTTACCATTCAAAAGATGACCATTAAATTGATGATGTGTAAAATTTTCAGAATCTTTTGATGACTGGTTTAAGAGAAGCATGTGTTCAAAAAGTTCACCATATCAATACCCATCCTTTAATTTTCTTTGATAATGTGACTGTAAAATCACAAAAAGTGAAATATCTTTTCTTGTGTTGGACAGATAAATATTTTCCTTTACTGGACATATTTTAACTTGTATAAATATCAGATACATAAGGGTAACATGAAAAGACAACCACTAAAACTGATGAATATTCAAGTTTAAGGGAATTTTGTAATACCCTGCCATATTATTTCCCCCGAATCAGCCACCTGGTGGCGAATCTGGTAACTACCTACTCGCATCTGAGTAATTGTTTAATATGCACATGTATCAATCATATTTGCGTCAATACTGACAGCATACAAGTCAATAAAGAGATAAATAATTATGTACGATTTTGGTTTCTCAAGTATTCCACTAATGCAATACTGGATGCATGGTGAAGTGTATCACTTCAGATACATCTGTTGTATTGTATTGTACTTTGTTTACTACCAATGAAGGTCAGCAATACCTCTTGGGTATATCATGTATATATACAGTCGTAATTAAAGGCAGACCCAGGAACGCCTCCTTGGAGGAGCCCGGTGTTCTTTTATGTGCACTTATACATAGCCAAACAAGTACACACCACAGTCTTTTGCATGAGTTGTGGACCACTCAGTCTTTATGCAAACTAGCAAATTAAGTCTTGCCTGAACCAGGGATTGAATCTGGGACATATTGCGTAAGAGGTACATGCGCTATCTCTGAGCTATACGGATGTTCTCTTCAAGTGTCTGTTACACACTGATATTTCAAACATCAGTTGCATGCACAATGCATTCTTGTGACCTCATTGTATGCACTATGGTAGAATTGTAATTTAATCAGGTTACTCATTTTTAAGTTTGAGCTAATTCATATCTTTTGATGGCCTAGTTTGTATTCCTTGGTTTAAAAGGCTGGGAGTGTTCATTTTCCTTAGTTTAACTTTTGAATAAGTGCAAGCAAACATCTAAATTCATGACGAGAAAAGGGGAGACTCAGACTTTTCCATTCCTGGTGGTATTTTTTCAAGACACTTTAAATTTAAAAGGAAATCTGACCTTTTCATTACACCCTGTCATTTTCATGATTCAATAGGTTATTGGTAGGTTTTCAAAAAAAACTGTATGATGTTCTTGAAAACAACTAAGAATTTGGTAAACATTATCATCTATAACTTACGACATGAATGAATCTGGACAATACATACAGTACCATCTTCTTTGGTGTGGTATAAGGTGGCAGGTGAATAAGGTTGAATTTTTTAAGTGTTAATTGGAGGTCACATATGTGGATTTGTGTCAATTTAAAAGTAACTTTATGTAATGTAACAAAAACAAACCACCATCTTTATCTTTAGATGAATAGCACAAAACATAAACTCCATCTAGATTCAACTTAGAATTTATTTCTGAATCATCTACCACACATATCTCAGAGCTTGAAGTACAAAATATTAGAAGACTCACTAATTAGAAGAATATACTTGTATTCAGGTTTCACATACTTATTCAGGTTTTACAAAGTTATTCAAGTTTTACCTTGATTGGTGATTCTGCGAGGCATTCCATTTTATTAAAAGTTGATTGAATAAAACTATTTGTTCAATTCACCAAGAAACAAATGAAATCTCAAATGAATACTTAAAGTAAAAGGAAATGCACAACATAATGATTTTCTTCTTTTAAAAGACCTTGGTCAGGCACAGACCTGAAAGCATCAATCACATTAAGTCAAAGATTTGCAAAATGGAGGTACAGGATCCTTGTCATACTGACATGAAAAACATCTGACAACAAAATGACATTGAATTCTCTTAGAATCATGATTCCACCTATACAAATTCTTGATTAAATACACCAGTCATTACTACACACTATACACACTATTATATTATTGTTTACAGAACTACATATACAAGCATTACTCTACACACAAGAAGTACATTACAATCTTGGGAAGTGTCATTCCCCTTGTAGTCTTACAAACTTTAATAATTAAATACATTACTTGAGGAAAGCCCCTTTGGAAATGTCTGTCGAAAAAATACATGTATGTGTAATTCATACAAATTTTTACAAAAACATAAAATTCCTAGTTCAATCATTATATTATCATTCTCTACACAGACATAATGAAGTAATCTGGCTCTAAATAAAATGTTATATATTATTGTAATTGTACAAAATGATGCATTAACAAACAAAAGAGCAGTTGTTATACTGTAGATACACTTAATTTGGCAACCGTTTTAATTTGACGGATTGAAAAAATCCACCAATTTTCAGATCTATTTTGGAATATCCCTAAAGAATTTGTAATTTGTTATCACTTGACTTGTGTAAGTATTCCTATTTCAATGTCAGTGCCATACCAAGACTTACTGAAAGCAGAACACAAGAATCAGAAATGTTTATTTCCAGATCTATGATAAAACTTGAGCTTAGTCCCGACTCCGCCAAATTAAATAGCCGCCAATATTTGAAATTGAGCAAATCCACCAAATTAAGTAGCGTCAAATTAAGTGTATTTACAGTATCCTTCGTGGAGCATATCCTCTCATAATTATACACTGACAATGTTTGTTTAAAAATATCAAGTAAAATTCAGCTCTACTGCAAATCGTTAAATAATGTATTGAGAAATCTACAATTTAGATAAAAATATTCATGTCACATTTTGCAACTATTCAAATCTATGTATATGATTAACATATAAAGGTTCTACAAAAATATGACTGCACTACTAATTGCTCGTATTTTCGATTTAAATCTCAAGCATTTAATCATGGCATTATGGGTCTGTATTCCCTTAATATCCGAGCAAATGGGTGTTGCACCCTGTACATACCACCCTGTAGAATTCAATTAGATTGAAAGATAGTGTATGTACATTTAATTGTTATCATTGTTACATGACAAGACAAAGAATTTAAAAGTGCAGAAATGCTGTCGATTTTTTAAGTCCTTTGTTCTAGATCAAAAAATATTCAAGGTATTGTCCTGAAGGAGGATTGGCTCCCAGAATGCAATCTCAATATTTACCATTAATTCTATGAAAATGTAAAAATGACGTTATTGTCTAACATTAAAGTGGTTATCAATTCATGATCAGCAATCCAATTGCTATGTAATATTGTAATAAGACCATAACTAATGATACAAAATCTGAAGTGAAAATCACTACATCCTTCAAGATCGGATTCCTGGTAGGAAAATATTGATTTCCATCCCTGGGAGCTTGTGGGCTTCACTATATCACACATGATCACAAAAATGTGATAATCAGCAGACAGTTGCACTTTTAAAGTGATCTCTTGTTTTTCAAGCTAAATTTCAAAATTGTATACCCCTATACATTTTATAATTTTTGTTCAAAATTCTTAATAAATCAAACAATAAGTTAACACTGAATTACTATGGTTTAAGCAAAATCTATACCTTAATACTTTGAAACTATATGTAAAGAAAACAACTATTAAGAAAGGCTAAATGTTAACATATAATTTGCAACTACATCTTAACAAACATAATATATTTACAAAACATTACATTTTTGGCAATTATAAATGCTGATTTTTACAAATTATTTCCACAATTCAAAAGAGTGAAAACATTTACATCATATCACAACTGCATTTAGTTTCTGTATGCACAACTCATACAGGCCCGTAGCGGGGGGGGGGTTGTTCGAGGGGTTCGGGCTAATCCCCATTTCTTTCAAAATCATGCAGTTTTTCATGATTCTGAGCATTTTTCACATGATCTTAGTGCAAATTTGTCAATGTGAACCCCTCCTTGAATTTTTCTTAAAAGTGAATCCCCCTTGGCTATGGGCCTGTCATATTAGTACTCATTTTTACAAAAAGGAATATCTTTGTAGAAAAATATATTATGGTCCAAAAATGTTTGAACTTGAAAATTTTCTCAAATCAATATACTGTTAGACAGTATGTTATGTAATCAGTAAACATGTACAAAATGAATACACCTAGAACTTCAGGTGATATCACAGAATGCCAATCAAATGTGAGTGAAAACTCTGAACAAACGATAACAGATTCTGACCCATTGAATATTGGCTAATTTCTAAGCCAATACAGTTAAACCTGTTCAATCCAAACACCACCGGGACTGACCAAAAGTGTTTAGATTAGCACAGCAAGGAGTCCCATTTCAAGTTTTTAACATGATAGTCAATGGGTGAATATAAAATTGGGACAGACAAACTGTTCCCACTGAGGGGTGTTCGGATTAAAGAGGCATTAAACTGTATCTCAGGTTTTACTGTATTTGTGATAATATCTGATGATTTAATTTGTTTACCATTTAAAGCTTAAATTACAGCAGTTTTGAACATCTTGGCACAACAATAAATGCTAGAGACTGTTTCTCAGAAACATCATGAATTACAATTAGCAAAGTTCAAATGTCTTTTATTATTACGTGTATACTGCCATAATTTTGAATGACAATAAATTGCAGGAATGGTAATACACAATATTTTGAGAATAAGGCCCCTGATTATAAATGCACGTCACAATACTACATTACATGTACTTGCACACTTATGTCAATCTATTCACACTATTCTCTAGATGACAAGGCACATGGAAAATATTGTATAAGCCTACATAGAATAGGACATATTACAAACTAAATTGAATACCCCACCCCTTATAAAAAAGTAAAATTCTCTTCAAAAACATTATATTTTCTCGGTCAATATGATAATGATATAAAGAGAAAGAATACTAACACCTTTGGTAAGAAATGTATACATTCAAATTGCATTACTAGTTAATTAGTTAAAAAGGACATTATACATCCATTTTTTATATTCCCTGTAAAAATTATGTTCTACCTGACATATGAAAAATGAAAACAGACGGATCAATGTCATGCCATATAGGGTAAAAATATTTCTTACTGACACTGGTTGAAGATACAGTAGCACATACTGACACTGGTTTAATTTTGATAGAGAATATATAGTAGCACATACTGACACCAATGATACAAAGTAGTACTACATACTGACGCTAATACGACTGAGAGTAACACATCATACTGACACTGGGTTTATGATATAGAATAGTACATAAAGGGTTGTTTTTGGTACGATCGTAACTTAAGATTCTGAGGAAATAATCGTCCACTTTTTGACAAATAATGTTTTTTTGCAACAAAATCGTAAATGAAGACAATTCCAAAAATGGACCCCTTGGTAGTTACTACCATAAATTGCACCAAATAGATTACACTTTATAGTACTATCATTTTAAATGCCTACAGTTCATATCAGATATTATATTTTTGTAATTTAGTCATCATATCAGTGATACATAGATTGTTTTGCAACATACAGTCATTCACTGTTTTCCTGCCTCCGTGTGGTAACTGGTCGGGTAAAGTGGGCGGGGCTTCATTGTGACAGGTGTCAATCAGTGTTTGATGTTAGTTGATATGATGGGCATGGCAAGCTGCTTCCCATAGTTCTCCAGAATTCTTTAGAGATCTAAAAGGCAAAGCATTGGATGTTACACTGTGGATTATCTCAAAAAGATTTGATTTATTAATGGCATTCTTATAGGAATGAAATGTTTCAAAATGTGTTGAAGGTTTGGTTTAGTAATAAAATACATAAGTAGAATTCATACAGCGAGGCGTCCCTTTAATGGCATTACAAATGAGATAATTCAGATCTAAATTACATGAAGCCCCTATAAATCCAGCATCAAACACCAAGATGGGAAAAGATAAAATTGTGCACTTACTTGACAATATCTACAAAGGCAGTCCCAAGTGACTTAACTTGGTACTTCACACCATACTTCTCACACAAAGACTTCACGAGGGGAGCTACCTTATACAAATTGTGGCGTGGCATCCTGGGGAATAAGCTGAAATTATACCAGAATATATGAAGACAAACTAAAGATATGTTCCTAGTATTTATTACCTATTAAGCCATTGAAATACATGGTTAAGACTCTTCATGAAATCAGAGCTACATACATATCAAGTCAAAAAGCCTCGCCAAATGATGGAGAAAAGGAGTTACAAAATTGAAATTTTGTCAATTCCATTTAATAGGGCTCTAAGGTTTTCAGGAAAGACAGACTATATTAAAATAGCCAGAATAGCAAGTCCCACAGAACATCTTGAACATTACATGACAGAAATAACCAGGCAGTTGTATTGTCTCATTTTGGCAAAATCCAAACCCATGACATGATGTGACCGTGCTTGTCTTTATCTTTGATACAATAATAAATCTTTAATTGGAAGTTTTTTGTATGATTATTTTGAGATAAAAAAAATAAAAGATGAGTTCAATAATTGCATACATCATACACATGTTTTCAAGTATATTAACAAGTCCTATATACCATTCCCAAAGGTTTCAACATGTAATATAAAGTCAATTGTGTTGATATACACATTCCTTTGAAGTATGGCATGAATACTTACTGGTGCTCTATTTGGAAGTTCAAGTGACCTGTGAACCAATCATTAAAGAAGGACTTCTCTATGTCACAAGTTGCATGAAGCTGAAAAGCACAATTCAAATTCTGTGTCTAAAATGTATACTTTTTGATCAGTAGTACTATGCTCCTGTCAACTGATTTGAAAGTTTTAAATAGGACGTTTAAAAATTATGGAGCAAACTGATATTTTCTGAATATTACAATGTATTACCAGAGATAATGAACAGAAATATAATTTAGATCATATCGAAAAAGTATTCAAGTACTGTATCTTCAAATATGAAAATTAAATAAAAAAACAATGACATTTGGATGTCTTAAAAGATAAATAATACCTCAATGGTTAAAAGTTCAAACTTTACATGGGGCCTTTAACATGTTTGTTGTGTACATACCTGGAGAGGTAGCCATGCTTCTGCTCTATCTTCCTCAATCTCCATGGGGATGTGGTTTGATTGACTCACCCATGTGAACCAATGGCTCTCAATAATACTACAATTGAAAACACAAAAACTCACAAAATAGCAGGGTAGAATATTTGTCATTTATCAACATAGAGGGACTTTAGTAAATGCATTGTGGACCTACTAGAACTATTCATGATACAAACATTGATGAACTTCCATACAAGGATTTTTGTTGTCTTGGATCATTTCTTTTGTATTATCTTGTTACATGTATCCTGATTAAAAGCATGATAAATTTTAGCCCATATCTGTTAAATGTTGTTGTGTTGCATGACAGCAGATTGAATGTAAGAGGGATTTATTCTTTGATTTTGAAATATTTAATCAACAAGTTGCAAATACTAAAAGAACTCTAACGTTAATGGAATCAGGGATTACTTAAATAATATACCAACATTATCCTTATGCCAATAACCATCAGCAACTGTAGAGAACAAAATGTAACAACATTCCCATTTCTACCAGTCATGTAATATTTATATTTTTAAAGTTACTCTACTGTGTTGTTGTATTCATAACTTACCGAGTAATTTCATAGAACGCTAGAGTCCACCAAAATCCTAGCATTGGGTAATACAGCACTAATAACTTTACATAGAAACCAAATGTAGAAAGGGCATCCTACAATTAAAAATATATCAGAGCATTAGTGACAAATAAAAATATATATAGCATAAGAGCTATTGATGTTTTCAATGCACTGGACCTCATATTATCAAAATATGAAAACATGATCAAAAAATAAAAACATAAGATAGCTAGCGGTCCATTTTTTGTGAAATGTGACTGTAACACTGATTTTCTGAGGTTAAGATTCAGAAATTAATCAAAAATTAGGATATATCCTCAACAAGAGGGGGCATCCTTTCTCCTAATTCCTCTAACTCAGAGTTTCTTGGAAATTATTTTCACCTTTGCCTGTGTACAGATACCAATTTGAAACTATCAATGTTCAATGTTCTATTTCAATATGTCCCCACAAGTGGCACACGAAAATAGACTGTATTACTTTATGTATCCAATATGTTGTCACTATCAGCTAGTGGTGGGACTCGCCACCAAAATCTCTACTCAAGTAGAATGATGAATCTGACGATCGAGTAGACGATTTTGGCGATTATTTTTTAGAAAAATTGAGAAAATTAGAACCTGGAAAATCAAGGCATTTGTCACTACTTACATCGACTTTTGGTTTAATGACCACTCAATTATGTAGTTCTGAAAGGATTGAGTTCCTTTTTGGATGTTTGAGACGCACATTTACCGTATATTAGGATTTAAGCCTTTTATGGATTTTTTCGACTTTGAAATTCCCACTTCCGTCGAAATACATATGCGCATGCGATAAACCGGATGTAAACAAACATGAAAAGCAATGAATACGATTCTCATACTTAATTCTCATCAACTGACCATTAAATCAACAAAGCAATCTGCAGAATATAATCAGAAGTATGTAATTTATTAGAAAAACGTAAAGGCAGCTACAATCCTTGTTTAAATCGTAAGTATGGAGGGTAAATCGCGATTTTTCTCAGAAATTTTCAGGATCACGATTTTCAAATTTTCAATCGATTGATCATTTTTCTAGGCTCATTCGAGTTCTAGTCGATTACCCGAGTCACTCGTTACACCACTACTATCAGCAGATAGACTTGTGTATATTTTTAACTACTCGTATTTATTGAAATCTTGTTGTGTGAGTTCATACTTCAGAGGCAATTTGCACAGAACTTCCTGCCAAATTCTATGATTAATTCTATGATTCAATTTTTATGGACATCAAAAACATGGTGCTTTGATAAAAAAAATGAGTCAAATGATGACAATAACATATAACATACCTTCCATAGACGTCTCTTGATGATATGTCGGATTGTCATAATTTGGAAAAACACAGGGAACAGGAGAGGTGGTCCAACTGAAATATGAATTTTGAAAATATGATGAAATCTTCGAATTTACATAGTATTATAGGATTTTACTTATTTTACTCATTTCCTAGCCTTGCCCAAGTCGGTCTCTTTTACTATCTGATTTCTATTATGACCGACTTGTACCAAAGAGAAAGCCACGTGCTTTACCGACTCAATGTTTATGTCGGTAAAATTTGACCAATCTACAACGGCCCTGCAACGTTAGCTCATTATTATGCGCGGTCAAAAACAAGTACACTTTTCGTCGGGACTTTTCACGAACAAATCTTGCATGAATTCATCATGAAAATACAAATATTTTATCAGATAAATATCAATCAGAGTTAAGTGGATGCCAGACATCGATCGGTAACCGGAGGTTAGAAGATTTCAACGATAAACGTTGAAAGGATCGCTGAATTCAAATGAACATGTAGGCTGAGATTCAATTACTGATCGACGACTACATGACCCGCTACATTGGACTAGGTCTTGCATTTTCATCGCGAGATCAGTTTTAAATCTATTGCATGATTTAATTTATATTAATGACTCTTACATTCCCTATGTACATTTAATTACATAATATATTGTAACTCTAAAGAAACGATCGATCAGATCATTGAATTTCAAGTCGTAGACGGGAAGATTGTTTTGCTGTGCAGCTCAACCTGATAACGTTTTGATTGGTCAATCAGCCTGAAGTCACACGTCGTGTCCACGCGTATATCTGTTAATCAATAAGGTTTCGCGATACCCCTGATAGCGTAGGTATTATGGAAATCTCGAAACCGTTGAATATCTCAGCATAATAGCAGCGGAGATGTATTGGATTGTACAAGGCGGTAATAATTCAAGATCAGATAAGTAAAAAATACCGACTTGGGCAAGGCTACTCATTTCCTTACAGTCAATATTCTTTCAACTAAACGTTTCAGCTATAAATAAATTAGGGTACTTACGTGCAAAGAAATAATTGTGCTGTAGATTGTATGGCATTTTACTGTCTCCTTTCTTGGCAACCTGAAAAGTTCAAAACATTATTATAAGATATAGAAACACAACACTCATTGAGGACCAAGCATTGAAAAAGTGGGAGACTTAGAAACAGATCATCCTGAATCAAAATGGATTGGCATTCTACAAGTATGAGATTTGACTAAAGTTCAGACCATTTTCAATCTCATTCAGACATTACAAAATGAACGCCAATTTGTGAGAGTGAATTGCACATTACAACACATGAACCATTCAGATGAAAGGGCAGATAGTGTATTATATATTATATGGATGTGACTTACTTTAATGGGCATGGTTTGTCCAACTACAAACAGCTGGTCCAATCTAACATCTGGGTCTTTATCCATCTGAAATGATTACAAATTTACATGTAAATCCTTACAACTGCAATTCTAAAAGTAATCTAAAGGATGACAAATAACAATTTTTTAATGTCTATTTGACATTTCTTGATTAAACATGATATATGCATGTGAGTGTATTAAACTGGCAAAGAACACTACGTTTACTTACCACATTAGGCTTTGTGTATTAAACTGGCAAAGAACATTAAATTTACTTACCACATTAGGCTTAGTGTATTAAACTGGCAAAGAACACTACGTTTACTTACCAAATTAGGCTTAGTGTATTAAACTGGCAATGAACATTAAGTTTACTTACCACATTAGGCTTAGTGTATTAAACTGGCAAAGAACATTACGTTTACTTACCACATTAGGCTTAGTCTATTAAACTGGCAAAGAACATTAGGTTTACTCACCACATTAGGCTTAGCATGGTGCTGGTAATGCATATGTCTCCACCAATCTGGAGAAGCTCCCTGAAACAAAATAACTCAGCATTAAGAACAAGAAGGGTTGAAGTTTAATATTTGCCATAACATAAACAGAGAGACAACACAGTACTGAAATACAATGTTGTATTTCTGACAATATCAACTATACTGGGTTTTGAGAAGGACATACAATCCAATTTTTTAAATTCTAATAATGTTTCAAAATATGACATTTAAGATTTAATACACCAAACATAAACTCCCTCTTCAGTATGCACAAAGCAAATGATATAATAATATAGCAGCAGAGTTCCCCATATCCTATTTTACTGTAGACCAGTGCAGTAGAGTGTTGGCTAGCATGTCATTCATAGCATTGATTGTATGCTGTTCCATAAATTACAAAACAGTGAAATAATATACTGTCGATACACCAAAACATACTCCTCCCACACCATACAAGTAAAAGAGAATCACTTTGCGATGTACTTATTGTGACATTTCTTATTGTTTGAATGATGGAATATGGTTCATCACAAATGTATTGGTTGTACGTAACATTTCTGAATTGTTTTACTAAACTTGTTATTACTATACTTCAAAGTACATAAAGGCGACTCATTCAGCTTAGCAGTTACATTGAGACAGACTCCATACTGAGAGAGGTGTGCAGAGGGTCATAGTTGAGTGCTTTGGAAATAAGAATTCCAGGGCGACACAAATTAGTTATTTGTTCACAATAAGTACAACAATAAGCAGAATAACGTTAAAAACACAAGCCTAGGCTCTTTTTCCCAACAGCCACACCAGAGCACTAACTTCCATTCCATCAACCTTCTTTTTTACCTTCAGGAAACCTATGGTGAAATGGTGGGCTAAATGGTTTAACCATGTTGACTTAAACAATGATAGGTGTCCGTAATCATGCTGAGTCCACCCACACTGTGCCTACAACAAACAAATGTTGCTAATCTTTGAACAGAAAATCTCACGATGGTTTACTCACCTTCAGGAATCCCATAGTAAAGTGATGCAAAAGATGATTCAGCGTGACACTTTTGAAGACAGACACGTGCCCGTAATCATGTTGGGTCCAAGCAGCTTGCGCCTGAAATATACACCATTCACCATTTGTTACCACTACCTATTACCCATCAACCATACATTATTGTGAAGAATACAAAAGAATAGATTGTTAGGGTATATATGGAGCCAAAATTTCAACCCTAATCCTACAAAGGGGTGATGGATAGAATCCTTGGATGATGTTCTGTCCATGACATAGACGTAGCCTTGTACATACCTGTATTCATATATGACATATTTATGGGCTTTGCACTTTGAACCATTTGTAATGATATTTGTCACTTGTACCAAAAGTATGAACCCAAACTGTTTGTTGTGTCATATGTAGAGAGTCAGTGGGGAGGGTTACCCTGGGAAGTAATACAACCATTTGTTAATCTAATGAAATTATAGAGCACCAACCTTGGAGACCAAATCAAGCCACACGTTTTCAAAAAAGGTATGATGTCCAATAATCAACAGTTATAGAAAAATGAAGTTAATTTCACTATAGTCTGGTCCCTCCCCCTAATCTAACAATTTTTTAAAATTTTGATTTGTCTTTCACCAAAATCAATACTATTCTCTAATAACGAAACCATTATTTACCCCCTCCCCTGAACTAAACTACGTAACTTTGTTATTACACCATCTCTAATATTGTATCTGACGATCATTTTTACCGCAACAATATTAACACTGGTGATCTGCTCGATTATGCTGGTTACAAAACGGGACGTCGAAGGTACGATTTTTCTTTTTTCCTTATTTCACGTGTTGTAGGCAGAATCTTCACCTTTTTTCTCACAAACAGAATCGTCGATTTAATTCCTCACTTAAGTTACATAAACGGTTTGGGTTAAAAGTGCAGATCTTAACTGTTTTTCGAAAAACCATTTTTGTAACTCAAGTGAGGAATTAAATCGACAATTCTGTTGTTTTCTGAACAATTTGTTCGCAAATATGTACATTTTCTTAAACATATGACACTGACACATGTTTGTGTTAAAAATGTTGTGGGAATTCTGCCTACAACATGTGAAATAATGAAAAAAGATGTACCTTCGATGTTCCAACATTTTGTTACCGAAATGGTGTAATCGAGTGGATCACCAGTGATTAAACTCAAGGATCTAGTAAGGTGACTGTTCACAATACCAAAGACATTAACACATGATAAAATAAATTATGTTTATTTTTAACATTAATCCTCTACAAAAATGCATTGATAAAGGGATATGAAATTGGTAATTATCAGTTAAATACAACAGCTTCAATATAAAAATACTTTCTCTTTCAAAAGGAAATTTTATCACCCTGAGTGCCTTAAAGGATGAACTCACAACAAAGCAAAATCAAACTAGTGGAATGTACTTTTTCTAGTTTTGCAGTCTATGTATTTTTTACAATGAGTGAGATACTTAATACTATTCTAATTTGCATTCATAATTGATTCTCTTACCTCCATGGTGCCGAACAAAATACAGGAAGTTATAAATGGGATCCATCCTGTGCCGAAATAGTACATCACAAGGAATGCTGCAGCCTCAAGTGCCAGGATATGGGCCAAATGCAGCGTGAAAAATGTAACACTGGGTTTGAACAGGCCCTGGAATAGAAGTCAAATTCATCATATGTGTATGTATTTGTATGATACGCAACATTTAGATGAAATAGTGTTCAAAGTCAACAATTGTGGAAGAACAAAATTAATAAAAAAAATATTAATAGAGGGAGATTTTGTTTGTGTAAAAGATCAAACATTGTCATAACTTCTTCATCATTAAAGATATGTGACATATGAATATATCCTATTAAATCTCTTTAAATTCTTTATCTTTTGTTATATCAAACAAATGCATGTCAAATCAACACTTCTATATAGATCACTAAAGGGAAGGGGAGTCAAATCATTAGTTAAACCATTACAACATCAACTGATCTTACCCAACAGATGGAATTTGAACACTATCCGGCAAAGAGCTAACATCTATGCATTTTTATGTTACCACAAGAAATATTTTTAATAAGAGGCTAACCATTTTTTCTGCAGTTTTGTTTAATTCATCCATATCCTTGATTAAGTCTTTCTCCTTCTCTGTGTGATTTTCATCTATGACTGGACCCAGTTCAATGGGCTTGAGAAACTTTTTCACATGGTTTAAGTCTGGATGGAATGCACGGAATGCTTCCTAAAATACAAATTAAACAAGGTTATATTGAAACAAAATATGAAACCATCAGTCATTAAAGTGACCCAGAAATATTTAATGATACAGTGAAACCTGTCTTAGTAGTAAACACCTCTCTCTCGTGAACATCTGTGTTTAGTGAACACCACTTTAGGAGACATTTTACATTGACTCCTGTATAAAATTCCCTCTCTGTAGTGAACACCTACCTATAGTGAACACTTTCAGAGGTTCTATTAGTGTTCGCTATATACAGGTTTTACTGTACTATCGAACAAAGCTCAGGAGGACATTGAGAGTACCTCTGTGTGTCTGTCCAGGGTAGTAACTCAAATACCCTTTGAACATGGTTTATGGGAGTACAAGCTCTGCTCAGAAGCTAATTTTGAAGAATTTATCAAATGTTAACACATCGTCAAATATGTTTTTAATATCTAATATTGTTTATGATATTGATTTAGTTCAAAACACAAATACAAATACATTCCTTTCCTCCTGTATCTAAGTTGTGAACCAACGACTAATGTCATGTCAACACTGCAGGGCAGTGCAGGCTGACATGTCCCATGATTGACATGTTAAATTTTGAATACTTAAATCTGAGCACTGAACCCAATCTCAAGGCTTATTTTTAGACACGGATGTATTTGTACTTTTACTGATTGGTTATGCGAATAATATGTCAAAATCGATAAAAAAACTGCCCCTCTCAAATGTTAACTAAATATGAAAGCTATTATTACAGCTTCCATATAGTGATAATAATAGGGTCAAATGATGGGATCCTAAACAGAAGAGTAGAATTTTGATATAGGCTTTTTCCTTAATTGTGGTTAAAAAGTATTTGTATAAGAGTTGCCAAAACTACTGTCATAAGCCGCTTTTTGGTCAAATAACTATTATTTCATTTTTGTAGATGACCAGATTTGACAAAGTCGAATACAGCGCGATTTGGGCATAGGGGCCCAAACTAGGGTCAGGTTTATTCAGTTCATAAGAATAAATATTCTCTGATTTGGGCACATTGGCAATTGACTGCACATATGAGTTCAACTTATTTTGTTCAGCCTTTAAATGGTTTATGTAATAATTCAGGCAAAATGACAAAAACCTACTGAGGTCAAAGGTCAATCAATGTTCAGCTTTGGTCATTGCTTTTATAATTCATCAGATGGACAGGTAACTGTAAGTAATACTTTTAAAACTACAGAGGGTGAATGGGTGAATGTTGGTGGATACTTAGATGACTACATCCAAGAATGTTACTAATACCATATATGACCTAACATACACCCTGTTCTGAGGTCTATATCAGGTCTAAACAATTTGAAATAATCAGATGGTAGATGTTGTTGGTTGAGCTTGTGGATTTTAATCAAGTCTCCATGGATTAGAACATTATTAATACAATAGTTTGAGTTGAATGTTACAATAATAGGTTATACCTATTACAATAGTCTAGCTTGGTTACTACATAAGATAAGTATGTAATTATAATCTTATTTAAAATTAGTGATACAAGTATATGAATGCTTTGCACACTGCGTACGTAAAAGTTTAACTTGAAGAAATATAAATTAGCAACCATGCAATAGTAATACTTTAACAAACACAAATTCATAAACACAAAGGGTTGAAAGGGCCACAACTAAATGCTGATAACAATAAACTTACATATATGCCCTTTTGCAATTGTTGATAAAAATTCAGGACCCACTATCATGTGACACAGAAATTTCATCCACTATACAGATAATGTGGCAAAATGATGATGTTGTCCAAGATTCAATCTAATAACAACTTATTTCAGAGCCGCATCCTCCTTTCTTTGAAGGTGCTTACAAAATGTTTTGATTGTTATTTTTAAAAAGTTTTGTTGCACTGCATCCTTTTATCAAGTTAACCTATACATACTTTAAGAATTTGTTTAAGATTAGGAACATCTCAATTACCCAAATACGTGTAGGTAATTACCAGTTTCACCACCAGGTGGCTGATTCAGGTCAATTAACATGGCAGGTATATAAGAAAGTTCCCTTAAACTTGAATATTATCAATTTAAGTGGCCCAATTTTCATGTAACCCTTATGTGTCTGATTCTTATACTAATGAAAATATGTCCAGTAAAGCAAAATATTATCTGTCTACTAAAAATTTCTCCATCTAAAATGTCACTCGACTTTTTGGCAATTAAAAGTCCCTGCCTGCATTTAGTAGTCATATATTGTCATGTGCATAATTTTGAAACCATATCCTAATTATTTCACAAACCCTTTGTTGATTCTGCCATAGTTTCCAATTTGTAAACAGCATTAAAGCCTTTTTAATTGGGAACTTTTTTGAAATTTCCAAAATGGCTGCCATGTGATTCCAGAATTAACATGAGTGTGACGTGACATCACAGTTGCTCGTTCCTAGGTAACAACAAGATCACAATTGCTCGTTTCTAGATAGCAACAAGATTTTTGATAAAATGGCACAGAATTACCCTGATTAACACCCTTAAAATTTAAAATCCGATTTTCAAAGAATATATTTGGAGAAACAATAAAAGGTAAGTGGAATAAATTAGAAGATGGTTTCAAGTTACCACAGAAGTCAATTTGAAACTCAAGAATGCTTTCTTTGACTCATAATCACAAAAAAGTCGAGTGACATTTTAGATGGAGAATTTCTTAAAAGAAAAGATATTTCATTTTTTGTGATTTTATAGCATGGGGTCTATGGGGAATCTCCCCGAGCTAGAAGTCACATTTTCAAAGAAAATTAATTTTCCAAAGTTTATAAACACTTTTTAAAACCACATTTCTAGATGTAATTTTACATTTAGATTTCAAATATGATATTACTTTATATTATTTCTACTCGCATCTGGGTTATTGAGATTCATTGGAGATTCACTTTTTTCAATTCCTTATCTAAGGGCTAATTAAATACCTAGCTATGGGAACATAACATAATGTTCAATTCTATTTCAATACAGTCTTTGATATGACGTAATCAGCAATTAATGTTTTATCTTAGACTTAATCATCTACTACTTGCCCTATAAACATTTCATTTCATCATATTATTTTTTTCTGGTTAACCTTTGAATGGCCATTATATACATTGTATCAGGCCATATCACTTAGTGCTCATTAACTTTTCACCTGACTAATACTAATAGTAGACTTAGTTCAGATGAATCAATGTCCAATGTTCATGTTTATTTATCAAAGGGGTTATCGTATCCATGTAAGTCTGCAGGCAGATACAGTGAATAAAAGGGTATCAGTAGTACTGACAGACAGAGTTAAGGTGGCGTAACCTCGCTGCCCAAGAACAGTTATATCACCATTGATTTACGCAACTACCATTGATGATTTAATATTTATGATATCCCGGAATGTTTGGAAGCTCCACAAATTTGAAATATACTTTTCATACGAAGTAAACGTGAAATAGCCTTAATGCGTATTTCTAGAGTTTTAAAACATGTGGCATTAAAGGGGCAACAAGGCCTGTAGAGAGAAAATAGGAAAATTTTAACTTTTTATGAGCTATCAAGGCAACATTTGGCTTAACATCTTCTTTGACAGACCTATTTTCTTAAAATGTATGTATAAACTATCAATTTCAGCATTAAGAAGTGTAAATTCAGTTCAAAGCTTCAAAAAGGGGAAATCCGCTTTTATATTTTTAAGATCCACCATGTTTTAAGAGGAATATATGCTGAAATAATGTTTATCTAGTGGGTTTTTTTGTGGATAATAAAAATAGATGTTAGTCTTGATGAAATATCCAAACTTAAATATATTTTGACACTGGTCCATGATCGTTGAATGGCCCCTCTGCACTAATTGTTGCACCTTTAACTGCTTTAACATCTAACACTGGTGATCCACTCGATTACGCTGGAACCGTTTCGGTAACAAATTGTCGGAACGTCGAAGGCATAATTTTTCTTTTTTCCTTATTTCACACGTTGTAAGCAGAATTCCCACGACATTTTTATCACAAAACGTGTATCATATGATTAAGAAAATGTACATATTTGCGAACAAATAGTTCAGAAGACAACGGAATCGTCGATTTAATCCCCCACTTAAGTTACCTGAAACGGTATTTCGAAGCGTTTATGTAACTTAAGTGAGGAATTAAATCAACGATTCTGTTGTCTTCTGAGCCATTTTTTCCGCAAACATGTACCTTTTATAAAACATATGATACTGATACACGCTTGTGAGAAAAAATGTCGCGGACCGTTTCGTGAACCAGCATAATCGAGCGGATCACCATTGATTTAACAGAGATTAAAAATGGCAAAAATAAGAAGTTTACATTTAACCTTTCAAAAGACAATGTCCTTTAAATATGACCTTGACATTTGATGACAGGCCCGTAGCCACCTACTTGCCAAAATGTCATTAGACAGTGTGTCATGTTTATGAGTATTCACATATCAAATATGAACAAAATCGCTCTATTACTTTTTCAGTTATAGTAAAAATGTAAACACATAAAAATAGTGGCCTACTCCCCAAATGGCCGCCTTTTTCAAAGTGGTCGCGGTCCAACGGTATTTGAGTCATTGCCCGGACAGACAGATGGACAGGACGTATGTGCGGACGTACGGAAGGATGTATGTATGGACGGAGGTGTTCCCTATATCCCTCTGAACTTTGTTTGATGGATAATAAATCATTTCAAATCTACCACTCTGACCCCTTTTCAACCAATCAGCAAAGTGGAAGGAACACATGCTAAATACATGCTCATTAACTATGCGGTGATGTCAGAGGAAATGTCCATAGTTTGACGACGAACTCTGATTGGCTCGGTGAGATCAGAGATTTATTGTAAACTGAAAAAGTGAAGACGTACATGTAGGTCTTTTTTAAGAAGTAAAGTCGAACGAACGCAAAGGGTAATTTTTGTCATAACTGATCATCTAAAATTGAAATGCATATTTCTAGTATCATTTTTACTATACTCTGAGGTTATGTCACTATGGCGTGAAATATGCCTGAGTTCTGCCAATATAGGCAAACAGTGAGATTTAGGCAGGAACAAAGGCATATTTCATGTCGTAGTGATATAACTGATATATAGCATACATGTACCTTTATTTCTATGACATCACACTTGTGGGTGAGTGGAATTAGAAAGAAATGAAACATGACAGCTAATAACATTGTCACGGTAACAAAAGAAAGTAGGCTATATCAGGGAAGGTGGGCCATGTTGGCTATCCTATCCAATGAACCCTGCCTACTTTTTTCTAGACTTCCGTATAAATGCTTCCGTATTTAATACTTGGATATATGAAACTAAAGATGGCTTTTTATAGTGGTTTACTACAAAAGTTTCAATGATTGTTTTTCTTTCAAAAGGTAGAATCTTTACAGGGCTTGCACAACATTTTCACTTAAAAAATAACCCAACTTTTCCCTGGGTCAAGTATAAAGATGATAGAAAATACTAGCCAAAAGATTCATACACCCTTCATAGCTTGTATACATGTATAATGAACATATATAAGCAGTTTTGTAAATCAAAATATAAGAAGAGGCATCCAATTATAATCATTTCCTGGTTTATTTACTTTAAGTACGATGTGCTGTTTTATTTATTATTCACTCTATCTTAAATGAACATTGTTTGTTGGGGTAAGCACAGACCTAGAAATCTCCTGTAAGATTCCGAATTCCCTAATCAAATACAATAAGACATCAAATACATAAAAGTAATAATTCATATCTTTAAGAAAATTATGTTGAAAACTTACAGATGCATCTTGGCCAGCATAATGGCTGATAACTTTGCTTCCTCCTGGATGCCTCCTTGCCCATGTTGTGATATCATAGGCCTGGTTATCTACAACTATCCATTTACTTTCCCTCTTGTCATGGCTCCTTACTTCTTCCCATGTTAGGGGCTGGCCCCTTTGGCTGACTTTTTGGCCCCCTTTCCCCATACTTCAGCAGGGAGATTTCAGATTACAAAGACCCTGCAAAATAAATTCTTTCTTTTGAATTTTTTATTTGATTCCAACAAAATCAATTGGTCTCTTATGAAACAGAACGAAAATTTATATTTTTTCTGACAGTCATCATTTCAGCCTTCAGATCAAATGTGTTCCAGGATGTAGGATTACCACAATTACTATGTTCTCATAACACTGGTAAAATAGTAGAATCCGTAACAAACCTGAAACTGGATTTTCCTTCACTTTAGATTCAGTTCAATAATCATACATTATTTCCAGATTTCAACTGTCACTGATTTATTAGATTCAAGGTTGTTGCCTGATTGAAAGTTATGAAACTTTGAACTTGTATAAATATTGAATCATAATCCTTATCATTTAACTAAATAAACCGGTCAAATAATTTGTGTAAACTTTGAGTTTAACGTGCAGTTAATCAGTAACCAATAACAAGTTCAATATCTGCCTGAATACTAATATAAATTGCAGCATCGTGGCTCCTCCTCAGGGCAACATGACATGATCATGAGACTGGTGAGCTGATGCCGGGTGATATTTCAAAAGTCTAAGAATCTTCATTTCTTAAATATTTCACATTATAAAAACAGTATTACCTTACCGACATAAATTATATAAGTTTCGTGAACTATATCATTGTGTTCCCCATCCAATATGGGGCGTAAGCTTAAGTATATAAGTAATGTTTTAGTTTACCTGCAGAATCGAGGAATTTGTTGTCCCAATCGCTAGGTGGCGCATTGCTGTATAAAAAATATCTCAAAGTTTTCCAGTATTAGAGAGGATTGAACTTTTAAGAACATGCGATGTTACTTACAGATAAGTGTCATAAATATTTTACTAATTCAATGGTAGAATCACTTAATGAAATTTACCATAAGATATCAATAAAAGGAAATTATACAATGGAACACATCATGCCGAAGTTGAAGATGTTTCTGACACCAACGCTGTGACCTTGACATTGCCTGACCTTCATTTTCGCCAAGAGAGAGCAGACGGAAATATTTCCTCAATCTTCCTAATTTCCTTCAAAACGATTGGTATGTATCTATTTCGAACACAAAATTTTACATTTGTCGTCTCTTTCTCCACTGAGCTCCAGCTGTACTGTTCCAGAGGCACCACATTTTTGAAAAATTTCTAACAAAATTATTCACTCGCAATTCACTGTTCAGGTTCAGCTGGAAAGTAACATTTTGGTAAAAAATTGCTATACCTGCACATGTTATTTTCTGGTACATAATTAAGTATGAAGGCATGTGTGTATTTCCTTCCTTTTTTCAGGAAAGTATCATTACACTGTCTACTTTTAGTAAACCTGGAAACAGGTCAATGGTAGCTCCTGTGTTGTCTGGAAACTTTGAAAGAAAATTTGGAAAAACAGGAAGTGTGAAATATCAGAATTCCCTGGAGTTCCCTTTGAACGCCTACCAGATATTCTAAAAGAAGACCATGTAATGATACTTTCCTGAAAAAAGCAAGGAAGTTGATACATGCCTTCATACTTTATTTTGTACCAGAAAATAACATGTGCAGGTATAGCAATTTTTTACCAAAATGTTACTTTCCAGCTGTACCTTCAGTGAGTTACATAGGCTACAAAAATTGAAAAATCAAATAAACTGACCTGTTTCTTGTTGTTGTGCTTCAACACTCCCATAACCTAAGCGGGTGGGAAGTTTTACTGAGGGAGATACATCAAACTTTGATGTAGGGGAGATCCGTCAAACTTCGACGTATGGGGTTGTTGAAAGCCCATGGTCATGGGGCTACTTCGACCATGGGGTTATTTCGACAATTGCCGATAATTCATATTTCCGGGGTCAGCAATCTTGGATTAAGATCTCGCTTTTTTAAAAACAAATTTGGGCAGACTTCATGAATATAAGCCAATTTCGAAATAGTCCCATGGTCGAAATAGCCCCATGACGAAGTAACCCAATTCATCGAAGTTCGATGGATTTCCCCTATGTGGTTACCAGGGGCTTCACTTTATATTAACCTTTTTTGACATTTGGTATGGAAATAGACCCAAATTTTAGGATCTGATATGAGAATGCCCTCACATTTTGACTTTTGAGGTATGGCAATGGTCAGATTTTCCCACTTTCTGGAATGAGAATGGTCGTGGAAAATATGTTATCTCACACTTGTGGTATGCATTGATCTAGTAGTTACATATATCCTTAATATAAGGTTGTTTTAGGATGTTTTCGTCAAAGATCGCCTTCTTCTCAATATTAGCTTTTTCCCCTGGAAATATTCTACTTTGGACCAGTCATAGCACTGGTATGGCATTGGTCCTATATTTAGTCATTTGGTATGGCATTGGTCTCATATTTGGACATTTGGTATGGCTTTGGGGTACTTTATTGGTTGGTATGGGAACACATCCAAATTTGACATTCAGTATGGGAATATATTGATATCTGAGGGTTCCTAGGACCCCCACCGAAATTTGTACACAGTGAACCCCCGGTTGTGGTAACAGTGGCGTAGCCAGGATTTGGTGACCAAGGGTTCTATTTTTTATGTTATCCACAAAGCTTTTTTGGATGTAAATTTTGGTCACCTTAATCACAAAAGTCCTTCTGAGCTCTGAATAAGTAAAATGTTCAAGGTCAAAGGTCCTCAAACTAGGTCACAAACTGTGCTATCTGAGTTTCTCAAAGTTCGAGACTACAAATCAAAATCAATAATTTTGTTTGAAAATCAGGAAAATCCTCTGAAGGTTCTACACTATGTGAGCATAGGTCCTTTATTTTAAATTTCAATGCCTTGCAACAAAAAAACACCTGGTGCTGAAAACACCTATTTGTTCTTTCTTTGAATTGAAAATAAAAAATAATCTGTACTAATAACTTTGAAAACATTCTATTCTCTATCACTGTTCTGCTGTTTTTTATTACTAACGACGAGAATCAAGAGCGTTTTGTAACTTTTGAGAAATGAAAACATTTTAGATGAATTTGTGAATCATTATAAACTTTAATTTGTTTTTGAGAAATTGACATTTTATTATTTTATAAAGAATGCTGTCAAATCCTTTTTAGGACACACGATTTGAAACTTGTGCAAGGCTAATTCTCTCGTCGTTCTGACAAATACACTTCCCTCCAAAGGTTTGGAAACCTTAGCTCCCTCATTGAACTATGTGTTAAAGTCTCTTTATTATGTTTGAATTTTATTTACATAACCTGTAAGGAAAATACTTATTTATTATATTGATGGAAATGTATCCTTGACTTCATTTTCAATGCCTCCAAAAAATTTCCCCTCTTTCAATAGGTTCAAAATTGATGATAAAAATGAACTTTTGAAAATTGTCATTCCCATGGGAACCAATATGGGCTCAATATTTAATTAGAAGATTAGATTCAACCACAGGCCATCTGTAATTAGGTCTTTGAAGTTTAAAGATCTCGATTATCCGTTGGGGGGCAACCTCGGTAGTATTGCTCCAAACAACCTCAGTAATACTGCTCCAAACATAAATAGGGCCGCCTTAATGGACTCCCACATCAGTAAGTGTCCCTATTGTCTCTTTCCCCTGGTCTCCAACAGAAACAGACACGATTATCAACGTTGTGGAGGACACATCTTCTTTCATCACATGATGTCATATGACACCAAAGATTAAGTCCGGAGTTATGGTGCTTTCTTGCCCATTGAAGGCACCTTTCATTGTTATGATCGGTCAGTTTTGGTCTCTTTAAAGGTCTCATGACCTTGCATCTGTTATTAAGAAATCACCGGCTGTCTATAGCTCTGAAACACGGGTTTTGAGGCAGCCATGACATATGCAGCAGGTGGTGGTCTTTTCTTGCACTTTTCTCTCTTGGGCATTGCTTTGACCTGGAGTCACATTCCTGTTCCTGACACACCCTTAGGGTCCTAACAATGCCAGTTTGTCTCATGCCAGAGAGCGCCATCCCTATACCATGCTTTTTTGCACTTTTTTATTGGGCATGCCTTCTAAAAACTCTTCCAACTCAAAATTATATTTTTATGAAATGTGCACATTGATTCCAACTAAGATTTAGATGCCTCTTTCAAATAACCAATATCATGAGGTCATAGGGTCACTTGAGTGAATGCAAGTTTAATCAACCATAAATGTTTTAACTTTTCATACCAATCAGCTTTATATGCAAAACTGATGAGGGAATCAGGACACATTACAAATTTTCAACAAATTGTTATCATTTTGTAGTAATTCCATCAAACAATTCATATCTATAAAATATTCCATATTTATGAGCAACAGTGTAATCCTTATGTCGTTTGCTTTCCTCAGAAAAATATGAATGCATTAAAGAGTATAATATATTAAGTTAATAAAACTTTACCATTGATTTTGCTGTTTTCAACAGGATGAAGGATCAACTCAGAGGTGCACATTCTGATAAAATGCAAAAACTTTCGACTGTAATCCAGATTGCCCTTCAAACAAGTATTCTTGAACAATGGGTTGAACACCAGCAATTGTGCATTAACATGGGGGAGAATATTCCGAACACCTTATGGGACAATTGTTGTGACATTTATATATATATTAAGTTATATCATCGACAAATAGAAAACGGAGAAAATGCATGTGATACACTCATAAACTTGCCTACTATTCTATTGTTTTTCTATTGAATGATGTGACGTAAAAAGTGCCCCACCTACCCAAAAGTCAAGTTACCATAGTGACCATCATTTTTGACCAATCAAATTAGAGATGCTGATATTTGATGAATTGATTACAAAATGTATTTTACACATAATGGGTATGTGATCTTTTCATGAGAAAATATCAAAAATCTTTGAAATGATAGCATTTTTCCGAGAACTTATACTGTACTGATTGTGAATTAAAGCATGACAAGCCATGAAAATGTGAATAGACTAGATGCGAGTAGAAAAAAATCTTGATTTACGCCATTAAATATTTGAAATCTACATGTAAAAGTACATCTAGAAATATGGATTCGAAAATTGTTTATCAAGTTTGATTTCATTATTTTTGAAAGTGTGACTTCTAGTTCGGGTTGATTCTCCATAGAGCCCATGTTACAAAATCACAAAAAGAGAAATATCTTTTCTTGTATTGGTCAGATAGCATTTTCATTTACTGGACATATTTTGATTTGCATAACTATTAGATACATAAGGGTTATATGAAAATTGAACCACTAAAACAGATGTTATTTAAGTTAAAGGGATTTTTCTACTATACCCGCCATGCTATCTGACCCGAAAGAGCCACCTGGTGGTGAAACTGGTAACTACCTACTCGCATCTGCGTTATTGAACGAGTGAAATTAAATATTAATGTGTATGTGGGGGTTAACATCAGTTAACCAGTTAGCAATTTCAATACCCGTGAGTGCTCAATTCCGTACTGAACCCGTATTCTAAGAATTTAATCGATTGGTTTCAATTAATGTGGAATGAGGTGATGAATGAAGTTCAAAACCGATACAAACATTATTTTCTATAAATATAACAGTAAAAATGCTCAATTGATAGATTCCTGCACTCTTTCAAATTGCACTTAATAATATTTACTCAGTTCTGCTTCTTATATTAGGTAAACAAATTTTTAAAGATTAATATTTACAGAAGACAGAAAAAAAAGTTTATGAATGTAAATCAACTGAACAATACATAATATTCAAAACAAATTACACAAATAGCAACAGTAAAGCATTTTACATTGAATTCAAGTGTAAAAAACAGCAGGGACTTTTTATACCAGTGGCCTTTTCATAAGTTTCATGTTTGGAAAGAAATATACGAATAACACATAACACACAGTTTTCTGCATTTTAATTCTGTATTTAGAGCAATTTCAAATTAAAATCAAACTTACACCATTTGAAGACTTTGATAAAGGAATTATTTTTGATAGATATATGACAGTATTAAAAATTACCCACATAGCTCATAAACTGAATTAATTGCATACACTTTTTCAATAGGCATTTTTTCACCTGCCAATTACAGGTCATACCATGTCATGAAAAGTAAGCAATTTTCAATGTATAATACAGCATTTACGAAACGTCTGCAAGTTAGGTATGATTTTATCATTTTAAGGAAATTGCATGAACCAAGATAAACATGAAGTCTTAAATGCTATTGCAGATGATGCTATAGAAGATGTCAGGAAGATCAGCAGTGTGGAGGAAGCTACCATCCAAGAGATTGGTGTTGGTAGGGAGCTCAATCGCTGTAGCTGTAACATTGTACAAAGCTAAACAAAAGCTTGGGAATGAAAAGGTACACATAAACACACTTCATCATAGCCATCTATCAGTTGCTCTAGAATGTAAGTAGTTCTAGAATTAAACCAGTGAGTGAGCTTTGCCAGAAATAATGAGGATCTTTCAGATCTTTCATAATCTAAGGAAACCAGTAGAGAAAATCTTGATTTAGATTTTGCAACCAATGTAGAATATGATGCACATTATTCACGTGGAGAAAGTTGTGCTCCTCCCATCAGATCAAAGAATATGTCAAACTAAATCAGAGCATATTGCTAGTGTTTTATAAAAACAGAAACTATATGTTTGTTCCGTATCTGGAAATGAAATGTCAAATCTGTTTCATTATTGACATTATTCCATCTGGTACATCATATAGAGATGAGTAACATTTCAATAAAAATACCAATTAGCACTGCTTGGAACATCTTCATCTGACATAAATGCACCAAAGAACAAAAACCTGACCTTGGACTTCACAAGACCTTAAAAAGCATGCCAGCATTTAATTCACAAGGGTCCAATGAATGGCCTGATACATTGAAGTACATGTATTGGAATAATCAGATTTTCATTGAATATCATAGATCGCAGAGCTCCAGATATGAAGTAGCATTTTTAGTAATAGAACCAATTGTATTATTTAATTGAAATATCCCATAAATTCAGTTTTTGAGATCATTTTAGAAAGTTATACTTACTGTAAAAATATGTTTTTTAACTGAATTTAACATTTTCTTTGTTGCAAAAGGTAAAAGTACATGCAGCCACATCTTTATTGGACCAGAAGGAGGCTCTTAATTCACCACTTATCCCAAGGGCAGAGCAACTGTCCAACCTAGAGAAGACAACATATGACATTCTAGTCATTGGTGGGGGCGCCAGTGGAGCAGGGGTGGCCCTTGATGCCCAAACTAGAGGTGAGAATTCATTTCTGAGCTAATAGTCCCCCTTTGGGGTCATGTAGCCACTATAGCATGTAAGGTTACATTGATTTTAATAAAAAAGAAACATAGTGAGTTCCAGAGATATTGCAAGCAAATTGATTTAGTCTCATTATGCCTTCATGACAAGTGCTGACATACTGTTAGTCTCCTAACTTTTTTGTGAACTCTGACAGCAGTTGGCAGTCAGTGTTTGGCATTTGGCAGTCAGTGTTTGGCATTTGGCAGTCAGTGTTTGGCATTTGGCAGTCAGTGTTTGATTGTTGGTGTCTTTAACAAATGGCAGGTAGTGACATTTTGCATGTTAATGCCTTGGTATGTCTTGCAATGGTAGATATAAATGAACACATCATTGTATATTTGTATTTTGATTGTCAACAAAAAAATATTCAGTATTCAATCAATCTTTTTACTTTGTTTTTTTAATAATATGACCAGAGGTAATATTGTTCTTATTGTTCTTCAGGACTTAAAACAGCTTTGGTGGAAAAGTTTGACTTTTCTAGTGGTACAAGTAGTCGTAGCACCAAGCTTATACATGGAGGGGTGCGTTACCTACAGAAGGCAATCCTAGGCCTAGATCTAGAACAGGTGATATTTGCTTCTTAGTTTCTCGTTTTTACATCTTTTAATATATTTGTCTAGATGAGGTATGAATAGAATAACAGAGATGTTGAGTAATATATTTAGGGCAAATCTACCTACATTTAATCTCACTTATAATAAGGCGTAAACATGCCCATGTTATGCATGTTTCCCTATGGCTAACTCCTTGGCTTTTTACAGCACATTGGATGAGTTTTTGAAATACACGTACTATGATTTCTATACTTACAGTACAGGATGGTTAAAGAGGCTCTTTCAGAGAGAGCAAACCTTCTGGAGATTGCGCCATATCTGTCATATCCCTTGCCAATCATGTTACCTGTATATAGGTAAGTCCATGCATGACCTACTGGGTTTTGAACACTATTCACTGTCTCTCAGAGCTTTTAGTCTGTTTTATTATTTCCTTTGACACTGATGACATCACTTTCCTATTTGATAGTTGTAGATGGCTCAGTCCTTTTAGATTAGTGGAGAGCTCTTTGAGATTTAATGGGGCAACAATGAGAGAAAATGTTCAGAGAAAAATGGACAAATTTGACCTTTTCTGAGGTTTCAGAGCAGTGTATGGTTTAACATCTTCTTTATTCCTATTTTATAAAAATGTATGGATATTCTGCAGCGAGTATAACTGACAAATCGTTAAAAATTCCTTATTCTTTTCAAGGAGTCCCATTTATAAAAGTATTCACCATGTGGAAATACCTAGCGGGTCAATTGAAACTAATTTTTCTGGCTGCTCAAGTTGATAAAAACTCTGATAGTGTGAGTCTTTTTAATTATGAAAATGTTTCTAATAGAAATCATTTGATGATTATGAGAAAGCATTAAAAGTCAAATCCAAAGTGGAATTCAAATAAAAGTGAAATAATATTACGCGGATGTTCAGAACAAACTTCAGGTTTAATAAAAATGGCAGACAGATGAAGGATATGAAGAAGACAAAGAATTAGAGGAATTTCTTTTGCCATTATCGATCGAAATTAAGTATGTGCACAAATTCTAGTTGCATGTATGGAAAATAGATACATTTTTAAAGGCTATAACACATTCAAAGCTTTCATTTTACGATAGGCCCAGGATCACTGGATACGACTCAGCAGTCCTTGTTGCTTCTTTAAGGTGAAATAATCATGGAAAAGTATGAAAGACTATGATTCAAATGTACATCATGTATTTGCAGAAAGGTCAAAACAGTAGGATATTAATGTCATATGAAATACAGAAGCTTTATTTGTAACTTCAGAGAATAATTCAAATTAAGGTGTTAAGGTGTTAAAGTCCGTTAATGAACCAAAGAAATATACCACATAAGCTAAATGTCATACGTTTTGCTGCACCAAGAAGATTTTGAAAATTAACAACAATTTAATCTCATCTATGCCTTGATAATGTAAGAATAACATCATAAAGATCATGATTTAGGCCAACTGGTTTATATTTTACTTGCAGATGGTGGCAAGTGCCTTATTTCTGGGCAGGTATCAAAGCTTATGATCTGGTAGCTGGAGGGCAAACATTAAAGAGCAGCTACTTCCTCAGCAAGACGAAAACTTTGGAATTATTCCCTATGCTTAAGAAGGAGAGGATGGTTGGCTCCCTTGTGTATTATGATGGTATGTATAATTTAAAATTGTTTTGATTACAGTTCCAGTGTCATTATCATACAAATAACTCTGTTGTTTGGTGGGCTGTGCAACTCTGAACTTTTGTTAGGATCAAATAATTTTTGATATGGAATTTACCATTTACATCTGAAGACAAAAAATAATATTTATAAATGTGAAATCTGAAAATTAATTTTCATATGCTTATGTAGGTCAGCACAATGATGCCAGAATGAACCTTGTGATTGCACTTACTGCAGCAAGGCTGGGAGCAACAATTACCAACCATACAGAAGTCCTAGAGCTCATCAAGTCCACTGATGAGAATGGCAAATCTACAATCAGTGGTGCTAAGGTGAAAGACAGAATGACAGGTAATAATCCTCTTCATTAAGATTATACAGTGTATATACATTTTAGGTTGTTTCAATCATGAAAATGTAACTGAACTTAAGGCAGTTCTCATATGGCTAGTTTATTTACCACTTATCCAATCCAACTTATGGTGCAAACAAAATGACATGAGATCATATACTCTACATTGCTCTGATGCCACAATGTTGTTTTTATCACTCGACGATCAATGTTGATGCTGACCACGTTTGTTTGATTTTTTCTTTCGAGTTCTTCCTGCGCATTTTGAACCTCAATGGACGCTGCTATTATCCCAAGTTTTTGTTTTTAATTTTCCAACTACTAGAGATTGGCCCGTCCTGGGCAAATTTAGAAGTGACATTTTCTGATTTTGTAAAAACTAGACTGAAAATGACTTAATACACAGGACATCATCTAAACTTTGGCAAAAGATATAAATTAGCAGTTTTTCTATTTGCCAAATTCACAAACAAAGCTGGCATCAACTTAACCCAATCTACAGTATTGTTTACTGCTTTACAAATACATGTATTTCCAAACAAATATATGATGTTGAGATATCTGAATAATCCATTTTCATGTTCTTCAGGCAAGGAATTTGAAGTGAAAGCTAAGTGCGTAATTAACTGTACTGGGCCTTACACTGATTCTGTGCGGGGTATGGACCAGAAAAATATAAAGAAGATTTGCCAGCCAAGTTCAGGTGTCCACATCGTTCTGCCAGATTATTATAGGTAAGTGGTACAAATGCATAAATGTGGTCAATGTTTTTCAATTAATCAGGACATAGATTAGACAAGAGTGTGAAATAAAGATGATGGACTTTCTGTAGGTCCATAAGACCGTATGTCCATATTAGAGTTGAATTAAAGAAATTATGAGCAGTCATTATTTAAGGAATAAAGACCGAGATTTTATGATTTATGGTGTGATATATGACCGAAAAATTTATTCTGTTCATTGTTAAAAGACCAAAATCGAGTAGCAATTGAGGTCTTTGGCAATGGCCAGAATAAAATTTGAGATCATATATTGGACATAAATCATAAAATCGAGGTCTTTGTTACGATTCTAATATGATAAACAGACAAGAAATACAAATATTTGCATTTATGAATTTTAGTGGTCATACATACTGAAGAAGAAGAAAATATAACGAGGAAAATATTATAGCGAAAAATAGCGTCAGGCTTCGACCGTTATGATAAATTCCGCGAAAGTTTATTCAAAAAAATAAAACTTACTGAAATCATGAAACGCCAGAATGTAAGACCGCCTCGTTGAAGTTTTATTGCTACATTAGATTTACGATCGGTATTTTAATTACCTTTGCTACTAGAAAAAGAACGAACACAAAAACACATAACGTAAAACTACAGACATTGTTTCAAACTATACAAATCAGAAACAATATAAACAACAGTTTAGCATCTTATCAACGTACCATTCCTGAAGAAAATATTTAGATACAGGGATAAGCTGTTTGTTTTCCCGCTGGCATTAAACATTATATTAGGCGATTATAAAGAAAGTCTTGTGTCACCGGTTTACTTGATTGTTATAATCCGTTAATTAGAATTAAAACTTACCTGGAAAGTACAATAAGTAAGCCAATAATTAACAGGTAATTACTGAGAGCATGTATGTATACATTTATTGAAAAACAAAAGGCGAACAAGTTGTTACTAATTTTATTCGTTCGTAAATTAAAAACGTCATGGCAAAATAGGTCATTTTATCTTTTGAATTAATACTGATTACGTACCAGGGAAACCAAATATGATGACTGTATGAGTAATCAAACAATCTAGGAAGCATAACTAGTATTAGAATGAGTATTCGAAAGTATATGAACCGTGAGGAGCTTTCATTTAAACACAGTAAGTTCGCGTGAATTAGTAACTCTATTATCGCTCACAGCGGTAACCCTTAATAATTTCGGGAATCAAGCATTAAAACCTCGGCTAGAACAATGGGCTTTCTAGGCCTAGTTTGACATGAAATTATTGGGCTCTTGGACCGTTATAATTTCTTCTCGCGACTTTTGATTTTGGCAGCATTTCGTTATAATTTGTTCCCGCTATAATTTCTTCTTCTACAGTATTCCAATATAGACCAGTAAATCAATTGTTCTAGTTATTGTGACATCACGTATTATATTAGAATTTTAAGTAGATGAGAGTACAAGACTTAATTTACTGGTGTATCACCACTAAACTTTGGCCTAAGTTTGCTCTGAATCTCTCACTTGATAAATGAGAATTCATTAAATCCACATGCATTCATTTTTTAGCCCTGACCAGATGGGACTACTGGACCCCTCCACAAGTGATGGAAGGGTAATATTCTTTCTTCCATGGCAGAAACACACTATGGCTGGCACAACTGATAATTTATGTAGCGTTACAGATAATCCTGCACCAACTGAAAAAGAGGTTGAGTTTATATTGAATGAGATCAAAAACTACTTGAATGCAGATGTAGAAGGTACATGCATCATATAGATAACCTGCATATGTTTTATTAACTGTAATAATTCTAAGAAGGGAATAAAATATGGAATCAGAGTTAGACCAATATTCAATACATTTTGTCTTATTCAGTACCTTTTGTAATTACTCTGAAATTAAATGTATGTTCTCAAAAATCAGAAGAATCGTTGATATGGTATTCCTTATGATCCATTTGTCTCTTTGGACCATCACATATCTACTCATGGATAACTGAAAAACAAGACAAAAGAACTTCTTGTTGAAACACATGTAACTGTATAATATGTTGTATATCCTAGTGAGGAGAGGGGATGTGCTATCTGCATGGAGTGGAATTAGACCCCTGGTGTCTGACCCTAATAAAGCAGATACCCAATCACTTGCAAGGAATCACATCATTGAAGTCAGCCCATCACAGCTCATCACTTTAGCAGGTAGAATATGTACACACGGCAAATCCTGGACTTGTCCAAATCTGTATTATTAGCATCAATTAATTTTGAATAATGAACACATAAATAGGATATTCACGGGCTGTCTGCATTAGAACATTTAATCAGGTCCTTCAAATGAATTGCAAAGCTGGAGCAAAATTGCAAAGTTTTCAATTATACTAAAAAGTATTTGCTACTCCTAGGTTATTACTAGTTGGTAAATGACTACATGTATTGCTACATTTATGTGCATGATAAATGCATATATGGCTATTTGCTTCATATATTCTTGAATTAGGTGGTAAATGGACGACATACAGACATATGGCTGAGGAGGCAGTTGATAAAGCTGTGCAAGTTTGTAATCTCAACCCTGCATCTCAGTGTGTTACCAAAGGACTCCTTTTGGATGGTTCTCACAATTGGACTCCAACTATGTTCATCAGATTAGTCCAAGATTTTGGCTTAGAAAATGAGGTAAGAACAAAACTCTGCAAATGAAAAATGTTTTCACATGTCACCTCCAAAGGTATATTGTTATGGTCTCCCAACTTTTCTGTGACAGTGTCGATGGTTGGTGTGCTGTGTCTGTAACAAATGGCAGGTGGTGCGGGAGGTGGTGACATTTTGCATGTTAATGCCTTGTTTTGGTATATTAATATTTTCTAAGTTTGCTTTATGAAAGCAAATGTAAGTTTTATGATAGCAAGAAAGACATCCAAGACAACAGAAGTTAGAATGGGAAGAAATACATGTAATTTAGTCCTGAACCAATCAAATCAAGCAATTTTGAATAACATTTTGGCAACAATGTTTATTTTATCCTACTATTATCATCACAATACCTTTTGCTCTATGTTTTTTTGTAGGTAGCTCAACATTTAGCAAACACTTATGGGGACAGGGCTTTCAAAGTAGCGAAGATGGCCAAGATAACTGGGAAAAGGTGGCCAGTTGTAGGACAGCGTCTGCAAGAGGAATTCCCTTATTTAGAAGCAGAGGTAACAAATACATTTGCAAGTCGAAGTCGGTTAACACGCATGATTACAACTAAAATTAAGAATAGAGTAAAAATGCATTCTGTTATTATTTTCAAATTTTTATTGCGGTTGATATGTACGTTGGCTCTATGTATGTAAATATTGTATGGGATCAGAGAGTATGCTTGCACAGCAGTTGACGTGTTGGCTTTGTGTTTGTAGATATTGTATGGGATCAGAGAGTATGCTTGTACAGCAGTTGACGTGTTGGCTTTGTGTTTGTAGATATTGTATGGGATCAGAGAGTATGCTTGCACAGCAGTTGACATGTTGGCTTTGTGTTTGTAGATATTGTATGGCATCAGAGAGTATCCTTGCACAGCAGTTGACGTGTTGGCTTTGTGTTTGTAGATATTGTATGGGATCAGAGAGTATGCTTGTACAGCAGTTGACGTGTTGGCTTTGTGTTTGTAGATATTGTATGGGATCAGAGAGTATGCTTGTACAGCAGTTGACATGTTGGCTTTGTGTTTGTAGATATTGTATGGGATCAGAGAGTATGCTTGTACAGCAGTTGACATGTTGGCTTTGTGTTTGTAGATATTGTATGGGATCAGAGAGTATGCTTGCACAGCAGTTGACATGTTGGCTTTGTGTTTGTAGATATTGTATGGGATCAGAGAGTATGCTTGTACAGCAGTTGACATTTTGGCTCGATATTTGTAGATATTGTATGGGATCAGAGAGCATTCAGTGTATTGTATGGGATCAGAGAGTATGCTTGTACAGCAGTTGACATGTTGGCTTTGTGTTTGTAGATATTGTATGGGATCAGAGAGTATGCTTGTACAGCAGTTGACATGTTGGCTTTGTGTTTGTAGATATTGTATGGGATCAGAGAGTATTCAGTGTATTGTATGGGATCAGAGAGTATGCTGGCACAGACATGTTGGCTCTATGTTTGTAGATATTGTATGGGATCAGAGAGCATTCAGTGTATTGTATGGGATCAGAGAGTATGCTTGTACAGCAGTTGACATGTTGGCTTTGTGTTTGTAGATATTGTATGGGATCAGAGAGTATTCAGTGTATTGTATGGGATCAGAGAGTATGCTGGCACAGACATGTTGGCTCTATGTTTGTAGATATTGTATGGGATCAGAGAGCATTCAGTGTATTGTATGGGATCAGAGAGTATGCTGGCACAGACATGTTGGCTTTGTGTTTGTAGATATTGTATGGGATCAGAGAGTATGCTTGTACAACAAGTTGACATGTTGGCTTTGTGTTTGTAGATATTGTATGGGATCAGAGAGTATCCTTGCACAGCAGTTGACGTGTTGGCTTTGTGTTTGTAGATATTGTATGGGATCAGAGAGTATGCCTGTACAGCAGTTGACATGTTGGCTTTATGTTTGTAGATATTGTATGGGATTAGAGAGCATTCAGTGTATTGTATGAGATCAGAGAGTATGCTTGCACAGCAGTTGACGTGTTGGCTTTGTGTTTGTAGATATTGTATGGGATCAGAGAGTATGCTTGTACAGCAGTTGACGTGTTGGCTTTGTGTTTGTAGATATTGTATGGGATCAGAGAGTATGCTTGTACAGCAGTTGACGTGTTGGCTTTGTGTTTGTAGATATTGTATGGGATCAGAGAGTATGCTTGTACAGCAGTTGACATGTTGGCTAGAAGGACAAGGCTTGCTTTCCTCAATGTACATGCTGCTGAAGAGGCCCTCCCTCGTATTATAGAAATCATGGCTAAAGAACTTGACTGGAGCAAAGCAAAACAAAAGGTACCTGATTATATCAAATGTCTTGAGTTACCTTCAGAAAACTCATTTGAAGCCTTTAAATGACAAGATTCAATATAACGACTTATATGGCATGCAAATAAAGTGCATTTTGCTCTTAATTCTTAAACAGAAATACGATGTGTGATGGGGTTTCCCTTGCCCTGAAATTGTTGTTGTCTAGTTATGAATTTGATGATTGCCTCGGACAGCTTGTCCTTATAGAAGGAGCATACCAATCAGGATACAAAACTTCATAATTAGAGAAAATAGATGATTTTCAATTTATTTAGTTACATGAAAAATTCTCTGGCTTTCAATAGGTATCGATTGTGACTGATATTTCGTATTTGCAGGAAGAAATGGACAGTGCCCTACTGTTCCTGAAGAATGAGATGGGACTTGCTCTTAAGGCAGAAGCAAAGAATGTCCCTATCAACTTTACCAAGGAGGAAATTAATGAATATGTGAAAAGGTTTCACAAACTTGACACTGACAAGAAAGGGTATATTACTGTTAACGACTTGCGCAGATATTTCAAGGTAAACTTATTTTGCATTTTGATATGAACATGAACATTGTTTTTTACATTTATTTATTTCCGTCTCATTGCATTCCTTTGTGTTAAAAATGAAATAATGAAAGTATGCTTGATTGAAAAATGTAAACAGCATTCAATTATTAATATTAATAGTAATTTATATTCCGTCTCTCAAAGTACATGTACATATAATGTTCAATCAAAGCTATTATAATTTCTTGTTCAAAATAATTCGTTTACTGTACTTGGAAAAGTGTGTTTGGCAATGTGTACATTTTTACACTGTTTTACTGTTTCATATTTTGAATTAAATTATTCCTGAATCATTTTAGGGCAGATAATTAAAATGGATATATTTTCCCCTTGTCTCTTGGAACTGAGAGTATATCTTGAATTACATGGAGTGATTTGCATAATTACTGTAAACTGTGTGATATATATATAATTAATTAAATTAGACTAGATTCAAGATCTAGTCTGGCCAGTGGCCATGTCTATTATAGAATTGCTTTGTCTCGAGGAATACACAGACAAGATTCATTGTGCTCTTGATGCAGCTTAATCGTCTCTGCTTTCAGACTTAGTTTAATAATTTACAGTTCGCTTCTGTGTTAATCTGCTATATTAAGAATTTAAAGTCCCTTCCAACTGTGTGTTTCATAATATTTTGTTTGTTCATATGTAACATGATATGGGCTTACACAGCCCCCTCCCTTTGTGTGAATCATAATATATAAACATTTTGTTTGTATGAAACTATGTAGGTTCGCAAGGAATTTATCACTGAAGATATGCTTCATGACATCCTTAATGAAGTGGATGTGAGTAAAAATGGACATATCGAGTTGGGAGAATTCTTACAGGTATAGTAATAGTCTATCTTTTATAAATGTGCTTTCTTAAGGCCTCAACCCCCTCCCTCTGCTTGTGCATTGGGCTCTACCCCCTCCTGCTGCATGTGCATACAGCCTGGGCCACGGTAGCAGAGTTGCCTGCAGCGTTCAGAGTTAGGCCACATGAAGGCTTAACAGCATGTGCTATTGTGCTTTCTGGATACGTGTCCACTATTTTTCATTTGGTACATTTTATAGAATCAAAGGGATCATGTATCAGAGGAAATGCTTCATGAAATGCTACGTGATGTAGATTTACACCACAATGGGGAAGTTGAATTGGGTGAATTCTTACAGGTACTTTAGTTATAGCAGATTCATTTGAGAATTGTTTTTGTTGAGAATTGTTAATTGTTTTTAGCAACAGCTTCATACTTGAGATTCTCGAAATGATGCCCTTGGCTTTTATAATGAAAGTAGGGAACAAAACAACCCTTGTTATAATCACACATGGAACTTCTTAAGATATCTCTCAATTTTGTGCTTGTGGGTGCTGTCAAAGATTGGTGTTTGGCATTTGTAACAAATGGCAGGTGGTGACATTTTGCATGTTAATGCCTTGTTTTATTATGTCACCACCAGACCAGAAGTGGTTTTGACATCAAGTCTTCATTTTAATTCCCATGGGTGATATTGTAGATTGGCATCATTACGCAAATCTCCAGTATGGATAAGTTGATTGATAATGATATGGGTTTGGGTGTTTTTTGATATTTTAGCTACTGGTTTAAAAAAGAAGAGAGCAAAGTAAATCTCCAAAAGATAGAAGTTAATGAACGGTTCTTTGAAATTCTTTAAAATTATTTTCCTCAGGATCAAAAAGAAGGCACTTGGCTGTATGCAAACACAAACTGTAAATCCTTAATCTTGTTACTTTTGGGACACCCTGTATATCATCTGTAATCTGATTGTGTAGCATAAGTTAAATGTATGAAAAACAAATCATATTATGTCATTTATTTTAAGTTAAATAACATATTTAAGTTGCTATAAGTTATATTTCTTGAAAGACCTTTCTTTCTAAATACCCCGAAATTTGTAGAAACAGCCTGAAATTTACACCATCAACAGAATTTGAGATAGCTTCCTTCCAGAAAATACCATGGCTTGGAAAATGTTGCTCACCTAGCATGACATGTGTAAAATCAAACCAAAGTGGTACATGCACTTCTTTTAATTTCTATAATGAACAAAGTGCGTAATTGTCTTCAAGTTCTAATATTTAGAAAAAAGAAGATATGCATGTTACAAAGTCTTTTGATGGCATAAGTTACTGTTAGTCTGAATTTTCCCAATTTTTGTTTATTTTGCAATCAGAAATGAGACAGACCCCCTCTAGGTACTCTTTCTAACTTCACATGTACATATTGTTGCATATGAAATTATCTTCTAACTTTCTCCCAGTCCCTACGAGTTCCATGCACTGTTTATAAATTATAAATAAAAAAAAACTTTAATTTTGACAAAATTGTTCTCTGTAAAAAATAACTTAATAATCTGTTTGGGATTATACATGTAAAATAAAATATTTCAAATGACATTGAGTCCTTAAACATTTAATATGTCCAAATCTAATATGAGATAATCTTGATAATAGAATATTTCTCGTGATTTTTGGGAACCCCTATTGCTTGGGGAAGTCCCTCAGAAAAAATATAACATATTTCTTATCTAATGACATTTATTTTCACATAACGCCGATCATTAGGTTCACTATAAATATATGTGGGATGCTCCAAAAGTAGGATTGTCCCAGTATGGTTCATCAGAACAGTTATAACTGCTTATAACTTCATCAGAATGTGAGTCTGCACACTCATGGTAGAAGATGCGTTTTACAAATCAGATAAATCCCAAGTAGCACTAATTTCTTCAACTTTTGAATGGTTCATTTAATTCAAGGTATTTTAATTTAACCGTAGAATCTGAGCCATTCCAAACTTGAATAAATGGCAGTATAATGGGTTTATGTATTTTAAACCATGGTTTACAAAGGATACACTGCAGCTAGGATTTATCCAACATGACCAGGGATTTAACATTTAGGTTGGATCAATCCCAGTTTGGAAAAAAGGACTATGGTTTAGTAACAAACACGTTGATCGAAATCTTGCTATGTAGAATTTGGTTGCAAACATTTTGGCACAGTAGGATATGGTTGCAAACATTTTGGCATAGTTGAATTTGGTTGCAAACATTTTGGCACAGTAGAATTTGGTTGCAAACATTTTAGCACAGTAGGTTATGGTTGCAAACATTTTGTACTTCATCAGCTGCTTCATACTAAACTATTATGTCACCACCACAAGTGGTAACATATAGGGCCAACATTTTTATGGATGGTGTTTGGCGTCTGGTGGTCACCAGATGGCATTCAAAGTTCGGTATCTGTAACAAATGGCAGGTGATGACATTTTGCATGTTTATGCCCTGTTTTGCATTGTAGAAATATTGAAGTCACAATTTGGGTTGGGACATTGATTTGGAAAAACCCAATTGGTTTCAATGATATTCCTGTGATGTCCAATGCATCAATGGTATTTTTGTTGCAATGAAAAAAGTTATAGGTGATTTAAAAACAAAAACAACTTTTTCACCATATTTGTCCAAATCTTGGCACAATACTGGCCCATTATATTGTCATATGCTAATAAAAACTAACTTTTTATCATCAAGCTACAAATGATACAAATGTATCTGATGTTATCTTATTAAATAGTTCTACTTTGAATATACATTATGTAACTAATAATTGTTAAACAAATTTAGTTTCTACCCCTACACTAACAAATACTTATGTTCTACTAAGATGAGCAAAGCTATTACAAGAGTTGAATGCATTTTGAGCAAACCTTCACCATTAACAGATTGTGCTAAAGTTAATGGCCCATTGAGTGCCATAACAATTTAGAGTTATAAGATTGCTAAATACCATGATTATCAAGTGTCATAAACAATAATTTATAATAGCTGTGAAGGATGGGTGGGTGGCAATTCAAGATTCAATTACCATGCCAAGTCTAAACTGGCTAAACTGGCCTACTCCAGGCTGGCTTAGGAGACTGAAACAAGATATCCAGCATTATAGTCTGTTAGATTATTGGTGGAATCATCAAAATATGGATACTGAAAATCTATTGAACATGATTGAAAAGGAATTGAAAATATTATTTGTAGAAAAATGGAAAAATGATTTGTTTGAACACTTATCCTGTATTGAGAATATGTGAATTAATTCAAATGATTTTGGGAAAGATTTGTATTGGAAACTAGATAACAAAACGTATAAATTAGGTACAATTTCATTCAATTTGCAATTGAGACTAGAAGACATACAAAAACGAAACCCAAGAAGGATTGGATCTCGAGGTTCCAATTCCATTTCCAACTTGATATTTTAATCTTCAATCAATTTGTTCAATGCTGATTTCTATGTCAAAAAACGCACTTGTGTGTTTTGAAATTCTTTGTTTGGAAATAAGATCAAAACCCGCAATTTAAATGCTGAAGTAAAATAATGGAGGCTGTTGAATTTTGACAGAATATAAAATTAAATATATGGCATAATATCAATGGAACCCTAGGAGTCAATCCTCCTTGGCCAAAACCTATAGAGGAAAGATTATGCAATATTTGTGAAGATATAGAGGATGGGTGTCATTTCTTTTTATCTTTGTACAAAAAATTATGAGACCGGGCATTAAATATTGTATAAAAAAGCTCATATTATTATGATGCATGTTACCTTAAACATGTATTTATTTTTAGTTTAATTAATGTTTTGTATTATGCCCACCTGCCCTGTATTACCAGTACAATTTGTACAATTTGGTTTAACATGCTCTTCATATGATTGTCCCATTGGTCAAATAGAATTGTGTGTATGCTGTGATGTCAATATTAATATTTATGGTATGATCTGTAAAATGAAGCCCTCTAATTGGTCAGTTCTTTTGCTGTACCAATCTGTATTGCTACTGAGGTTGTCCCCGTCGATCATCTCCATTGCAATACAGAAAATATTGGTACGGAGGGGACAATCTCAGGAGCAATACAGAGGATCATACGATAAAAACGTTATTTATGTCTCGATATTCTGTATTGGCACTCGACTTCGTCTCGTTCCAATACAAAATTTCTCGAACAGAATATATCCTGTATTGCACTTCAAATCATTCAATAACTTATAATGCATACACTGAGCTATTTGTATTACTTGAATTCTTGCACATGCATCTGAACAGGATGGAACTGCAGAATAACATATCCAATAGAATATTAGGATAATTTGTCCAATACAGTACATTCAATTTATGTGCAGCATTTTAAGTTTCAATTATGCAATAGGCCTATTACAATGATTTTGAAAATTGGAACCCAGTGGAGAAAGTATTTTGAAAATGACCACTGTAACTTGAGATGTTCAGTGGGACTTGTTATGCCCTGTTATGCTGTTGTCATAGTGACACGTAGCATTTCTGTTATGTCTAAACTGAATAAATACATGTAATGCTGAGTTTACAGTGCATTCATGTCTCAGTTGATTTTCGATTTTTGTTAATACAGAAAAATGCTTAACATTTACCAATGTTATGGTAGATGTATTCCACTGGAAGTAATGCACCAAATGACTAATGTTTCATGCTACATTAAAATGCTAAATCAATTTAATATTTTCACATACATTGTACACTACTGCATCTATTACTTATGGGTTTAACTCATTTTTATCAGGATATGGTTCTCATTCTACTCATTAAGCTCTGCTATTGGCATGCAATTCTAAGTAAAACATTATCTTTAATAGGTGGCTAATTGTAGTTTAAGCTTAAGTTTGTATGTAGACAAATCCAGTGTTACTACTTAGTCCTACCTGATTCTGTGTTGTTTTGAAATTAATGTGTTCATTTGAAAAAACTGTAGCTATTATTAATCAGAATATATATTTTTGAAAATTGAAGAGTATGAGTCTGTAAAAAGATGCAAACAATTATTCCTTTAGTTTGAAAGTAACTTTGAATTTTGAAACATATTGATTGATTGAAACAACTTATTTTTGTTGATTATTTAAGATTGTATTGTGAATGTAAATTATTTATTTTATTTTTCTTCAGATACACAAGGTGAAATCGTAAAGTAGTTTTTAAGCATGTGCCTTCTTTCTCACACACCAAATTACTATCATTTTCACACCTATTCATTCACACACAATTTTTGTGATCTTTCCTAATTTTAGTTCTCCCCTTCAAAAATACATCAACTCCTTTGATGCATTTTTGCCAGTCACCTTACTAGACATTCAATGTTTTTATCAAAAAGCTTTTAATAAGACAAATAGATGTCACTGCAGTATTTCTATCTTTATTATGCTCCAACGGGAACAGCTTGGTGGGCAGGACTATGCCATAATATTTGCTCTATTAATTGTTGTGAGGGGTCTCATTTTACCTGTGTTATGCCATGTACTAATAATATGTATATGTGTGCTGATGTCTTAACAACACAAATATTTCAACTTTTGCTTTATAGGTGTTGTCATGTAGCATGTTATAGTGTGAAAATGTGTGTTTTTATTGCTGTAGTCATCATATAGCCTTGTTATGTCACCACCAGAAAATGATGACATATTGTCATAGTCTCCATCTTTTCTGAGTTTGGCTGTTGGCATTCTGCAGTCAGTGTCTGTAACAAATGGCAGGTGGTAACATTTTGCATGTTAATGCTTTGTTATTTGCTGCAGTCATCATGTAGCCTTGTTTAGTTTTAGAGATGGATTCTAAAAATGTAACAATTACTCAAAGGGTTACTCGTAATCAATCAATTTAAATGAATGTTCTCCACATATTTTTATTTTATTTGTTCTCATGTAGTGGACAGCACCATTAAAATACTAAGTCTTACATCAAGCCCCTGCATTCAGCCATTCTCATATAACAAAGGGTGTATCCAGGTACAACAATACACATAACAGAGCTTGATGCAAGACTACAAAATGCTTAACATTATTTTGACATTGTTTCATAATCATAAGAGTTTGTCATCCCTGTGGGGGAACCTCTCTCCTACTTTGGGGTACAAGTCATAATCTGTGATCCACACTGATTTTTCTCAACCTAATACAATAATGCTTATTTGTGAATTGTGGTCTGCTCAATTAACCAAACTGGAAAACTAATGCTGTTTTGTGGGAGGTTGTGCTTTTTTCACAGAAATATCTCAAATAAATTCTTGATTACATGTGATATTTGTTAGTTATAATAGAAAGTTTATATCTGCTTTTATTATCTTTTATTTCCAACTAAATAACATTAAATCTGAAAAAGAACAGATATTTTTCAACAGTTTACCAAATGAGGAATCATGTATATAAAGTAAATTTATTTCTAGTATAAATATATATTATAGCAGATCTGTAAGTGACTGAACTATGCTCAGTAAAATTTTGGTGCATTTTAAAGGAAAATAAAGGTTTTGGCCCACCCTGTATATATAAAACAATACAATCATATAATTCTCTCCTATACTTTCAGTTATTGAGTGCTGTGAAGACAGGGGCCATTTCAAATGTGCGCTTGGCTCATGCATTGGATATAGAAAAAAGAAAAGCTATCCCGGTGGACAGGAGTGGAGGTGGATTATAATGCAGAAACATGTGTATAGCTCCAGTTTCACATGTGTATAGACTACAAATATTCACAACTCAATATTCAAAACACAACCCTATACTACAAAGATACACACTAACCGAATCTATGATAGTATTATATTATTAGAGATGATGTCACTATGACATGAAATTACCTGAGTTCTGCCAATATAGGTCGACCTTGGGAGGCTATATATTTGATCAAAAACGAAGGAATATTTCACGTCATAGTGACATAACTGATGTATTACATACCTTTATTCCCATGGTTACTTTGGATCAGTGACATCACACTTCTGTGTGTGACTAGAATTTGATGGAAATGAAACATGACGTCATGATATTGTCATGGTAATCAAAGAAAGTGGGCAATATCAGTGTAAGCAAGCAATATCGGTGGATATAGCTGCTTACTTTTCCATTGACTTCCATACAAATGCTTCACTAGGTATGCAGTACTATTGAATACAGTAACAATCAAATATAGGCTAATTTTTTGTTTCAAATACATGGTAAAGAAAATATATAGTGCAGAATCTCCTTGTACATGTGTATTGTCTTTATCATGTCTTAAAAAATTAATTTAGAAAAAATTTAAAAAGCCAACAATGGAACAGTGAAATGAAAAGGAAATACACAGTACAGTAAACCTGTCTTAATGATCACCTCTCTCTAGTGAACACATGTGTCTATGAACACCACTTCAAGATATATTTTACATTGACTTCTGTCTAAAATTGCCTCTCTCCAGCGAACACCACTTCAAGACATATTTTACATTGACTTCTGTCTAAAATTGCCTCTCTGTAGTGAACACCTACCTATAGTCTTGATAGTGGACACATTTTTTGTGGCTCCATGGATGTTCCCTATATACAGGTTTACTTTACAATGTACAACACTATGATTTAAGTCCACCTGTAAACATTTGATTGACACCATGTCACCATTTCATATGTATTATGTATTGTACATGCATTGCTTTTATAGATTATTTACTGTGAGGGATTCAATATGGGTTTTATTTTGACAGATGATATGACAAGGGAAAAGATATTGCTAGAAATAAAACCTACATGTATATTGTTTTCATTCATTAGTAAATAAAGTTTTTATCCCAGGATACTAAATACATTCCTAGTTCCTAGTTGCTTTTTATAATACTAGGAAATATTGGTATTGTGGGGTAAAATTATCTATTCATAGACAACCATATTTCTCGAACATTAGAGGATATCCTCCAAATACCAAGGGTATGTGAAACTGGAAGATCTACACGAGAAACTAGGGAGATATATACATTATATCATAGGAGATCCCAACTTATAAACTAAGAGAAACGCACAAGAACAGAGAAGTTTAACCATGGGCTTTCTCATAAAAACCCATGGTTTAACAAATGAACAAGGACTGGTCATATTGAAAGATATGAAATATAGAGGAACAAGCAAGAAAAGAGTTAATAGATATAACCAGCACTGGCTCTTAGCTATATAGTGAGCTATTGTAAACACCTATTGTGTATGTTATTCAATTTGCTTATCAATTTATCTTTAACATGTTTTACAATTGATTTTTAAAAATATCCCACATCCCATGTTAGAGGATGAGAAAACAGAACGGTGGGATGAATAGAATGAGCGTATCTGCAATATGCTTCCTAGAGTATCATCCTCCTAAGCAGGTGTCCAGAATCCGTACCTCCTTCTTCCCCCCTGCTATAACCAATTTGGAAACGCCCGATTAAACTGAATCGCGTGATCTTATTATGCGCAATGACTTATACCTGTTATACATGATTTCTGTCGCAGTGTTGCGACAGCCAATCAGATTGCGAGTTCTTAATTGGGGAAATGCTAACTGCTTATCCCAGGGGGTAAAAAGAATATATTCTGGATTTTGAAGCCCTGTGATCGGAGGATGTAGAGTATAGGAGCCCAATTTTTGATACTGGCATGTTAGTCCCGGGATATTTGACAATGTCCTTTTGTGGTCTTCTGTGAGTCCAGCTTTTGCATAGACCTATAGATCAAAGCCACATAATTATTGGGTGAATTCGGCATTGTTCCCCAAACATTAAAGGAATGTGCCCAATCATCAACAGTTGTGGAATAATGAGGTTAGTTTCAATAAGGGAGGGGGTAAATGATGAGGTTAGTTTCAATAAGGGAGGGGGTAAATGATTAGGTTAGTTTCAATAAGGGAGGGGGTAAATGAGGAGGTTAGTTTCAATAAGGGAGGGGGTAAATGATGATTCTGTTTGTGAATAGTCTTGATTTTTAATATTAAAGTGAAAGGTAAATCAGTATTTTAAAATTGTGTTAGATGAAGGGAGGGAGGGGGTTCAAACTATAACAAAATTGACTTCGTTTTATGACTAATGTAATCATGTAATATTACAAGATGTCAATTAAAGTTATATATACATATCCTTAACTTGATTTTTGGACACCATCCCTAACATTACAACTGAATGCTGCATAAAAAGCTAATGGATTCAAAGATATTGGAATCTTAAATATTGTTTTTTATTTTGCCAAATTGGAAAATTGGTGATCTTATACAAAATTGGTGATCTTATACAAAATTGGTAGACCACCATGTTAAAGAGGGTGGTAAGTTTAACACAATTTATAATATCCACTAGTGGATAAAAATGAAATCCTTCAAAAATCTTAGTATATCCTAAAAATCCATGATGTGAAGAAATATTGAAAGTACACTGATATGTCTTAACTTTTTAAACCACAGTGAAAAATAGTTATTCTAAGCATTTACAGTTTGTTTTAGGAATACATAACATGTAGTCCAAACGAGAAACGTTTTCAGTCCAAAATATTATATGGGATGAATATACTTGTGATAGGGATATGAAGCAGCTGATTGAGGTATATCATTATACACATTGGGCTTGGTTGATACATCATTTGAAAGCTATTCTGCTAATTGTTTTTCTTCAGTGTATACTCTCTTCTCTATTCAATTATAATTCAAATATTTGAACTTTTTGCCCAAAACCATTAAATATATATCATTTATAAAAAATACTTGTAACTCTAACATTTTGCATTCTGTTATTTAAAAAAATGCCTAATAGGGTCTATCATGGTTGTATCAATTATAAAGCTGAGATTGTGAGCATAATGTTCTTAGTGTGCTGTATACTGAACTTTTTATATTATATGTATACTAATTCTATGTGGGGCCAGAGATATTTTTCCTCTGAGATGTGTATGAAATACAGAATACTATTGCTCCTTATCCTTTTAATAAATATGTTAGTTCCATGATTGTAACAATTCTCAAAAAATTATTTTGTTCTCTTTTTTTATGATGTGTATTAATCATTATGTAGAAATGTAAAATACTGTATGTTCGTGTATTATGATTTTTATCATTACTTTTTGTAATTTATGTAACCACTATGTTGTATGTGTGCTAGATATTTGGTTCTGTGAGCCAGGTAAAATGTTATTTAACTAATATTGTGAATTAAGAAATATATTGTACCTGTTATGTAGTGTTGAAATCTATCTTCTGTCATTAATACTTTTAACAATTACATATGAACTAGTTTTATTAAACATCGTTGTCATGATGCTATGCTACAATACATTGAAGATGGTGGTGAGGGTTGGAAGGTCAATAAAGTGGACGAGTCGCATCATTAGTACTTCTACCTCCTCAGGTTTCGGGGCGCTCCGAAGTATATTGATTGGGGATGAAGTATACTTGAAGTCATCAGAAATTATAAAAAGCAAAATAAAGCTCCCAAGAAATAAATTTACCCCAAAGGTCATATGATTATTATATGCACCATTAGATTTGGAAATCCTTTAGACATGTTAGAGCAATGAATTTAAATGTAAATAAAGTTATTATTAAATTAAATAAACATACTATTGTGGTACTCTCAAACAGACCTGCCTACCTCCCGTAAATTTTTGTTTTTCCCAGTTAAAAAGGAATGTTTTTGAAAATCTGTTTTTTACTGTGAAAAAAGCCATACAATCTACCATATTTTTGCTGAAATCTCCCATAAATCTACTTTGTTTTTCGTTGTTTTTGCTGAAATTTAGCATATTTTTTTCAAGAAATTTGACAAGTCTGTGACCTTGATCCAAATATTAAGCATCAAAACTCAGTCTATAATCAACCCGCCACAACCAGACAAACAACTACGTCGACACAACCAACTGTCGAACTAACACATCCCAATCAGTTACAACCCAATTATAAACCAACAGATCCAAACCGTACAGCCAACAAAACCAAACTCAACATTACCCTAATTAAACTAACACAACACCAATCGATCATAACACGACCAGGCACATTCTAACTCACAAGGGATAAAACCAAACCATTAAACACAATCAGGCACAACCTATAAAACACAACCCTTTGAAACAGTGATATCAATATACCAAACTTACTTTCTTGAACTTGAGAAAACATCATTCACCCAACACAATCAGGCACAACTCACCATTCCAACCAGGGTACCATAACCACAACATAACACAACCCATTGTCATTGGATGTGCCTAGTTGTATTATTTTAGTTGGGTTATACCTTATTGTGTTTTTGATTTGACAATGGGTTGTGTTTTGTTGTGATTGTGTGATGCTGGTTGAGTTGGAGGTTGTGCCAAATCGTGTGAGGTGTCGGGTTGTGCTGGATTGTGTTTTGTGATTGATCTGTCATCGGACAAATACATGGTGTCTTTGTATTATGTTGGTCCTGAGTTATCATGCTTACTGGCATAACAAAAAATATAATTACATACTAACTGCTTATAAGACAATACACTGTGTTTAAAGGAGGACGAAGAAAACAATTTTTCATCAGATGTTAAAAACATGCAAGATATTTTCCATAATACTGTTGTATCCACTGTCATAGTCAGACTACATGGACTATGATTGAAATTATCACCTACCTATCCCCGGGAAGTATTTGAATTACACTGGACGAACCATCAGACGGATGTTTGGAAAAAATCACGTCGACTTCCTTTCATTGTATTCTATCAAAAGCATGGATTTTAGCTATATATATGGATTATAGGCATTATAAAATCAAGTCGACCATCTTATGGATAGAATGGCGTCCCAATCGATGTCTTCAATGCAATCAGTGCCGCTCAGGACGGGTTAGTAATCAGTATTTCAATTCCATAATTTTTTCAGATTTTTTAATTTCAATCACTCTAAAATGACTGAATTAATTAGTCTTTAGTCCTACTTGGCATCACCCAGATTGCATATAATTGTAGTTTTACAGTAGCTCGTGTAAAAAGGAAATATATCTCATAGATAAATGAGATACATAAATTCTGAAGGCCATTATTTCACTTTTTCTCTGAATCAAATAAAAGATTTTGACAATGAATGCGGCTTTCACTAAGTTACCTACCAGTATATAGTCATACCTCTAACTTTACCAGTTTTGTTTTGTCAAGCATCCATAAGCACATTGAAGTGTTGAATACTTTTTTCAACTTTCCATTTCTCCCTGGTGATGCAGATGAAGTAGGTTGTCATTTATCGTATCCTACCGACCACTTTAGATTGAGGTTGTACGCCCATATTATTAGTAAGCCTGTCTTTCTACAATGTCGGAGAATGAACTACGCATTGCACTATTAAATGACCTACCTCGATACAAGAATGAAGAGATTTTCGTTTTTGATAGCAATGTATTTGCGTGTAATATTTAACTTATTTCAACCGTCAAATTCCTCCATTCAGTTCCCGGCATGCACCAGTCATAAGGGAAATCCCTGGGGAATTCCCCTTGATTGTGTTTGGAGTGAATTTGCAACCATCTGGTACGCGTACCCAGCGTACCGATCGGCACTACGCCTATGGTAGTACACAGGAATTTAGACTAAGTAGTGCACTATTGATGAGGGTAGAGGACCTTGTATCTTCTAGACAAATACCAACATGAGTCGTCTACTGTATAAGTTTAACAATACAGTGAGACCTGCTGCTAATGCTCTAATATTGAGACCAAATTATCGAAGAATCCCTGAACTACAAAATGTAAAATCAATGAACCAAGAATCGAATTTCACATGTGTTTGGTGATTTTTCCTAATGAGACTTCCGGAACTTAGGAAATAATTCCTACCTATAATTAATTTTCACACTCAATTTATTTTCTTGGATTGCTTATGCTTCATGGTACCCTTTGCATTAGTTTGACTTCACTTCTTAAAAGAGAGCTTCATCTTCACTCTTTCAAACTAAAATAAACCTGTGAACTCACCGCGCCAATCAGTGTTCGTCGGCTAAATTTGACCGACGTTCTATATATGGTCATTCCTTCTGACGTCATCGTTGAACCCGGAATTGACCAATGACATGGGCATATTTAATTAGAACGCATTTGGCGTATGTTTCTTCAACCTCGCTGAATGGTGGAAGAAAGGTCAGCGCATAGGTCAGAAGTGATTTATTACCCAAACTGTCACCGTACCCATCGTGGGGGCGGGGCTACTAAACTGTAATATGGTCTCTACTAGGCAGAGTGTAGATTAACTAGACTCTGCACGCAGGGTAGCTTCATGGTTGACTAAACTTAAAGCTGATACAATTAAAGGTATGAGTGAAAGTAGCATTCGATTTCAAAATCTTATTTTTTAATTTGATTGATACAGAGAGAAAAATGTAAAATGGAATTGATAAATGGCTTTCAGCTTTGAAGGTGTTCTAAAAGCAGAGGGTGTCATTATTTCACTTAAGGAACTTTTTATTTTGGGATGACTGACATTTCCCTATTCAAATTGGTTGGTCTTGAGATATATAAAACATTTATATGTCTCTGGTTGGTTGATTTTGATTGAGCTCAACACTTATAAGTTTCAGGTAGAAAACATCTTATTACACTCATGACGGAGATTTCACCTGTTACATTACCCACCTTGTTAACCTATGTGTAATGATTAACAAATAACAATGGACATCGGGTAATTTTAGTCATTATGACTCAACAGTTTCAAATCTACAAGAGTATCTAGGTATTTGTCATATCTTGCATCTAATCTCATGCATCTGCATATCTGATATATCTGATTTAAATAAGGCCACATAAAGCACTTGAAAGTCCCTTAAGAAAAACATATAAATCTTCTAGGAAATGAATGTTTTGGATTTTACAAACATTGATGCAACTTCTTTCAAAATTGAGCTAGAAGATTAAAAAAAGCATTTGAAGCTCCTTTCTTTCTCTTTCTCCTGATTTATTTATATTGTTTATGAGGGGGGGACATGAAATATGAAAAATGTGTCTAAATACAGGTTGGCCCAAGAGTAAAGTCATACCTACTTTACCTTTTGAAGGATTTGTCAGAATCATTTTTCAAATTTTACCACGATGATTACATTTAAACTTCTTAAAGCTAATAATTCTTAATGTTCATTATATTGTTCTCTTATTATGAAGTCTTAATTATATCAATGGTTAGAACAATTGATTTAGGAATTAGGAAGTTTCTGTTAATGCCCACCCCCCCCCCCCCCTCCCGCGACTGATTATTGAGAACTTATAAAACAGGTGCTTTAATCTTGGGTTACCCTGTAAGTGGATGTAAATCTTGGTATGAGTCCCAGTGACCTAGTATTTCATTCCAAGGCAATTTTGGATGTGTGTTTAGAATTCAACTACATCTTGAGTGTAATCTCCTTGCATTAGGTTTAGAATATACAGAAAAAATATGTCACAAATTTTCGTTTTTATGCTTTCTTTGTTTCACTTTACAAAAAGTAGATTAGAAAAAGTATATTCAAAACAACAAAGAATGACTAGCACCAAGTATTGCAAAAATGTGTACTTATTATATGTCCCAAATTAAATGTGGAATGTTACTGTTCAGTTAACATGATTCATTTTTTACATTTTGTTTATTTGTGTACATGGAAGAACTAGTTCCCTAAAAATAAATGCTATATCTATCTATGGAAAGTTCAATACAAAGGAGGCACAGGTATCACAATTGTTATATATAGATCTGTCCGCATTTTTATCAAAAAAAACAGTTCCATTGTTATAGCTCTTCATCTACCTCCAAAGTCCTCTTGTCTGTCCATGTTTGTACATCTAAATACCTTTAAAATGAAGCTGTTGATACAGTTCACTGGCGGATCCAGAAGCTAACAAGGGGGGGGGTACATTTCAATCAGAAATTTTTGGGGGAAAATTAAGCCCCCCCTTCCCCCCTGGATTCACCAGCGTAGTTCCATTGCAAAATATAGTTTGCTGCTTCATAATGCCAACCTTATATAACAGTGCACCTGTAAAGTGGTAAGAATAATTAAATGTTGTTTATTTATTTTGTTGCAGGACGTGATAAAGGAGCATCAATGAATAAAATAAAGAAATTAAAGCGGAGGATATCAGCCAGTTTTGGACGATTATGTAAGTAATGGCGGAGGAGTATCAAATGTTTTTATGAATTGAGTGAATCCTTTTAGGCTGTGCTTGGATTACTGGTGAAGTAGTGTTAACTACTCTTTGATCATCATGTCTCTAGTACTTTAAATGTCATCATGCTTTATAACCAAGACATCTCAAGTCAGGTGCTATGATACAGAAGAATTTGATCAGTGTCAGAATGATTAAATGCATTTAGATTCTATATTAACACATATTGACTGTCTTCCATAGAAAGCAGAAATAGATAGTTTTCATTTTTTATCTGACTCAAAAACATAAAATTGTTGTTAGCTCGTTGGGCAGAGTCTCACTTTACTGAGCTTTTTCAATCATACAAACTTTTACATGGATTTAATGGTGTGGGTGTACGATGTTGTTCACTATGTGCCTTATTTCATTTAATACTACTATTAACTCCTACTTACAAGTTATCAAACAATCCACACAGAACTGCTTTGTAATCTAGAAGCAAAACTATAATTATTCCTATTGACTAAAGTAATAATTTTCTCACAATTGTAATATGAATTATAGTAAACCAGCAAAACTGAAACTAATCCTCATTAATTCCAATTAATCCTAATTGCATTATAGAATATAGGGGTTTGATCAGAACATGGATTACTTACATGTATATTTTGAGTGGATGCAAATACCAATTTCATTTATGCTACAGCGTTGGCAATCGGCATGGCAATATGTACCTACTTCCATGGGCGTAGCGCCTATTACGCAAAATATGCACAGGCGTACCAAATGAATTTGAAAAAATTAAAAATTTGTTAAAATGCATTAATTTATTTGCGAATTTATTGATGCTTCCTACCGTATCTGTATGTTTACCATTGTCAACATTTAAAGTTGATAAAAAACGCTTAGATTCCATCAAATTACGTCCTTGAAAAAAAGGGGAAGCATACCATCGGACCCTCGCGATGCGCGGCCTTCAGTCACGCAATCAGGCATCCCCGAGTGTGCGTACCAGCTCAAAATATAGCCCTACTCCCATGGCTTCTGATATGATATGATAGTTAAACCATGTCAATATTGTAAGGTCCCAGCAAAGATGGCTTTTTGTCACTTCTACAAAGTGTCAAAGTCATCACAGAGACAGAACCCTGCATGGAGGAAAGTAAACCACATGTTCAACCTTCAATTTACTCACCCTGTAGAGCAGCAAGAGTCACTACCAGCTACAGGTGACCGGTGACCTGCATCTCTCAGATATCACACCCAGTTCACCCAACCCAGTCACACCCAAATCAGCAGCCACCTCCCCCTACAAAACCTAAAACTCTAAACCTCTCCCCTGAAATAGAGATCATTACCCAAAACAAAAAGCTCCTCAAAAAATCAATTTCCTTCGATAAACATAATTTTACATAAATTATTCAATCATCTCATATCTCTGTTTTAGATCTTACTGATTATAGTTTGAAACAATACACCTTACACAATAAACTTTTTAAATGGCTTAATTATTATACTTGATTAGGTAGAACATGTAAGATAATTGGCATTTGACCTTTCATTGTTATGCTGGTTTATAAAGATGTATAAAAGACAGCTGGAAGAGTTTGAGTTTGGGAAATAGAAGAACATGAAGAGTAGAGCTGTGTAAAGTTCACAGTAAAAATAAAATAGACTGAGTTTGAAGCAAGGACCCAACAATATAAATATAAAAATTTGGTTTGAATGAGGAATAAAACTTATGCATTGGCTTAACATGTACAACATGTGCCAGTTAGAGTGATTGTTAAGTTTTGAAGGGTGGGGGCAGGTGGGAGTTACATCAAAACAAAAACTAATCATATTTTTGATAGACATCGATTTATTGACCCGACCCCTTGCTACTTACACACATAACTTATGAGAAAATACAGATCATTCTAACACAATTTTCATCTTATTTATGGCTATTGATTTTCCAGGATGTCAGTAGCTTGCAAGTATAATGGGAAAGAGGAACTTGGATCTATTTTCAAATAATAGCAAAATGTTTAGGGGTGATCAGTTTGGTTGAGACCTGCACAAAAGATTTTCTAGTTTATTTACATGTTTCTGAAATCTAGAATTCAATACAATAAGAATTAAGGTTGTATTTAGAGCTATAGACCTAGTCTTATTCTGCATCAATCAATATTTAAATGCTTTTTTCCAAAGTAATATTTTTCAACATGGCCCTTGACCTGAGGGTTAAAATTTTTTTTTGACTATTTTATTTACTGTTATATTCTAAACCAAAATTATCATGCCAATGTCTGCACTTATATTATTTGGGAGAGAATGATACTCATGGCCAATTGTCTCTGTAATTAATTTAATTGGTCCTTCAATTTTAGGTTCCCAAAGGAAACATTTTTTGGCTTTTTTTCACAGTCGTTATCCCCAACCACTTGGGATAGTACAAGCAGTAGATCCCACAATGACTAAAATGTAACTTGAATAATATCAATCAAATCGTTAATTCCCTTGGAGAACTTTTAGACATTTTTTATTCTCATCTTCTTGATTTCTGTCAAAAATACATAAGTGGATATAACCAACCATTGAAAATGTTCCTATTTTAGATTTGGTCTTAAGTATCATTATCTTTGTAATTGTACAAAATCGAGGATTACATACAGTTGAACATGATATGAAAGAGGAAAATTGATAGCACTCTGTTGTAAAAGGTACTGTAACATCATTAAAGAGCCAACTGTGAGTAAATGCTGATCTCATCCACTTCAAAAATACATGTACATGTACTCTAAAGTTACCTTTACTGGTACAGTATGTAGGCAAACTAGGCCCACGCATACTATTCCATTTCAATATCCCAAAATATGTCCTTCATAAACAAAGCCAGATATTCTGAGGTACTGAAAGCTAGATGTACTTGTACTGTGGAAATTCAAGATTATATTTCATACTTTGATAAATGAGGTTTGTTTTGTGGTCTATCAATGTCAACAAATTATTTTCTTGTTGATTGATATATCAGCATGGTATACGAGGCAGTGACCTAGCTTCCTATCTCCCTTCCCACTTACATCCTAATGATCACACTCATTTGTAACTTTAAACACACATGTTTGGGAAAAACAGTTAATTAAGAAACATCAAAAAATAGTTTGTAGAAATATAATATTTCAACATGATTTTAACAATATTTTGATTTTGCCCTATATATTCTTTAATAAAATGGAAATATTCACATTATATTAAATATTGTTGTAATCACAATCATGAAAATTATGTGCAACTACTCATATGTGGATCTACCTTATGCCAGTACACAGGAAAGGAAGAACAGTTTACTTTTACATGTAGTTGTTCTTCAGTTACTTCCACCACTTGAGGATTAAATCGTCCTGATCTCATTTTCAGTTGAACCTAATTTTAGCCCCAAATCAGACAAACTAATCTATCTAATATCATGCTTTGGAAGGTGTTTTAGTTGTAAACATGTTAGTTAGAGATAGCTGTAAGGCTTCACTCATTAATCTCTGTCAATGAGGTAAGGGTAGTCTTCATGTTCATTTAAAGTACTGGTTGTCATTACCAAGGGTTATTCACGGTCATCACCTGGGGTCTTAAGGTCACTGCAACCCTCTTTGAATTGTACTTCATATCTCATGTTAAAAGTTCTTTTTTTGCCTAACTGATGAACATTTTGGCCTCACTGTTGAAATTGCTCAAAATACTGAAAATGGCCTCATTGCTTTTTGCCTCGTGGAGGAGTTATTTTGCCTTACAGACATTTTTGTCATATCAAACCTTCTTTTATTTATGTTTATTTTAGTGTTTCAAGTTTTTCATTAACCCCTCCCCTAATTCTTCAGCACCTTGCTTACAACTCCCCCCCCCCCCTTCTATCCTACAACTCCAGAGCCACTATATAAAGCTGCTGATACGTATACTTATTCCAAATTAAAGTGAATTGACATTTTCAGACGATATTAGTTTCGGTCAAAATTGCATTATTGTTCCAAAACCTGTCCTTTGAGATTGGTCTTTGGTGTTTCTACCAAGTAAGATGTGAAATACCCTCAGGCTAAGGATGCCAAAATGTAATTGGTTGCATTCCCAAGCAAAAAAGCATTGAACATTTTATTCATATTCTTAAATTGAAAATTAATCACAACAGAAGAAAAAAATAACTTTTACTCCCTCCCCAAAATTAAAATTATGATAAAATATTAATATAAAGACTACTATGTTAAATCTCTAGCTCTCTGTAGTTCAAAACCATGATGACACTTTGTATCTCTGTTAAAGAAAAGGCATTGGTTTAGAATTAGAAATTATTGAAGCGCTGCCTCCTTAGGGATTTCACAAGTAACTTATTGCAAATCGGCTCTTACATCGAGTAATATTTATCTGGAGAGATTCCCATGAACATCTGTGTGTATTGCCTCAATTATTATTTGCACTGGCATAATATGAATCAATCTTATTAATTTGGACTTAAATATGATTCAGAGCCCCTTGGAACATATTTTCTGCATGAATATAATGGGAATATATTAATATATGAGATTGATCCTTGAGGGATGTAACACATCATGGAAAACCATGACCTTCTCTTTTTCCCTATGGAAGACATCAGAATTGACCAAACTCATGTAACAAATCACAATGAGCCGTATTTTCTACTAATGTATTGATTGCTGTTCGTGTATCACCTTTGTTGGAATAGAATCATGTTATTCAAAATCACAATGCTACAATATAATTATTTTAGGAGATTAATCAATGTGAATTACACATCAATATTAATACCAGATACATGTATGCTTCATGCTGGGGGAGAATAGTAAAACGTCCAAAATGTTAAAGGGTAGCTAATAAACAGGAACTTTTGCTTGATATTTCAAAGAAAATACCAGTTGATTATTACATTTGACAAATAAACATCATTGTAAGTAGACACGTTATAACCATTAATATAATTTGGGAATGTGTAATTCAATGAAATAAAATATGTCTTTGTTATTCCTGAAAAATAGATAGCTGTGTTGGTTTTATTGCATTATTTATCAAATTAATTTATAATTATATGAGTCATAATAGCAAGGTGTGGAATACATGGATGAATTATTCTATTACTGACAAACATTAATTATTGAAAAAGATAATATCAAAATGGTTTTCATAATTCATCATGTAACTGATGCCAAATAAAAGCACAATTAATACTATTTCTTGGTTGTCTATTTTAGTTATACATGTATAGATATGGATGCAGGGGCGGACAATTTTGGCCCAATTTCTTTTCTGTGCCCACCCAAGGGAGGGGCCCCTGGCCTCTGACACCCCCCCCCTCCCCCACATCTGCCGGTGGGATGTATAATTGTCTTTATCATAAATGTACCTATATTCCAGAGGGAATTTAAATCTTAAGTCCTATTCTTATATTCTTGTAGCATTCAACAAGGATGAACCCCCACCATCTGGAGATGTCATAAATAATGTAAGTATATCATAACATTATTGTGTTCAAAATCAATCTGTTAGAATTCAGAGATGATTTAGAATCTTAAAAATATGTATCATGCATTGTTTCATCAATTTCCATGGCAATCTCTTCATGTGGAATCACAGATTCATATTTGTTGTAAACAAACAGAGGCAATGATTATACATCCTCCGATCACAGGGCTTCAAAATCCAGAACATATTCTTTCTTTTTACCCCCTGCGATAAGCAGTTACCATTTCCCCGATTAAGAACTCGCAATCTGATTGGCTGTGCGACAGAAATCAGAAGTCATTGCGCATAATAAGATCACGTGATTCAGTTAAATCGGGCGCGTCCAAATTGGTTTTAGCAGGGAGAAGGAGGTACGGATTCTGGACACCTGCTTAGGAGAATGTGATTAAGAATTACAGTTTTTATTTTTAGAACATTCATTCCCATTCAATCTGATATGATTCTCAGGTTATAATAGATGGCAGGTCTGTCTTATAGCTTTTAATACATAAAAGATCAAATGAAATGAGTGAACAACCTTTCTAGAATGTAATATTTGTTATATATTGTCGATTAGGTATGGATGAGAAAAAGTACATTAATTATTATTACATTAAGGGATGGAGTAAGGGGTCACCTTTTTTTTACCTGACATAAATCGATTTTATGGAGTCATAACGCATCAAAGGGTCATTTTCCATTCATTCTCACCTAGTCACAAAATATTCTCACTGTAGATCGGTCTATATATGAGCGTATAACATGGATTTGTTGTCCATGTACACATTGTTGAGATGCTATATGCCCATTGAATTGGTGATTTTACTTTTCATTATAAATTGTTCCTTTGACAATAACCTAACCTAACTTGAAAATGCTGTTTTGGTTTCAGACAAGATTTTTTTGAACCTGTTGAGAAATAGTGTTGCTTCAAAACCCTGGACTATCTACTCTAGCAATACTGTTGTTAAAGTAGATAATGCAGGGTCTTAAGCAAGACTAGTTGGGAAATTGTACAATCACCATTTCCATTATTTAGAATGCTGGTCTATGATGATGTAAACATACTGTACATAATAGGGTTGTAAATTACATTATGTGTCCCAGGGGTCTCTATGAAGCATTGAACCTAATATTAGGCTATCCCTGTCTTAACCCATGAAAACTATGAAATACCATATATTGTACACAAGAGAAATCAAGATGATTGAAGATTATCGCACATTGATGTTGACATTCTCTTCAATATTTTAAGCATGGAACTCATATGATAATTCCATATGTTTACACAATACTAGAAAACCTCTATAAACCATAGAAAATCATCTTTTGGAAAACTAGTGATATCATATTTTTCTCTGACATGTCATATAATCTTATTCTTATCAAAACATTAGGCAAAATTGTTGAGCTTATTGTTCACGAGCATCATAATCATAAGCATGTCTTCATGTTATTTCTCAGTCACATTTGGCTGTAGCTTCCGAAAATTGAGAGAACTAATGTAGCAAAAAATATAGGCAGTATGATGTCGATTTTCTATATCAATTATGTGAAGCTATGCCTGCCGTAGAGCAAATGTGACTGAGGGAGATATAAGGAAAGCCGTCCATCCATCCCTCCATCCATCTGTCCATCCTTGTGTCCTGGCAATAACTCAAATACCAGTTGACGGATTTGATTCAAATTTTATAGGCTTATGCCTTATGGGTGTAGGACCTCTGCTCGAGAAGAAATTTGAAATTTTCAATATGGTCACTCTAAAATGGCCTCCATTTTTCATAAAAAATGTAATATTTGATAACTCAAATACAAGTTGACGGATTTGATTAAAATTTGGTATTTTATATGCTGTTGTCTAAGGACAAAGGAGCTTCACTTAAGAAGAGATTTTCAAGATGGCTGCTGAATTTCAAAATGGCAGCCATTTTTCGTAAAAAATGTAATCTTTGATAAATCAAATACAAGTTGACGGATTTGATTCAAATTTTATATGCTATTGCCTAAGGACAAAGGAGCTTCGCTCAAGAAGAGATTTTCAAGATGGCTGCTAAATGTCAAATGGTGGCCATTTTTCATAAAAAAACGTAATCTATAACTCAAATACCAGTGAATGGATATGGTTCAAATTTTACATGATGATGCCTAGGTACACAGTAGCTCTGTTAGACAAAGAATCTCAAGATGGAGGCTTAATTTCAAAATGGCTGCTATTTTTCGTAAAAATGTAATCTATGATAACTCAAAATACCAGTGAATGGGTTTGGTTCAGATTGTATATGATGATTGCTAAGGAACACAGTAGCTCTGTTAAACAAAGATTTTCAAGATGGCTGCTAAATTTCAAATGGTGGCCATTTTCGTAAAAAACGTAATATATGATAACTCAAATACCAGTGAATGAAATATGGTTCAAATTTTACATGATGATGCCTAGGGACACAGTAGCTCTGTTAGACAAAGAATCTCAAGATGGAGGCTGAATTTCAAAATGGCTACCATTTTTCATGAAAATGTAATTTATAATAACTCAAATACCAGTGAATGGGTTTGGTTCAGATTTTATATGATGATTGCTAAGGAACACAGTAGCTCTGTTAAACAAAGATTTTCAAGATGGCTGCTAAATTTCAGATGGTGGCCATTTTTTTTCTAAAAAAAACGTAATCTATGATAACTCAAATACCAGTGAATGGATATGGTTCAGATTTTATATGATGATGGCTAAGGAACACAGTAGCTCTGTTAGACAGAGAATTTTAATATGCCTGCCATTTTTTGTAAAAAAACGTAATCTTTGATAAATCAAATATCTATGAACAGATTTTGCTCAAATTTTGTATGATGATGTTTAAAGGGGCAACAAGGACTGTATAGAGAAAATTTGAAAATGTTTATTTTTTCTGAGTTATCAGGTCAATATTTGGATTAACATCTTCTTTGACATACCTATTTTCTTAAAATGTACGGATAAACTAACAAGTTAAGCATTAAGAAGTGTAAATTCAGTTCAAAGCTTCTATAAAGGGAGTCCACTTATAGATTTTTAAGATTCACCACATTTCAAGAGGAATATCAGCTGAAATAATGTTCATCCAGGGGGTTTCTTTGTAGATAGTAAACTAATATGTTAGTCTTGATGAAATATCCAAACTTAAACATATTTTGACACTGGTTGATGATCGTTGAATGCCCCCCCCCCTGCACTAATTTTTTTTCCTTTAACACAGTAGCTCTATTAGAGAAAAAATGTTCAAGATGGTGGCTTAATTTCAAAATGGCTGCCATTTTTCAGAAAAGGATAATCTTTGATAACTCAAGTACCAGTGGACGGATTTGGTTCAAATTTTATATGCTGATATGCTCTGTTCAAGAAGAAACTTTCAAGATGGCCACTAATTATCAAACTATGTTTTGTTCAGTGGGATTTGCTACTCTGTGGAGTTGCTGATTTTCTAGTTGATACTTTTCCATTGATCTAAGACCAAAATTCTTTCAAATGTTCTCACCTCAGAAGGAGGAATCATGTGCTTGTATGTTCTATATGTTATATCATACTTTTAGAGTGCTCAGATCAATGGACACAGCAAGAAGCGAGGGAAAAGTGCCTCGCCAACAGGAAGAGTACATATACCACGCGACAGCAGTGACCATCTCATATCACACGCTACAGCAGATAGAGGTAGGCTATATCTAGACTCAGATGATATCATTATGGTTTGCAGTATTTTTGAATGCATAACTTCTTGGCTGTTTTAGCTCAGCGGTGAGTTCTATCGGGATGCAATTGTCCATTATCTGTCCCTGTGTCTGTCAACCACCACCATCAGATGGCAGCTCTGGGGCCATAGATTTTATATGCTTTTACCATGATATGCATGTTCCGGACCAATCTGTCAGTAAACATTAGTTAAATTATACTTTTTTTTATGATAAAATGTGATCATAATTAGGAGGTATCTTAAGACAGTGTTCCCATTGAGGCACCTTTGAATGATGCTGCTAGCATTCTGATACGTACATATTTCCCTAGTCAGTTTTGATTAACACCACTTTACATACTTTACAGTGGGGAGAATCCTAGAAGAAGAAATTTTTATAAAGTTGACTCCCATGGAAATATCACTTTTGAGGTTGAATGTCTCAAAGTAATCTCACCCACCAAAGTGACTCTCTGAAAAACTAGACTATTGTCTTTTTAATACTCAAAATAATCAAAGTTAGGCATCTAATTTCTCTCAAATATGTAGAAATCTGACACGAAGATTATGAAAATACTGACACATATGCAATGGGTTACTGAACTAATCTGGCCAAAAATCTTTCAAAATTATCCAGACTTTCATAATTTTGAGCACTTTTCAAAGAGATTTTGCACCAAAATTGTCACATTTGAATCCCCCTGGTATTTTTTAAAACTGAACCTCCCTTCAGGAAAAGCTGGCTCCGGGCCTGCCATACTACCATATACACCAAATGTCAAATGTATATGATCTATTTACTAAATTGATATCCATATTCTACACATGTTGTAGGTTATTTTAGCTGTTCCATAACATGTGTATCTGTTTGATCAATGATCACAGTGTGAAAGATTAAATATAAACATAGACAGCCAGACACATTGAGACTAAAATATCATGAAGAAACAGTTTGACCCACCAGAATATAAAACTTAATTTATCACCTGCTAGCAAAGGTAGACCTGGAAATTGGAAAAAAGTCTTATCATGAAGATTCCTAGCTTTCTGCGGAAAAAGTTCAGTCTCATGAAAAGTTTGACCCAGTTTTTAAAGGTTTTGGAGCGAATTTGTTTACAAATACGGAGTGGCTCCAGGACCGACAATTGTCGGTACTGGAGACTGTCCAGGGGTATTTGCTGGGGTACCGACAATTGTCGGCACTCTATCGTCACCTAGTAGTGCCAGATAGAGAACCGACAATTGTCGGTACGCAAGTGGCTGCTACGTGTTTTTGCTAGAGAGCCGACAATTTCATAAATAAATCCACTACTTTTACTTATAGAAATAACCTCATCACTGGTAGCCTAGTGGTTAAGGAGCACGACTCGAACACACTCGGTCCCGATTTCGAATCCCGGCAGGACCTACTTTTTTCTTTTGAGGGGGGGGGGGGCATAGTGCTTCTTTTGCAGTATGGAATCGTGCAGGCATTAACTTGTAGTGAGCCATAATTTATTTCGACATAAATTGATTCAACTTCCATCAAAATTGTCCTAAAAGCTTCAATTAAAAAACATTTTAAAGCTCTTTTCTTATTCTATCTAATGGGTCTATATATACAGTTAGGGGAGGGGATGCTTTTGCCCCCGTCGCTCTCTACCCTTACTACGCCATGGCACAGGAGAAATATCTCATTTGGAATATATCACTGTTTACTTTGCGTTTGGTAGCTCTCTCATGCGAGATGGAATAGTGGCCATTAACTAAGCGAGCCAAATGCAACTTCCATCAAAAATTGTGCTATAAGGTATGAGTACCGTAATCCAACACCAAATTCGAAAATTCATAACAATAATTTGCACATATGGCGTTCGTGACCAACTATGAAACGCTTACCCCCCATAGTGTTATATATCAAAATGCACCTGTCCATATAGGGGTTCGATTGACCTACATCAAATTATAGGGAGTCAGGCTACTTTTTGAGATATCAGAGTCCGTTTATTGTAACTTGCGTTTGCTACCACTTCCTCAATTCTGATATGACGGGCAAACGCGTAGTAAACATGCTCACGTTCGGAACTATTTTCACCTACATCGCTATTTTCGTAATTCAAATGAAAGTTGAACTCCTCTTAATTTTGATACCAAATAGTGGCATACTAGTTACCCTAGAAGCCAACTATGGGTTATTTAGAATGATACCACAGGTTTTTAAATGGACTATATAGGGGTCATACCTTTTGGCGGATGGATATGGAACCTCATACCATAAGCTTCAAATAAAAAACATTCTAGCTATTTTCTTCTATCTAATGGGTAGCAAACGCCCCTTTCTACGCCTGATCGGCTCAGGAGAAATATCCTGTCTGTTTAGAATATATATAGCCGTTTACTCTGCATTAATAGCTCTCTAACGTCTTACTTGTTCATGTTTTTTATTGGGTTTTCAATGTTTACTACCATTCCATGTTCCAGGGCTACCATTTTTTGACTGGGTTTGGTAATCCCCGGGTAACCGGGGCTAATGCCCTCCCCGGGTTTTGCACTTGTTCCTAAAATATCCGTATGATATCTGAAATATCCCCCCGCGCATTGCGCATGCGCCAGAAAATTCGAAAATCAATATTTGTCGGTCCTCTAGCGTGTAAACACAGCATATCTCCCGTACCGACAATTTATTTGTCGGTCCTCTAGCGTGCCACCACATCAGAGTCTAGAGTACCGACAATTGTCGGTACTCTAGCCTTTACGTTACAAATAAGCCCCAATATTAGTGAGGACCAAACCCGAAGTACCCCCTCCCCCCATTCCCAGAATTACAAGTAGAACTCTAGTTTTTTTGTGGTGACTCTACTACAAAAAAGCTATAAAGGCATCCATATTGAACATGTTCTTTCCTGTTTGAAGATAGAAGAAGGAAGTACTTAAAGACAGTGACATATAAATCTTTGAGTTTATTTTATCGTTCCTCGGTCTTCCTTAGTCTTAGTATCCAGAGAGCTCAATTTAACAGATGGAGGGAACAAGCCAATCCTCTGACTCTTTTCCTGTCAAAATTCTGTAATAGATGCTGGATTCTCAACTGTTCCTTATGAAGAATCTGAGGTAATTATCAATTGGAGTTTTTGTGGTCTTTGAAGTGCCTCTCCTAATATGCCGTTTTGGTAATCCATATTCCTGGCCATTATCTTCAAATATGAACGTTTCTTCTCTGATTCTTTGACGTTTCTGTATCATTTACAATATCCAGTATACACTTTTCACAGTGCGATTCCATTATCTAATTTATGTTGTGTTTTTCAATAAAATTGTCAGGTATTTTCTCCCTGGGAGTCCAGATGTTCAAGAACAAGTGTAGTAGAAATATTCAACAGGATTCTCAACTGTTCTCACCACAAGAGAGACCTCTTAAATAGATTCTATATCATTTTCTTTGCCTATATGATAAATGTTGCTTATCTAAGTCAATTGTTTTCCATGTCAATGCAGTTGGGATTAAAATGGAAAATAGCAAGAGCAGAATTGACTTTGATGAACATGTTCAAGGAGTTTATGTAAAATCTTCTGTTGGTATAGTGTAAAATCTTATGTGAAATACTTTGGAATCAAGATGACAAAGGTTTTCCTTGTTGAATATATCTGTTTCAATAGAATAAGTCAGTTAAGATCCAGAATTAACTTTATGATTGAAACAATCAGGATTTTCTGATGCTGGAAGAAGTCAGACACTACTCCTTGAAAAGGATTTCATGGATATTTTAAATGTATATTGTTAAACATGGATGTGATGTTTGGCTGTTGTGTGCCCTGCTTGGTTCAGAGGATCTGTAATGATATCAAGGGTAAGGTTGAACTGATCTGTCGTAAATCTATATGGAAATTAACAAGTCTTCTGAGCATATATAATTTTTTCTATCAACTTGACTTGTCAACGCGTAGTTGATGTATCAAATTATGTTCAGAAACATAATTATTTTTACCCCCTCCCAAAAATTGAGAGAGAGGGGTAAAATTTCATCGTGTGTATCATGTTTTATTATCCCAACGAACGAAGTTCGGTAGGGATATAGTGAAGCCCTCCGTCCGTCCGTCAGTCCGTCCGTCTGTCCGTCCGGAAGATAACTCAAATATTAGTTGACGGATTTTCTTCATATTTGGTGGAAAGATGTATATTGATGAATAGTTTTACGCAAAAAAATTTTTTCTCAAGATGGCCGCCGCTTTAAAAATGACGGGACTTTTTCACAAAAATCATAAATTTTTCATTCTTAACCAAAGTAATTAATATTATTGTTTGAAATTTTGGAAGTATATTCGCAACATCTATCTATTTCACATATATTCCATGTTTTTCATCCTGACCCCCAGGGGCCGTGTATGGGGGGTCAGGAAAACAGAAATTTTCGCTAATTTTTAGATCTTTCTGAAGTATAGCTTTATTATACTCAAATGAAAGGCAATTAAGAGTAGATTGCAAATATTGTATCTTTTTTCTGATTCGAGCCTCGTAAAATTCAAAATAGCCGTCTAATATACGATTTCGCAATAATTTTTCGATCCCTTCAAAGTATGGCTATATAATACTCAAATTGAAGGAATTTTGGAGTAGATCACAATTATGGTAATATTTTTCAGATTTGTACCTCAGAAAATTCAAAATGGATTTTTTCAAGATGGCCGCCGCTTTAAAAATGACGGGACTTTTTCGCAAAAATCATAAATTTTTCATTCTAAACCAAAGTAATTAATATTATTGTTTGAAATTTTGGTAGTATATTCGCAACATCTATCTATTTCACATATATTCAGTGTTTTTTATCCTGACCCCCAGGGGCCGTGTATGGGGGGTCAGGAAAACAGAAATTTTCGCTAATTTTTAGATCTTTCTGAAGTATAGCTTTATTATACTCAAATGAAAGGCAATTAAGAGTAGATTGCAAATATTGTATCTTTTTTCTGATTCGAGCCTCGTAAAATTCAAAATGGCCGTCTAATG